CCTCCTTCTCGGGCCGCCCTGTGTCACTCTTGTCTGTTCGTAACACTGACTTAGTCCGACTCACTCAGCCCCACCTGTGCATCCTATGTGTTTATAATAATATAGAAGAAAATTAAGAAGTAATTTAATATCTAATAAGCTAGAATAATACTTACTAAAGGCTAAATCTAATAGCTTAAAGCTAAAATAAAAATTATTAGACTAAAAAAACATTAAATAGTTATTATAGACTCTAATAAATTATTTGTTTAAGTTATAGAGGTTAAAAACATATAGTAGTAGCTTAATACGTAATTAACTAGTAAAACTATATAACTAATTATTAACTTAGCTATAGATTAATTCTCTAGCTTCTAAGCTATTAATTAATATAGCTTTTATGTATTTTAAATTTTTTGTATTTATTATGAAGCTTTTGCGCCGTGCCTTGTGTTGACGATGGGTGGCTCATAAGTGGGTGGCCGACGTTACAGAGTAAGCAACCATTCCTGTGACTGCTGAGAAGTGTGCCAAACCTCCACTAGGCAAGCGAACAATCCATGAGAAAGGTCCCAGTACAAGTCAAACACACCAATTTATTAGACTCGTGACTGCCATTCGTCAGTCGAACGCTCACAAGCCGCATGCGCATGCAACTGCAGAGAAAGAGACGAAGGGAGCTGTCGACAAGCCGCAATACCAAACAACGAGACAATCTAAAGTGTGAGAAAGGGTTCATTATAAATCGGTGGGGTTCGCCCAGGCATTAGAGCCGATTCCTGCTATGCAAGTCTCATGCCCGAGACCTATGTTCGCTGAGGATTTGCCGCAGCGAGACCAGCCTAGCGACCTCGGTCGAAAGTCCCAACTGGAGGATCGCATCACCATGGCATCGAATACCATCTGTATCGACCAAAGAGGTTTGTACGACGACCTTGCCATGGCCGTGCTGCTGAGAGACCGCATCCCAAGCTTGCGTAACCGTTATCCCTAGATCAAGCTTCGACGTCCCCCGTACGGTGATGATGGCTGGCTGCCCATCTTGAGCCCTCTGGTAGCGAAAGAGCATTGCCACACCCCGTCTGCCGTTCCATAACTCCATCGTTTCAAGTCTGGGCATCGCAAGCGCTGCGGCAGCGGCGTCTCGAAGCATGCTGTTTATATCCAAGGGGTCGGCATCGTTGGTGAGAACTCTCGAAGTTAGCGCCAGTGAAGTGAGCTTATTCCAGGTCCATGAATGTTGACGCGCTGAGAAGAAGTGACCGGCATCGACCATGAAAGAGGCGGATAGTATGGTGAGGTGCAGGCTGACCCGGGCAAGTTTCTGGCTCACGGCCGGGTTCGGCACCCTGATAGCGGTTGTTGAATCGGAATATTTTTCTGGGTAAACCTCGTTGAAGTTCTCGAATATTGTTAGCTTGCACAATTCAGTAGAGGGAAAGGATTCGATCAGCGTCTGGCTGCCTGTTTCCGGTTGATCAGCGGCTGCGTTAACTAAATTGCAGGGATTGAGTAAGCACTTACGTTCATCAGTTTGCGTCTCAATTCCAGTCCACTCTCTCCAGGGTTCGTAACAAAGTTCCTTCATGTTTGGGAACCGCGTGAGCATATTTGCGAGCGCCACCGGCTTCCATCGTCGGCGGGTCTGCTGGCGAAGGAGTACGACCCCGACGACGGGTACGAAGGGAAGACTCCGCCACCACTGCATCTCGGGTTCCTCATCGTCGAAAGGGCCCTCGCCCATGATCTCGTCAAATGTATGTTCGATGGCAAATTGTTCAGGAACAAGGACCTGCTGTCCGGCAACCCAACCATGAGCCGGGTCATGCATCGGGGTCAGTCCTTGCTCGTGTCCATAGCGAGATGGGCACTCGCCTAGGCTGATGTCTGAGCAGAAGTTCAGGTACTTGAACCAGTGCTGGTTGTCGCTGGGCGAGTAGACACTGATATCGAGAACCAAGTCACCACGATGCTCCCATGCGCTTAGTGTAGTGAACAGGCTTTCAAAAGCATCCGCGATGAATTGGTTGTCAATATTATCCAAGCCCCAACGGTCCTGGTCAGTATTCGCACACTGTCTGCAATCATACTGCTTCAGTTCCACCCGAAACCAGATATAGTGAATCTGCTTTCTATTCCGGAATAGAATAGCTTGAGAGTCAGGATCGACAAGGCGCGGTACCGTCAAGTTGATCTCGGCAAAGTTGAGTGGCTCGATAATTGATTGCCAAACTTTGGAAACGGTCGCGAGCTGACTGCATTTCCCGCCGACACTTGGTAGGAGACCAATGATCTCATTTCGAATCTCGGGAGGTAGGCAGTTCCAGGAAGTTTCCTCCCTAGTCATCTCTGATTAGGCTTGCGATGGCTTGAGGGTAAAGGATCGCAGTTGTGTGGATTGAGAAGGATGAGATGATGTAAAGCTCGAAGTTTGGGGCCTGTGCTCTGGGTCGAAGTGACCTTGGCTGACAGTCGGCCACTGCTGGCTCCCATTTATACTTGACTTCAAGAAATATTTCTCATTTAAAAGGGCGTAGAGTGGCCACGTGGCTATGTGGCAAAGCAAATTATGCAATTGTATTTTAACTTCAGGTTGGCTGCACAAAAGCCTTCTCGGCCCATGTCGCTGTATCGTAAGTAAGCACCGTGGTGCAGGCTAGTGACTGCCCGCGTATGAAGCAGTCAGTAGTAGATCGAGAGATGCAACTGCCTAATCAAGAGCAATGTCTACGATGCTCCTACCGTCATTGCAGTTAGGGAATGAGCGGATGGATTCTGTAAATTCCCCTGGCCACCGCCGCCTCGATGCTCTTCTTCTTCTTCTTCTTCTTCTCCATCCTCGCAAATACCAAAATGTAAGAAATTTTGCCAATTTCTCTTATCCGGCTCTCTTTACGCCTCTTTTTCACAGCTGCTGACATGCTTTGATAGGCCAGGACCCTCCCGCCGCGTCGCCCGCGTCGCTGCCAAAATCGTTCTCGACCAAGCCCGCCGCGCTACCTGGGTCGCGGCCGAAGCCGCCTTCGCTGGGCGTCTGTCTACGGCCGATTGGCGTCGTTTCTACTACGCCGAGCTCGCGGCCGAAGTGGCCTTCGAGGCTATTCTCCGAGGCTTTGGCGAATTCCGCGGTTAGACTTGTATGTATATCATCTGTTTGTCATGCCACTGGTCACTGCCACACTGTTCAACTTGTGTCACCTGGAAGCAACATTTTTAGCTGAAAAGTGGCGCGCGGTAGCGCGCAGTGGCGTAAAGGTGGCGCCAAAGTGCAGCGCGACTGACGCCACTTGAAGCTAGGGCCTATCTCGTGCGAAACGAATCCTGGCTATTTCAACTTTCAATTGCACCTAAACTGTGCTGTTATCTCGCAACAGAACACACACCATCAATTCCATAGCGCTTGTCAAGAACACCATGGCCGACACCGTCGAGCAAACGCAACCGATCGAAGAGCCTACTGCGCCTCTTGATGGCGTAGTTGCGCCTGAAGCTGCTGCCCTTGAAGCTGTCGTCGCGACCGAAGAATCTGCGGCTGACGTGCCATCGACCGAACAAGGCGAAACTGTCGAAGAGGACGAAAAGTCTAAAAAGGTCACGCTGGCTGACTTGTCCGCCAAGGGCAGCGCGCTATACGCGCACAAGAACTACGAGGCTGCAGCAGAGGTCTTCTCGCGCGCAAGCAACCTGCAGGCTGAGTTGAACGGCGAGCTTGCCCCAGAAAATGCCGAAATTCTATTCCATTATGGACGTAGCCTGTTCCGAGTCGGTCAGAGCAAGAGCGATGTGCTGGGCGGACAGGCGGCTGGAGAAGCCAAGAAGACAAAGGCGAATGGCAGTTCCGCGGCCCAAGCGTCTTCGTCGAAGCTCCCTACTCTGGACGAGAATGTGAAGGAAGCTTCTGCCCAAGCCTCAGAGAAGAAAGAAGGCGACGCCAAGAAAGCCCTGTTTCAATTCACCGGAGATGAGAACTTTGTTGACTCGGACGACTCGGACGAAGAGGTGCGTCACTCTTAGCTCGTGTGATCGAAAGAGCGCAGTTGACTAACTTGAGCGTTGATAGGGTGATGCCGAACCCGAAGAAGAGGAAGATGATCTTGCCACTGCATTCGAGATTCTTGACCTTGCGCGCGTATGCTATATGAAGCAGCTTGCCCAGCTCGAGCAAGCTACCGACAGCGAGAAGGGCAAGGAGACTGTCAGCGAGCTGTCTCCTGCTGAGCGCCATGTCAAGGAGCGTCTCGCTGATACCCACGATACTCTTGCCGAGATCTCACTAGAGAGTGAGCGGTACGCGTAAACCCACTCGCTCGATGCGGCGGAATTACTAATTGTAATAGGTACCCGAATGCTATCGAGGACGGTCGTGTATCGCTCAACTACAAGCTGGAGCTCTACCCTGTTGAGTCCGAAGTTATCGCCGAAGCTCACTACAAACTCTCCCTTGCCCTCGAATTTTCCTCCATCACTAGCTCTGGTGACGACGGCGCCAACACCAAGCGCGAAGAGATTGACCAGGATCTCCGTGATGAGGCCGTGAAGGAGATGGATTTGGCTATCAAGAGCTTCAGACTCAAGCTGCAAGGCAAGGAAGTTGAAATGGCAACCTCTGCTTCTCCTACAGACAATGACCTTATCCGCAAGGACATTACTGAGATGAAGGAGCTCATTGCGGATATGGAGCAAAGAGTAAACCCCCCCCCCCTGCTTACCTTTTTTTGAACAAAGCTTGTCGACCTCCGGAAGAACCCCATCGACCCCCAAGAGCTCCTGGGCGCCACCGAGGCCAACGTCCTCGGTGGCCTCTTTGGCGCCGTGCTCGGCGAGACCCCCGAGGAGACGCAAGCCCGCGTTGCCGAAGCCACCAAGGGCGCCGTCGACTTGACGAGCATGGTGCGCAAGAAGGCCAAGCCCGAGGCTGCGGCCGCCGCGCCGCCGACCGAGTCATCCACCAACGGCAAGCGCAAGGCCGAGGACGAGCCTATCGAGACCGGCGCCGAGTCGCCTAAGAAGGCCCGCGTCGAAGAGGCGGCGTAAAATCCCGGTCGAGCAGTGTGTATGAGTATCGAAGCCCAGGTGACAATGAAAATGCGAATAGGATTGCGCGGGACAGCGCCGGTGGTCTGCTTCCTTTGGGTTCGTGCTTCGGTAGCAACGCGGGGACCAGCAGGAGGGGGAGGTAAGGCTTTGTTTTTCTAACTTTGGAGTTTGTGGCGTCTGGACGGCGGAGTGAGATTGCTTGATGAGTATCTTGCCAGATATCTCCTCCACCTCAGGTTTGGAACAACCAGCTTGGTTCCACGTCTAGTACACGCATGTTTTCATACATTTTTTTCTTGACAGCATTTGACGCTCAATTGAACGATTCACCAATCACTTTAGCATCTTGCGCCTGCATGTACGGATATCATTATTGCATTGAAATGTCAAGACGACGTGTATCCCCTAAACACCACATATGATATGAAAGACCCGTACTGTACTGATGTGACAGAAGTAAACAAAGTACACGACATGCTTTTCCTTCTCCAAGTATATACAAAGTAATAGCGGCTCGCCAGCACATGACGTAACCCAACAGCAGTTTCTTCCGTACGCCACGTAACGCGGTTCCAGCAGAGAAAGCCCTCCCTCGACGCTGATGTGATGTAGCACCCTTCTTACAGCTTGAAGCTGCCGCTGGACATGGCCTTGACCGCCTTGATCTTGTTGCCGTCGACGTCAGTGATCTCGCCCTTGCGGTTGATGACCTTGACACCGCCCTTCTTGAGGTCGGCAATGGTCTGCGCCTTCTTGCTCGTGGCCGCCCGGGAACCGCCCGGGCCGCCGTTGCCGGCCTTGCGCACGCGTTCCTTGTGCTGCCGGCGGCGGCGGGCCTTGTCCTCGCGTGACATCTCCTGCCGGGCCACTGGCAGGCCGCTCTTGGACACCACCTCGCCCTTGGCTATCGTGTCCGCGCCGGCCTTGTACACCTCCTGTGGCGCCATGCGGCTGCTCTCGCCGGCAACACCCTGGGCTGTCGCCGGCTGCGCGTCCTCCATGGCAATGGTGGCCACGTCAGCTACGACGGAGAGCGTAGCCGCTGTCGGCTTGGGCTTGTAGTGCCAGCTGCTGAGGGCGTCGAGCTTGGCAGAGATCTCTTTCCACATATTTTCCACCTCTTTTTCTTCACGCTGCAGCTTCTCGTCAGACTGACTCACGTAGTTGTCAGGATCGGCATTTTTGACATGTTCTTCTTCGTAGATTTGAGCCAGGCTCTTGTCTGACTTGCTATCCTTGACGTCGACGAGGCCACGACGGGTACCTGCCGGTACGGTCTCAGTCTCGGGGCGGCGTTTCAGAACTTCGTCAAATTCTTGTGAGAGAATGCGGCGCTTGATGAGATCGTCTATGCTCTCGCTAACTTCGGGCGTTATTACAGGCACAGGCTTGCCGATGTATTCGAAGTCAAGATCTTGCTCAAGAAGTGAGTTCGTAGGGCGATCCACTGCGTTGGCTTCGCCGGACATAGTCCATTCGCGCTTGGCCACGGAAGCGGCTTCGAGCTTTCGAATCTCTTCGGCTACCTTGGCTTGTCTACGCTCGTGCGCTGAGCGGCGGGACTTGGGGTCGCCAGCAGACGCATCCGAGAGAGCATCCTCAGAGTCATCCATTTCGGATTCATCATCAAATAAGTCACGACGCACATCAGCCATGGCTCGCTCCACGTCTTGCTCTGCAGATTCTTGAGCTTCGGGGGCTGATTTTCTCGGCTTTTTCGCATCTCTTTTGCGCGGTGGCGGGGCGAAGAAGTCCTTGTAGAAAATATCGTTGGCGTTATTCTCGGCGTCTTCGTGGCCGTCTTCGAACGCCGCTGCCTCGTCGTCGCTGTCGCCCTCTGGAGCATCCAAAACCATGTCACCAAAAGTAGGCCCGTCGTCCTCGTCAGAGTCATCGACCATGTCATCGTCCTCCGTGTTCTTCTTCGATCGTCTGGTCTTCACGGCCTTGGACTTTTGGTTCGGGCCATTGGGATCTGCGGTCCAGTCTATTTCTTCGTCGTCACTGGCCATGTCTGCGTTCGGGTCGCCGCGGGTATCTTGTTCTTCGAACCATTGAGTTTGCTTATTAAAATTGTCGAGGGAGAAGAAGCCGTCATTAAGGCCGTCAGGGTCTTCCACAAAAGATTCGCCATCGTCGTCTTGGTCATCTTCGTCGTTTTCGTCATCGTCCTCAGCGACCTCGGCGGCTTCCTCCTCCAAATCTTCGCCAAGCTCCTCTGCATCGATCTTGGAGTCCTCTAGATCCTCAAGCTCTTCCTCAGAACCGACTTCTTCATCATCTTCGTCCTCTTCGTCCGACTCAGCGTCTAGATTGCTCGCATCGTCTTCGGCTTCCTCAGATGCCGAGACTTCTCCAGTGATGTCGCCATCAGGAAGAGCGATCTCATTCTTCTCTTCCATTTCTCCTAGAAGTGTCTCCGAAAATTGCAAGACGCCTCCAATGACCTTCTTGGCCTGTTGCCAGACCTGGTTTGTCTGAAAGCCGTCAACGTAAATCTTTCGCAGCTTCAGCATCTCTTCCTTTTCACCGTCGCGCTTCCGTTTTCTCGATTCCTTTAGTCGCCGCTGTTGCTCATCGCCAACTTGCGCGGCGAAGCCCTCTAATGTGTCTCGCACCAAGTTTAGTGATTCGGTGGACAAGTCTGTCGTTGGTTGCAGAAATACATGGCGGTTTTCCGGCTGCAAACTTTGCAGCAGAGCCATGGCCACTCCGTTGGCAGACGGCATGTTGGCTGCCATGTTTGAACCCGCCGTTAATGTGTGCGACGTCGAGGTCAGTGAGGATGAACTGTCGGCTGCCATGCTCTGTAGAGTTGCATATGGTAGAACGACTGCAAAAGACAAAAATTTTTGGAAGTTGAGGGACCTCCCCACATTGGTGGGCGCCACAAATGCCAGTGACCCGCCGCGGACACTAATAGGCACATACAACACTCTTTTGTAGTGTTTGTTTTTTTTAGAGTTGCCTCATGAAGAAAAACATTAAAGAGTCTGTAGGTAAAAAGTCAAATCAAATCAATTAGAGTAGTATGTATGCGCTGCATACACTCATATGTTGGTTTGCGCTGTACGCTGTTGTTAAGTTAGATATCTACCTAAGGATGATCCTATAATAAAACGCCAGCCATGCCGAAAACAGACTCCTTGAATCTAAAAGCAGGTGTTGCACATGTCTAAAATCCTCTGCGGCCGCCAGTACTCATGAGAGTAATCTTCTGCTTCTTCTTCTTCTTACCACCCCCTGCGGAGCCACCATTCTCAGGTTTGGCCCCTCCCTCTTGCTCTGCAATGTGGATAGCCTCCAGGTCCATAGAAAGCTCAGCATTGGACAAGAGCTCGGCTTCGTTGAGCCATCCGTCATTTCTGGATTCAGCATGCGTTGACCCCATTTCTGGAGAGGCAGGCACTGCGACAGTACCCCAAACAGTTCGCTCTCCAGTTGGGCTCGTGGACATGCATGCTAGGGGATTGAAGCCGAGGCGATCTTCCGGTGGCGTAGCGCTTGATGGTCCATTCAAAGGCTGAAATTCTGAGATATCCATGGCTGGTGGTCCGTCTTCTTCTATGCCCTGATGGGGAATAGATATACCGGCAGAACTGTGTAAAGCCGCGGCCTCTAAACGTTCTGCGTTGATCCGCTTAAGTTCCTCTTGCGCAGCCTTATCCGTATTACGCTTGCGACGCTTGGCGATATCCGAAGCAAAGGTTGAGAGCGTATCCTCCGGGACAATATCCGTCCAATCGCATTCTAGGAAGCTGATAACACATCCTTGAGGAAGATGGCCAAGGTATTTGGCTCGCTTTCGCAGATTATCATCGACCACATGGCCTGTCGAAATGTGTTCAAGGGTCGGGAGCAAAGAGGACGGAAACGAGGAAAAGGACCCATACTTGGTCTTGAGGATGCGGATATCCAATGGAGACAGATATAGATGCGGGGGTGTGCTGTAAAAGTAAAAATCCGAGTCTGACATCGGTTTCCCGCGAACTCTATTCGTCGCCAGCGTTGCCGCAGCCACGTCAGTGAGGTCGTCAATGCCTTCCAGCAAGGATTTGACAGCTTTTACAGCTCGCTGCATCCAAACGCCATCTTGGCCGAATAGATCTTCATCTTCCTTTTCCTGCTTTTTGAGGGCAGCAACTTCCCCTTCGTATTGTTCGGTCATGTATTCTGTTGTTCCTTTCATGATGCGAGCATAGTCAAGAACATTGGCAGCGAAATGCCAAGGTACATCGTCGCTGGAATTGATGACATCGACACCCCCTTCTCTGGGAAGCGCGAGTGTCGAGTTTGCCTTGCGTGCCATGAGCCGGAGCACAACGTCATCTCCGGGTCGTGGAAGGGGACTCTCCTGTCCTGCGTAGAATCGCACAGGTCGTACCTCCTGCATATACACGCTGTCTTCGCAGATGGGGCACTTCTTCCATTTTGCGATTTTGCCAGACTTGGCATCTTCCTCATTTGTGGTCGTGACCATGAAGCGGATCAGGCATGGCAAGCAAAATATGTGGCCACAGCGAGCCATTCGAGGGGCAACAGGCTCTGAAAGGCATATCGGGCACGAAGCAGTTTGCGATTCCGAAGAGGCAATTACTTGCAAAACATTTGCCCAGTCAATATACAAATCAGCATCGGCAGCCTGGTCCGTGTACGACACGTTTGGCCGGACAACGAAACGATAGTTTGCATGGACGTATCGCGATTTATCAACGGCATGGTAGCCTGAGCCAGCATTAGGGTGACGACGATGGGGACGTGGATGAAAGTTGTGATCCCGAGCAGTTCGTGGGGCCGTATAGTTGAGCAAATGCGTGATCGAGGTTTGACCTCGGCGGCTGGAAGGGTTGCGAACAGCGCGCATCTCGGCGAACGCGTCGTCCCTGTCCAGCGGAGAATGAACCATACGATCTCCTAGGCCTGGACGCCTTTGGTTCCTGTGCTGCTTGCGAAATCCTTGCCCCTTTCTAGGTGTAGGCTGCGCGCTGGTGGCAGCAGACGAGGACGGGCCGGGGCGACGCGAGAAGTCGGGAGCCGGGGCGGGGCGATCGGGGGCAACTGGAGCAAGATAGTTTGATGCGGCTGGAAGGGACTTGCCCGAGTTGGCGTTCAACAGATTCATGGTAGTTCAACTGGGGAGCATAAGACTAAGCGGTAGACTCGAGTCAAATGGGCAAGACGCATGTAATCAGCCGTGGCTCGGGATCAAGTTGCGGGCATTCGCTGGGTTATTGGACGTTCCGCTGGCGGAGCTCGACTACTGGTCCTCCGAAAGACCGCGGCGGGTTATAAGACTGATTTTCGGATGTAGGGTCGAGTTTCTTGATGATGAGAAGTCTCATAACCATGATTTTGATCAATAGCGAGGGAGATCCGATGGGATCACGCTGGGACAAAGCCCGTAACTATCGATGTGTTTTCGGGGAAGGTTCCTTCTTGACTCACTTGGCGGGGCAATCCAGAGAGGTTCGTCACGTGCATTGCATCATCTCTCGCGTTAGCCAACTACATACGCTGAGGAATACTCCAGCTTGACAACGGACACTACATGACTGCCCGATTCCAAATCTCTAGCGAAGAATTTTCTAATTTTTCTCTGTGCTACTGGTGACAGTGGCAAATTGACTACAAATTATGACGGGTCTACACCTTTGATTTTATGGGGCGGTGCATCGGCTACGTGATAATGGACTTAAGCATTGCTAACATATCATGTATTACCTAGGTATATGGTACAAATTTGATACTGCCGCAGCTATGGGGAATCTTTTGACATAGGAATAACAAAATAATCAACAATCCCAAATATAAATCAACAATTCCTGTCGCGCACCTTCACAACACGTTGCAGGCTGATGTATGCCAGCACGCCCCTAGTTCTTATCTGACAACTTACCTTTAATCTTACTGATAAAAGCGCTAAGGCGACTCTTCTTCTTGTTACCGGCAGCAGCCTGAGCTTTATCCGTGGCGGTGGCATGGGGAGGCTTCAAGCCAGACCCGTTGGCAGTAGACTGAGCAGCTGTGGCTGATTGTTCAGCAGGCTTCGATCCAGCGGGTTTGGTGTCGGTGGATTTGGTGTTTTCGGGTTTAGAGACAACAGGGGCCGTTTCGGCGGGCTTAGGGACCTCCGCAACGGTAGGAGCAGAGGCGCCTGCAGCCTTGCTCTCCACAGCCTGAGCGACGGAGGCATCGGCGGACTTTGTCTCGGTGGCCTGCGGTTCAGGAGTGAGGGTCACAGGCTTGAACACAGCGACCTTGGTATCTCCTGGCTTGGACTCGGTCGGCTTGGCACTGGAGGTTCCATCGGCGACCTTGGCAGCGCCATTCTCGGCAGGCGCAACTTTCTGAGTAGTACCAACAATAGGGGCCACGGAAGGGGCAGCAGCAGCGAGGGCAGGGGCCTTGATGGTCTCGGCAGGCTTTTCGGGAGCCTTGCCGACAGAAGCGGCCGCATTGGGGATCTCCTCAACCTTGGGCACCTCTGTCGCAGGGGCAGGCTTGGCCTCCTGGAGCAGCTCCGACTCAACAGCCTTCTTCTCCTGAACAGCCGCTGCACTGGAAGCAGCCTCGGGGCTCTTACCAGCCGCCTGGATGGACTCCTTGACCTCTGAGGGCACGGCCTTGGCCACCTCCTGCTGGCCGAGTGGCCCCGTAGTCTTAGCCACATCAGCCGCCGCGGGAGCGGGTTTGACTTCTTTGAGGAGCTCGGATTCAACAGCCTTCTTTTCCTGAACGGCGGCCGCATTGGCGGCGGCTTCGGGGCTCTTGCCGGCCTCCTGAATAGATTCCGTGACCTCGTCGGGCACGCCTTGAGCAGTCTCCTGCTGGCCTAGCAGCTCCTTAGCCTGCTGTGGGAGCTTTTCCTTGGCGGCGTCGGGCAGGTTTCTGTTAATGGCCTCGGTGGCAGCAGACTTGGCTGCGTCGACAGTCGGAGCAGCCTGCTCGCTGACCTTGCTGGCAGCGGCCGTAGCACCGGCGGCGACGGCCGCGGCGACAGCAGCTACACTGCCGCCAACGGCAGTGGCAGTAGCAGCAACACTCTGGTCACCCTTTTGTTGCTCAGCCTCGTCGCTATTGTCGTCATCATTGTCATTGTCGTCGGCATCAGCGTTGGCAGTTCCATTGCCGTTCGCGGCAGCAGCAGCAGCTTTCTTTTGCTTCTTCTTCTCGTTCTTCTTCTTGTTCTTCTTCTTCTTCTTCTTGTCGTCAGTTCCAGAGGTAGAGTCTGTGGCCTTGGACTCCACAGGGACCTGGCCGGCTAGAGCAGCGGTAGTAGCGCCAGGGGCAACGGTGTTGATTGTGGCGTTCTGGGGCATCGGTAAGCTTGATTCCGGAATGGTGTTGGGGCCCGCCGCAGGAACATCAGCCGGGTTGGGAATTCCGACAAGAGAATCACTCTTCTCGTATGACTCTTTATCCAGTTTGACATGTTTGTGGATATCGCCGGCAGTAAGCTCCGGAGGAACCTTTTCGCCAGATTTCAAGTTGATGGGGTTTACTCCGGTCTCCGAGGCAGGTAGGGGGTTGATACCTAAAAGCTTATCCTTCTCAAGGGGTTGTTGACCAGCCATTGTAGCGGTGGTGGATCCTGGTGCGACGGTGTTGATGGCGGTGGTAGAGAGGGTCGAAGCAGCAATGACTTCGGAAGTAAGGAAGTTGTTGACGTTGCCCTCCTTGTCGGCCTCTTTGGGGGACGATTCGTTAATGGTCCAATTGTTGTCGACGACAAACTGTGCAAGGCGGAGTCGTTAGCGATGGCTGTTGACAGTAATGAACAATGGCCCAATGCGCAAGTGGCGACAGTCAAGGTTGCTTCGACGCGATCACATTGGCGGTGCCTCGCAGCCGTTCTGTCACTGTGCACACTCGAGCCGTGCTTGGCAATGAATTCGGCGCGGCGATCTTTCAACAAACGCAAGAAACGCAAGAAACACAAGCTGGAGTGCCATGACGTTCGCCCAGCGGCATTGCGATACGAATCGCGTGATGTGCGCGGGGGCTTGAAAGCTTCAGGCCAGGACGCGGTCGGCATCGGTGGCGGGAGGCGGGAGGCGCTTGACGCAGCAATGGATCGATTGAGGCGTCGGTGGTTGTGACTAACCTTGTAATAGACCTTGTCGGACGGGATTTTGAGACTGACGGTCTTTTCGAAGATGGTACCTCGCTTGTCAAGTTTGACACTTTTCGTCCAGTTGTCGAAGGTACCGGTAACGTAGACTTCTTCCGCGGGGTGTTCCCTGGCGAAGGAGACAATAATTAGATAAAATAAAGGACAAAGTAGATTATTGAAAGATTGCGGATGAGATTGAAATGCGAAGGAGCGCAAGGCAGGGTATCTCCAGTGGTTGTTCTGCAAATGGAATGCGGTTGCCTGGGGGGAAGTTGGTCTCGCAGGACTGGACAGACAAGACAGGTCGACGACAAGGGCTCGGGCACGGGCGCAGGGTACAAAGCCGCGGTACATGGGGCGACGCAAAAAGGAACTTACCACTTGAAAGTGTAGCTGCCCATGGTGGATATTACCAAAAAATTAATGGGGAATCGATGGTATTTTTCTGTTTCTCTCTAAGTGTGGAGGTATATGGAAGAGAAAGGAAATCGCAGACGTGCGAGGAGGGTTAGGAAAAAAAGGGCTTTGGGCCTGAAAGAAAGAATTGAGCGGTGCGGATAGTGACTAGTAGAAAGTGCTCGCAGCTCTGGGGCTCGGTCAACCAGTCAAAAACAATGATTGAAGAGAGGAGGGGGAGCTTTTGGGGGGCAGCTAGGTCGAGAAGAGCGAGGGCTCGGCGTACTACAAGGCGAGAAGAAATTACGTGGCTGACGTCTTCGGATGTGATGGAGCTTTGAAGGTGCTTGCTTTGCAGCTCGTGTTACTTGCGGCTCACTCGAGCCATCCAGCAATTGGACTACGGGGGAGTAGATTAGGCGGGCGATAAGGAGGTGAGCTGGAGCTGCTGCTGTGCAATAAATGGCTGCTACAATGCAGGGTGATTGGTATTCAATGAATCAATTGAATTGGACGAATGCGAATAACTGCAATGCTGTTAGGACCTACATACATACGTCACACTGTACATCAGGCCAGTGAAACATGCATTGAGAGCACTGGGTCTGGACGCAGCGGTGTCGAGCATTACAGCCGAGCTCTACCTTGGTACTCTGGGGAAATCCTTGTCAATACTCCATTGAGACATGGGTAGTAAATCGGAGGATGTGGTTGGATTGAGGCTCGTTTGCCGTAGCTTTCCATTGAATAAAATTTCAAAGTTGACCCAGCGCGACCAAGTCTCGCCTTTTGCTTCTAACCTACCTGTCAGTGTTGCAATAAGCAAGTAAAAAATGTATTGTACCAACACTGGAGAGGCGCACGCACGGCAAAGCCTTGCCCGCGAACGGATGACGCACAAGGTAGCGGCCAAGTGGAGCAGCTTGCTGTCTAGCAACTCCACAAGCAGAGGGGACAGGAGTAGGTAGCAGAGGAGGTCAACTGGGCCAAGCGAAATGTGAAGCAGAAAGGAGGATTGCGGTAGCATCGGCATGCGCCCTGGCACACACAAAACGGCCATGAGAAATGCGGCGCCGTAGCCTATCAATCGACCACAGCCGGCAACGTCATTGAGCAATTGAGAATGCTATCCTATCCGCCGCAAACAGAACACAGAGCAGAAAACGTGCAAGCTTTCCGCTTTGGGGGGGCTAATTTCCACAGCGGCAAGCCAGTTGGATTCGCCATGGGCCGGGATTTGAGGGTTCCAGTGAACGACTCATAGGGCCAGCTGCTTTGGTGGGGCACGTGGCTTTGGCCGACGGGAAACTCCAAGAAAGTTGACAACTGACCAAGTCCAGCGAAACGGAAAGTCTCACTGGGCGGCAAGTGTCTTTGTATTTGCGGCGACAGCAAGGCACTAGGAAAACTCCGATAGCCGCTTTCCTATATCACTACCGATACTGGTAGATAGTTAGGCTGAGTAGCAAGATAGGTTAAACCCACTTACCGCAATCTCACCGGGTGTATAACTTATAGCTGAGCCAACTAATAAAATGCCCAAGTCGATAGGTGACTACGAACCGTTACTGTTACAGGGCAATGCACCGATGAATATGAACAGGATACCACTGGGGACGAGATTAATGAAACAAGTCTATTTAGGCTCTCCTCAGCGGCGTTAAAACAGTTTTCCTGTTAGGCAGACTGTCTGTCCCTACAACACACGGTTGCCGAGTCCAGACCACGCTGCGCCACTTCGGTACAGCCACCCGAATCTCGCTACTGACAGCCTAACACAAGAATCCGGCGCTAGCAATATCTTTATTCTAGTTATGTACACAAATAGCTATTGGCATGGCTGTTCCTCGATATCGGCCTTGTTATGCTGCTTCTGTCGCTGATTGTTTGGCAACTTTAGCCCTTGCTGTTGTCGTTATTTGCCATAATAGCCAGCCTTGTCAGCCTCGAGCTTGTGAACGTAGTTCAAGTACTGGAACTGATTCGGTCATACAGTCGATTCTCCTTACCGAGCATAGTTCTCTCAAATAAGGGCTGTGAGCCTCATTAGAATGGGGCTATGCTGGCACGATCGCTTCGCAGCCCGCTTCTTGCAACCTGTGATTCCAGCTCGCCTCGCCCGAGCATTGAAGAATAAAAGCTTACGACCTCGTCTACTGAGAAGAACATCTCCGAAACTACTCAATATGGTTTCTCACTCAATCGCAGCATTAATTTTTAAGCAACATGAACGGCGAAAATTCCCACATCCAGGAGAATGACGTTGCCGTCGAGAAGCAGTCTCCGATCTCAGCCAAGCAGTTTATGCCAAGGCGGAAGAAGATTACCATTATAGGTATCTCCTTGGCTGTCGTTGTCGGACTGTCCGTCGGCCTTGGCGTCGGCCTGACAAGACACAGAAGTGGCGGCGATGACAGCCTCGATACCAACAACACCAATCTTCAGTCACCGAATGAGTCTATAAGAGCCTCAAAGTGGAAGCCTCAAGTGGGCGACTCATGGCAGATAGTTCTGAAAAACACCATTCGCAATGACGTCGACTTTACTCCCGACGTTTCCGTCTGGGACTTTGACCTGTTCGAAAACGACAAGGAAACCATTGACAAGCTGCACAATCGCGGCAAAAAAGTCATTTGCTACTTCAGCGCGGGGACATGGGAAAAGGGTCGTTCGGACGCGGGCGAGTTCCCGGAGACGGATCTTGGAGGCACTCTACCGGAATGGCAGAATGAGCGCTGGGCACGCATCAGTAATCCCAAGATCCGCGACATAATGAAGAAGCGCATCGCGCTAGCAGCAAGCAAAGGTTGCGATGCGATTGATCCTGACAACGTCGACGGTTTTGTAAGTTGCCATGACACTCTCTTGCAACTTTTTTCTGACCCAAGATGCCAGCAAAATGACGAAAACAACTTGGGCCTGACAGCGCCAGACTCGGTCAGCTACTTGACCTTCCTCCACGACGAGGCTGGAAAGTACAACATGTCCGTCGGCCTGAAGAATGCGGCCGCCATCATCGACGACGTCATGCACGTTGTCGACTTTTCCGTCAACGAGCAGTGCGCCACCGACCAGCAGAACCCGGAGTGCGAGACTTTCCACAAGTTCATTGACGCCGGCAAGCCCGTGTTCCACATCGAGTACCCTCCCGATGACGACGCCCAGACGTACCCCGACGACCTCCGCAAGGAGATTTGCGCGCGCAAAGGCGCTGGCAAGGGCTCGGACCGGTTCAGCACCGTCTTCAAGAGGATGAGCCTCGATGGATGGGTGCAGTTCTGCAACGGTGACATACATGAGACGGCGATGGTGCCTGGTGACAGTAAATAAAAGGAGTTACACATAATCTTTCAGCCATTGATAGCGTATTAATAACATTAAGTGTAAATAGGTAGTATAGACATGAAGCGCCTTTGGTTTTACAGTAAATATACAAAAACTTGCATAATACATTTAGCTCATCCCTGTGCAAGAAACTTTCCGCCCTCCTGCTTGAACCAGTCACTATTTACGTCCATCATAAAATTTGTGATGTTAAAGTCGGTGGGTATGCCTGCTTGCGGGTTGACGCTGTTGGCGGCCTGCAATTCAATCTGTGGCATCGTCTCGCTCGGCACGCCTAAAGCGTCTCCTGAAACAGGGAGCCGCGGCACATTGAAGAAGTCGAAGACGTCGAGGTACTCCAAATCGTTCACGGCCGGCGTCCTAGCTGGTGTGACACTTGGCAGGCGGCTCATCGTGTGTGTCCCGTGTCGGGGCTGGCGAGAGATGAGAAAGTCCAGGTCAAACGCGGTGCGCCTCATGTCTGCTAGAATCCTGACAGAGCTCGGCGTGATCCCGTCGCCCTTTTGCTCGCTGTCTCTGTGCTCGTCCAGGACTCTCTGCAGCAAGTTGCAGTATCGCTGGGCTACGGGCCAAAAGCCCCCGAGCGCTCGCAGGGTATCGACGAAGAAGGCAATCTGCGGCGAGAGCTTGTGCTCGACTGTCGACCCATGTACCAGCAGAAGGCGTGCAGACACCCAGAGGGAGAAGGCGAATGGTGGCCCCAGTTTTGACAAATAGCCATTTGTGGAGGCAAAGTCGGCCAGAGAAGCAATGTTTTCAACTGCAATGAGACATCGTTGGGATGCACTGTATGACGGCGTAAAGATGGGCGATCTTGTTGTTGGATACGCGGCTGACGAATGGAGTCTGATGACCGTCGTGTGATATGTCGCATGAAGCATCAACCAGGTACAGCTCAAGCTGCGGCTGCCTGGCTGGAAAATCTTGTTCATGTCGTTGAATTCCCCCGGAAGGTCAAGCTTCCAGGATGTCAGCATGCTGTCCAGCTCCTTATACCGGAGTTGCCATCTCTCCACATCGCCAGCCACACCGATGTCCACGGGTTGCTTCAGGAACTTGTGGATCTTGGAGAGAATTCCAAGAACTTCGATATAATATGAAAAGGCGCCAAGGTTCTCCGTGCCGCTCATGTCGTTACGCGATGCGGTCTCGGGGAAGTTGAATGTTCTGAACCACTTGGTTTCGACTTTGCGGTTCGCCACCCAGAGATCATCACGACAAGGAAGACTCCTATCGATCTCCTTGTCATCCAGCGCGAATTCGAAAGCTGTAGCAATGGTGGCGTATCGATCCAAGAGGTAAATCATCCAAAAGAGGCGTCTCCTAGATTCGTCTTCGATAAAGTCTTTCGGCTCGGGCAGGACCATGGCCCTCAATGTGTATATAGAAGTAAAGCCCGGCGAGACCATAGAGGATGTGGTCTCTACAGCTAGTCCGAGTTGAACGACAGAGCGCGTAATGAGTGCCATGATGTTCCAACCCGGGGGGCCATTGCTGCTTCCACACAAATCGAGCGCTAAGATGACGAGCGCTTGTAGTGACTTGACGGACGAGTTCTCCATGCCATAGAGAATAACTTTGGCTTTCGAAATCTTGTGGTAATTTGCTCGCCTCTCTTCCGTAAGTCGCACGTCTGTTGAATATCGCATTGTAGTGGCGACGATGGCGTGAAGCAAGATGAGGTCAGCCTCCTCCAGCGCAGATGGCCCAAAAAGACTGTCCAGTGTAGTTTTTCTGTGAAGGATCGGGCACCAGGTGTTGACATTTTTGAAGTACAAGTCCACGAGTGAGTAAACCAGATCGTATGGAGGTAAATCTTGGTCTGCCCCTTGGGTCCCCGCGTGGTGAGGGAGGTTTGCTGGCGGATGCTGATAGTATTCTGGTACCGCAGAACTTGGGTGTGATGTAGCCGATATGGTGGATGGCGGTCGCTGAAAGCCATCATGCATCACAGGGGCCGGGGTGACGGCGAAGTCGGGATTTTGAGGGCTGGCTGTGAACGAAGAATGCTTCTCCACGAACAGGCCCACGTCCTTTTGGGGTGTATTCAGTTGGTCGTGTGGCCGAGATGGGTGGCTAGAATCTCCCAGAGTGCCTTGCTCACCCGGCAGCGTTTGATTGATGATGTTCTGGACTCGGACGGGTGAGCCGTCAGGCACCGTGTAGCCGATACTCTGCAGGATTTTGGAGTGGGAGATCAGTATTGACTCGAGATTATCGAGGCGCTGTTCCAGTTCTTTCCCATATCCTGCCCTCAGTCCTGGCTTCTTGCGCTCCTTGTACTCGCATGTCGCCCCATTGCGGCTGCACCAGCCGCATGACGGCTGGCCACGATCACACTTGACCTGAGGCTATGTTAGCAGCTGCAATTTACTTCCAGCACAGAGGCGTACCTTTCTCTGTTTACAGAGTTCGCAGCTAGGTATGATAAGATTAGCCCCTCTGAATGGATGGAGATGGACAGCGTCCACTGCCTATAACCCCACGGAAGGTTCCGGCACGGGGTGATATTGCCGACAAGTGCTATATGATACGGGATTTTGAGGTGGGGAGAGACGAAAATTACTTACGAAACAGATAACGGTCGCTTCCTCTTTGAGCCACGCACAGCGTCGTCGTCGACGTCGCTCTGGAAGTCGCTGTCTGGGTCAAGGCCCACGTGGTCAGCGGCCGAAGGCGAAGGTTCCGCAAACTCCGCGCCGCTCTGCATGGCGGCTCAGGTTACTCAACACGGGGCAATTTGATCTGTCTGAAATGCAACGACGGCCAGGGATTCGGGCAATCGCCCAATAACGATCTACCTGCACGGGCAGTGTGGGTGCCAGCACGGCCGTACGGGGATGACTAGAGGAAGTTCGGGGTAATGAAGAGCGGCAGGACGAGAATATGTCACGCGCGGCCAATTCCCCAGAAAGTTGCCGTCCGTCAATAATTATTAGTTATCAAGTTGCGCCGGTTGTTGTCTAGTGGCAAAATAGTCGTAAACGGCATGGACCCCAGAACGTAAACCTTATAGTATGGCTCAGCGCAATGCAAGCTGTCTCAGGAACGTTGAGGCGCCGCCCGATGAATTCAGACCGCGATTTCTCAGTCGATCAAGGGGCTTCTGTGTTGGTTGAGTAAAGATTCCCATCATCATAGCTGGCAGTTTGGGCCCTATCTACTAACCTGAGAAAGGCAGCTTGTATCTGCGCAGAAGAAATTATTCTGCCTGGTAACGCGGGGGGGTTGCCCTGACTCGACCTCTCTCTCAGCATTGACCAACCTTCACGGTCGCGTCAAAACTACAACTGTTAAAAAAAATGAAAATGAAAAAAAAAAATTGAATCAAAAGTCAAGGCCATGTCTGGATCGAATGAGGTGGATGCAGAGTAAAATTATTGCGCTGGCCATCTGCAGTGTCGCCGTTTATTTGCTGTGCGTTATAGCCTGATAGCCCACCTTAAGTTTGACCTGACCTTGACATTGGAAAGACGGGCAGCTGCCGCACGGTCTTTCATTATTATTACGCCTGGGAGGTGCAACTAATGTTCCAATTAACCAACTGAAGAGTGCTGGGCCCATCTCTTTTTACATAGGATGTAGTATGTAGCGGCACAATCACCAGGTTCAATTTGTCAATTCTTCACTGATCAAGTAAACTAAAAGGTACAAATACCTACATACTACAGTACCTACACACATACATATGTAGCTGCTGAACTGACTCCCTGCCCCAGGACATGTACTGCACAGCACAGTTGTCGTCTTTGCCGTTCCAACCGTGGAGAAACAATCTACTGTAATGGAAAAATAGCGGTGGGGGGCAGACTTGGTGCATCCATATTCACCACATACTAGTCACCTACTTAGCTGTGGAATGATGAGGCTCATCGGGGCATCTGCAGCCGACCAAGTGTATCGCGCGGCCCCGCCTCACCCGCGACGCATTCCCATACCCGAACTTCCTTTGTCGGTGTCTAGTAGCCTACGCACACCTGGTAGGCTGCATCATAAATATCTACTATGGCCTCGTGTATTCCCGTTCGCCACAGCCTGTAAACTGATGACTGAACTGCCACTGCTCAACCGCCAGTATGGCTTCTACTGTGCGACACTTTCCAATCATCAAGGCTGTCAGGTCGTTCATCATTAGCGACATCGGCTCCGGTAGGTTTCGCCTTGCCTTGAATAATCAAACCAATTTCGAAGCAATTTTTCTGATCAGTATCTAGGTGGCGACTACCATAACGTGGATGGCGGCCATTGGTATGTATACTTGGCTGGCTAGTTCCTCAAATGCTTTACTTACACTGGACTGATAGGCTGATTGATTCCAACATCTCGACACCATGTTCGATATGGCCGCAATATCGCAAATCGCGAACCAGCTGGGGGATCAATGCTCTTGGGTCATTCTTGGTGGAAATCGAGGCCACGGATGGAACAACAGGTCTAGCTACGGGGTTCGGAGGTATGTAGTCCCCATGCCTTCTCTGACTATTTTCGCACCTCATGCTGAAGGTTCTCCAATACAGGGCCACCTGCTTGCTGGCTTCTTCACAAGCACTTTGAGCGCTTCCTCATCGGTGCTGACCCTCGGAACACTAACCTGCTCTTCGAACAAATGTATCGCGCCTCCATGTTCTACGGTCGCAAGGGCCTCCCTACCGCCATCATCTCCGTCATCGATTTGGCCTTGTGGGATCTCATCGGAAAACTGCGAAACGAACCCGTTTATCGACTGATTGGCGGCGCCATGAAGGAACGCATAGACTTCTACTGCACCGGCCCGGAACCAACTGCAGCTCGGAAAATGGGATTCTGGGGCGCCAAAGTTCCATTGCCATTTTGCCCAGAGGAAGGATACGCCGGGCTACGAAAGAATGTGGAATTTCTGCGGAAGCACAGAGAATCAGTCGGCCCTGACTACCCCATCATGGTCGATTGCTACATGAGTCTAAATGTCTCCTACACAATCGATCTGGTCAAGGCTTGCCAGGATCTCAATATCAATTGGTGGGAAGAATGTCTGTCTCCGGACGACACCGATGGCTTCGAACAGATCAAACGGGCGCACCCGACAGTGAAATTCACAACAGGCGAACACGAGTTCTCGAGATACGGCTTTCGCAAACTCATTGAAAGCCGAAACCTCGACATCATTCAACCCGACGTCATGTGGCTGGGCGGCATGACTGAACTGCTTAAAGTTGCCGCCATGGCGGCTGCATATGACATTCCTGTTGTCCCCCATGCTAGCGGGCCATACAGTTATCATTTTGTCATCTCACAGCCCAATACGCCGTTCCAGGAGTACCTGGCCAACTCGCCTGACGGGAAGAGCGTTTTGCCCGTTTTTGGTAGTCTGTTCATTGATGAGCCCATCCCAACAAAGGGCTACTTGACAAGTGCAGATCTGGATAAGCCAGGCTTTGGATTGACTCTGAATCCTACTGCCCGTTCGAATTTGGTTCCGTCCGACTATTTGTTGAACCCACCTCTACCTCCTGCTCTGAAGGCTGTCACAAATGGCCAGGACCTGTCCGGAAACTGCGCCAATGGTCTCTCAAACGGGCAGCGCTAGCGACCAGGACGTTTCTGACCATAATTTATGATTAGCAACCCTGGTTTTTGAATGCATTGCCCTTGGTTAGCTTACATTGCTTCACTATGGGTTAGAGGCGACAAGTTTGTGGTGATATGGTGTACTTCGTACCATTGACCGGGGACAAGAAATATGCATAGGTTGCATTTGGCATAAGTTTCAACCGAGACTTCGAAAATTACGGGGTAGCTTGGCAACGGTTTATTTTTATTTTAATTAATATATATTTTAATTGATAGATATTTTAATTAATAGATAAATTTCAAGTTACTAGACAAGCCATTAAGAGAGGGTGAGTTCGGTGGAGCAGTCCACCGTTTAGCAAAAGCTCTGCCGTTTTCATCTTGTAAAACGGTGGGCTATACGACCCTGCGCAGCTGTGCAGGCCTATTTTACCACCATTAATATGCCACTTACTATTTTAACAGCAACTAGTCCGGTTAATAAACCATGTGAAATTTTAGTCTCTGATCGAAGCTCTCCCTGTTCAGCACCTGTCGTCTTTCGCTATAATCCTGCCCGAGCTGCGCACTTGAAGCTGCGGTTAGATTACGCTACATTAGGGTCATACTTGATTGAACCCGGCTTACGACACCGGATTGATCGCTGATACCTTTCGACGCATTCTTTTCCTTCTTTCGACTTAATCCCTTGGCCCAATCGCCCAGACATCGAAAGGCCTACCATGCCTGTGAAGGGACTATTGAAGGGCAAAACCGCACTCATTACGGGCGGCACAACTGGCATCGGTCGCGCCATATGCCTGCGATTTTTACAGCAAGGGGCGGATGTGCTTGTCAATCATCTTGGATTGGAATCGGATCGGTTTCACTTGGATTCGCTGATAGCAGAAGCCGAAAGTCTGCGACAACAAGACTCACAATCCGGTTTACTTGCACACCAGGCTGGCGATGTGCGGCATCAGGAGACTGCAACCCAGCTGGTGGCTGCCGCAATTCAACACTCCCGCAACGGACGGCTGGATATATGCGTCAGCAATGCAGGTGTATGCACGTTCGCCGACTTCCTGACCCTCTCCCCCGATCTTTTCGAAGTGACGGCAAGGACAAACCTAGACGGAGCATTCTACGTTACCCAAGCCGCGGCTCGACAGATGGCGCTTCATCAGCAGCCGTCGGGAGGCAGCATCATTGGCATGTCTTCCATATCCGCGCTGGTTGGCGGAGGCCTGCAGACTCACTACACTCCCACGAAAGCCGGCGTCACTAGCCTGATGCAGAGCACGGCTGTGGCCCTGGGGAAGTACGGTATTCGGTGCAATGCGCTGCTGCCGGGGACGATTCGCACGCAGCTGAACGAGAAGGATCTTGCGGATGACGCCAAGAGGGAGTACATGGAAGGACGGATTCCTCTGGGCCGCACCGGGGTCCCAAACGACATGGCAGGGCCGGCCGTATTTCTAGCTTGCGACGAGTTGAGTGGCTATGTGACGGGAGCGCAATTACTTGTTGACGGCGGTCTTTATGTAAACCTGCAGTGAGTCTAGTGTCCGAAGCCCAGGGTTTGCATTCAAATTCGCTGTTTGTGCAGGTTGCGACGCTTGCATGCTGGTCCAGGGTAGGTAGTGCTGCAACGAGATAGGTACGAGTCTGTAGACATGGACAGAAAGAACATGCTAATACGGCAACGATGTAAACGCATTACATTCATGTATTATATCAGAAATAGGAGTTCCTCGGCTCCTCTTTCTTTCTCAGTAAAGCGGTATGGGATTTATCGTTGTAAGTGGGAATTATTCTCCGTATTGCAGCATTAGAGAATTAGTGCCACGCCTAGTCTTTTTCTCAAATTGATATTAGCGTTACGGCATCCAGGACTACCACGTTGATAAAAGCCCTTGCTTGCCTAATCACAATCGTTTAGACCAATGATCAAGAGCGCGGAAACGGTTGGATGAGCCGTCGGGGAGACCTGGGTGGCGTGTTCGACTCTTCAACCTCGGTGGATCGCATCTGACGTCATGGTGGACCAGGGACTTCGACGGACGATTCCTTAATATCTAAAACTACGAACGCTCAATCAGTCAATCACTCTTGAGAACTGAAATGGCGAAATGTTTTATAGGTAATGGCTTAAATGGGTACATTCGTATTATTGGGCCGTTGTAGGATAGGATTGCTGAAGCAGACCGACAAGCTATCCATCACAGCCGTTCCTCCCCAGAAACGACCAACGTTTAACAGTTTTCCCTTCACAGTCGACCAGAGGAATCATTGTACTCTACTACACCGCTCGGAAAACCATGTCGATGTTTTTCCTAGAGAAGAAATCCGAGAACTTTGCTAAAATGCGTGGCTTGAGACGTGGTAGATTATTACTGAGTACCTTGCCCTGCCGTTCTTCACTTTCGGATACCCTTCCAGGGGGTGATAGCAGGATGTGGCGCTTGTTCCGAGACAAGTTGACAGGGTAGTTGGCAAGCCGAGTGGATTTCTTCTAGTGTCGCGGAGGCCGAAGGATGGCTTTGCCTGCGTCATCGCAGAAGGGTTGAACGATTTTGCAACGCCTGAACTGGTCGTGCCGAGAGTCGTATCAACCATCGCCCCGTATCACACCCTCCTGATCCTTCATTGGCCGCCGCTTGTCAAAGTTTTGTAAATGTGTGGAACTACGGTGGATCGAAGCCTTGCCATCGAGGACGTCTGGCGATTGTTGCCACAAAACGGGCCAATAGGGAAAAGGAACCTGTTCGTTGACATACTGCATGACTTGCGGCGGTAGACGTAGCGGAATATGATGAAGTCACCAACAAATTCGGGCCAGATATAAATATACTACTACCTCCCACCGTTCAAGACGGTAGAATCTAAGACTCCATCTTCACTCTCATCACCCATTTTTCTCCACGAAATCAGACCCGCATCAAACTACCCCAGGAATCTAGCAGACGATCCTAGTGTGGTTCTCTCGTTATTCTTTCATCTGACCTTCGAAACCCAGTACTCTTGTACACCATGGCCACACCCAAGCAAGAAGCCGCTTTCTTCGAGCAAGTGGCTCATGTCAAGAGAAAATTAAGTGTTTCTACGGGGACACCTATTTCTTCTGTGCCTGGCTCACCTGAGCTGGGTTCTGGCAGCTCCAGAGGCAGTACAACGAGTATTGCAACCCCTGGCTCCGTCAACTCCCCCAGCAATGTTGCTGATTCATTCGTCTTCGCTTTCGATATCGATGGTGTACTTGTTCGCGGCGGTAAGCCTATTCCAGAAGCTATCAAGGCGATGCAAGTTCTCAACGGCCACAACGAATATGGTCTGCGCATGTAAGTCGCTCCAAATCCTAGCACTCCGAAGTTAACTAACACGTTACAGACCTCACATCTTCCTCACTAATGGAGGTGGAAAGACCGAAGAGCAGCGCTGCAAAGACTTATCCGGCCAACTTGAGCAAGATGTTCGACCTGGCCAATTTATTTGCGGACACACCCCGATGAGGGAGATGGCAGAGAAATATAAGACGGTCCTCGTCATCGGCGGCGAAGGCGAGACCTGCCGCAATGTTGCGGAAGGCTATGGTTTCAAGGATGTCGTCACCCCTGGCGACATAATCAAGCACGACGCCGCAACAACGCCCTTCCGCAAGCTCACGGACGAAGAACATGCCAATTCCCGCACCCGAGACTTTTCCGACGTCGTCATTGACGCTGTCTTTGTCTTTGCCGACTCTCGAGACTGGGCTGGTGATATCCAGATCATGCTTGATGTCGCCATGTCCAAGGGTGGCGTCCTCAGTCAACGCAGCGAGACCTTTGACGAGGGCCCTCCTTTCTATTTCTCCCACAACGACGTTGTGTGGTCCGCCGCACACGAGCACGTCCGTCTCGGCATGGGTGCACTGCGTCGCATGTTCGAAATCACGTTCAAAGATATTACGGGTGGCAAAGGCGAGCTTCACACACACGCCTTTGGGAAGCCCCAGGTTCCCACGTTCGAGTTTGCCTATCGCCTCATGGGCCAGTGGCGCCAGACGGAGCATGGCCTGGTCAAACCCCCACAGACTGTATATTTTGTCGGCGACACTCCCGAGAGCGATATCCGCGGCACCAATGCCGTCAACGAAAAGGCGGACAATGAATGGTACAGCATTCTTGTCAAGACTGGCGTATACGAGGAAGGCACTGAGCCAGCATACAAACCACGGGTGACTGTTGATACTGTTCTTGATGCTGTCAACCATGGTATTCAACGAGAGATGCGCAAACGTGTCGCAAAGACTCTCCAAAAGCAAAATATTACGCCCACCGATACCTCGGCTGTGGTGGAACCTGATGAACTCAAGGTGTAATGGCCATTCTGGATGTCACTCAATTCGCCGGTCTAACCCCGCTCGAATTCTGTTTACGTTTTCATGTCTTATGAGTTTTATATCAGAAAAGCATTTTCGTTTCCGGATGGCGTTTTTGCTTTCTATAGTCACCACAAATTCAATACCTGGTTGTTAGGCAAAGCCGATGTCATCCAACAGCAGGAACGACGCATCTTAGACAGTTGTCCACATATTCCATATTTGTTGAAATTTAATGATTGGAAAAAATGCATGATCGCTGGTGTTGCAAAATCTGCTGGTGATTCACACAACTCATTGCACAGCGAAATAAATATACAACCTTCCCAACTGTCAGTCGTCGTGGAAAACAAATCCTCCCCATGCCGATGACACTTGCCATCCAGCAGCGTCAACTGCTCTTTGGCGCTCCTCCCGCTGCTGCAGCGCCTCTTGTAAACTTATGTCTGGCGGGAATGGACGTACTTCTTCTCGGTCGACGCGAAGCCAGCCTTTCCACCCAGCATTAATATCACCCCCTCCTATGCTACCGAGCACAATTGTTCCCCAGAGTTCTCTGCCAGCACTTTGCTTTGCTCCGTCATTGTACATCATGAAGCTTTCCGCGTTGGCTATGACGGTCCTGACTTGCTCGCGCGTGTCTTCAGGCGGTCGTATAATGTATATGTGCTGAAGATCAGATTTGCTGCAGTTCAATCTAGAGGCTTGAAATCGGTCTTCATAGTCGATGATGATGATGGCTTTGTTGTTGGGGTGGGAAGCGAGAGTCGATGTGATCTTGTATACCAGTGGTAGATAACGGCCCATAATAGACAGTCCCCCAATCTTAGTATGTTGTAAGTGTCTGGAAACCACCTCATCTAGTTCGTCTATCCCTGTAGACTTCGTTTTGAAATTTGCCGTTGACCATCCTCCCTGTGTTCTATTTTGATGATATGCGTTCCGGAGACTATCGAGAACCTGCGTATGTCAGTCAGATAACTACCGTGCTTATGTGGGCCAAACAAGCAGAAACGAAAGGTAAACAATAGCCAGATTATACATATATTAAAAGCACAATATTTTCATCTTCCTTATTTCTTCCTTGTTTTCCCTTCGGTTGTTGTGTAGTTTTTTTGGGTTGTGCGGTTATTGTGGCGTGCGTTTGTGTCATTGTCCAGGCAATTTTACAACGCACCTCTTCCAAACTTTCACCTCCCACCTCAGTCAGGAGACGACTACCCAGCGCTGCATCCATCAGGGGATTGTGAAATGTCACCGCCTTGTCCTAGTTTTAATGCGTCGGAATTACCTGTCCGTGTCCAGCAACTCGCTGACGGCCGGCGGCGTAAGTTGGATGGGAGCGCCCGTCGGATAGACCTTTCGGTGTGCGATCTGTTCAAGATGAATCAGTGGGAGTGTGAGCTCAAGGATGAGTCGATGTCACACAGCCCTATCAGTTGTTGGCCTGTAACTCGCTTCTTTCGAATGTAAGTTTTTGCCCTTCGTTCCTTTTTTTCAGTCTTGGAATGGAAACCTGACAGTGATGGTGCAGGTGCAAAGATAACAAGGGTACATTCTCGGTAGAGACGACAGCTTGGGAGGGGAAAGCTAGCGGCACATCTCGGCCTTCCAGCAACACTCCCAATCAAGCTACGACATTTCAATGGACGAACAACTGGTCGGATTCATGATTCAGGCGGCAGGCGGCAGGCGATGGAAACTATGAACTCCCGCCAGACATATCAGCAAGTCGGGTTGCTCACAATTAGGCTTGCATGATCAGAACTCGCAACAACTTGCGTTCGACACCAGGCTGCGCATACCATTCCTCTTACCCTGAGGCACATTCTCACTAGGAAACATCCTTCTCTCGATCAGAAATTCAATTTAATAGCCCTCTGCGCAAGACGAGGTAACCAGTCAATTCGCCCCGGTCCCCAAGGGTAGTGATTCATGAACCAGCACGTTCACTTGATAATTCTCATCAGTCAGCAAATACTGGCTAACACTGAACCAAGAGCCCATGGCAATGACAATATCTCGATATTCGAACAATCCGAATCCAGCGCAGGAAACGCGGGAGAACCCTGCTTGTCATTTTACTTTTTGATTCGAGCAATTCTTTGCAAAAGATAGCACCGTATTCACAAAAGAGATTTTATTGAAGGCCCAGTTCAGGTCTATTCGGATTCCCTGCTTAATGTACACATTATCCGGTGACCAGTCAGTCCAATACGGACATGATATAAATCACTCCAGCGTCTATTTTGCCCAATTCAGCTGCATTACAGCCGTTTCCATCCAGCCCATTCGGCCCATCTCTTCTAAAAACGCATCGGCTCGAATCGGATTACTGCTTCTCGGCATAACGCTTTTCCTCCAGCTTCGAGTAGTATTTGTCGCGGGCAGTGGTACGGGGAACGTGATAGCCGTACCTATTTTGGTTGTTAGTCTCTATACTGTCGATATGTCAATGCAAAAGTTCGCGGTAGGTCTCACCAAAAGGCATTAGCCATGACAAAGCCAGCACCTAAAAGCACCAAAACGTCAGCACGCGGGTATTTGAAAGCCGGAGTTCCTCTCTTTGCGAGGTCCAGTCGACTTGGAACCTTGAAAGCAGAAGCAAACTCGAATCCGAGAACGTACCAAGACCAATTCCGAGGTCAATGATGAGGCGGCGGCGGAGCATCTGATGATGGTTAGACAAGTCGAAAGGGAACAGCTCGGGTCAATAGAGCTAGTGCGCGCAGCCACGACGCAGAGCCATTGAGCTTGTGAAAACGTACGCCAGTAATAGGAGCGACGGCCATTTTGATTTTATGTGTCAATTTTCGGCGTTTCGAACGAGGTGGGCGTGTAGTTTTGTCTTGCAGGACTCTCGTTTGGGATGGGAGTGATCTTCCTAATACGCAACCGAGGATTGGACATCGAACGATAATCGCGCTAGTGAGATCACGTGATTCAATTTACTACCCGGCAAAACCGCGGTCCCTGGGAAAAGTTGGCTGCGACATGAACTTATTAGGGAGCTTGACGGGAACTTGTGCAGTGCAAATAATTGATTGCATTACAAGGGGGTAGACGATTCTACTACTGCGATGAGTCTACGTCTCGCCTCCCGACGGCTTCTGCCACCAGGTAAGTTGCTCAATGGTTGCTCCCCCCTTTTAATTACCTAACTCTTAGAAAGGGTCACAATTTTCTGCGTCAACCACGACGGTCAAAAGCTCGTTGCCAGTAACCGGAGGGACTGCCGTGCAGAGACGAAGCAAATGGAGCCTGTTCCAGGGTTGGGGAAAAAAATCCGAAAAGGAGGAAGCGTTCGCCGGACTCAACCTCGACGACCCCAAAACGCGACAGCAGTTCCTCGACCGTAACATGAACGGCAGGATCGAAAACAATATCTTCCAGGACGAACTCGAGACGGCAGCTGCCAAAGATGCCAAAGATGCCGCACGCAAAAGACCCGAGAATGTCGAACAGAAGACGCGGGAGAACATGGCCATGGTTGTCGACCCGGACCCTCTCGGCCGCATGCGATGGCAACGGAGAAAGGTCATGCAGATGGTCCGCAAAAACGGTCGCATGACGAAGGACCAAAAGATCAAGATGACAGAGCGCCAGCTCGTTCACAAGAGTCCGTTTATGGCAACCAGCGTTAAGAAGCTGATGCTTCTCGCACGGCAAATCTCGGGCAAGTCGGTAGACGACGCTATTACACAGATGACGTGGTCCAAGAAAAAGATGGCCGCCGAAATTCGATACTACCTGGAGGAGGCCCGCGATCTTGCCATTGCACAGCGCGGAATGGGCTTGGGCAGGGTCAATGGCGAGCTCTACGACAACCCCAAAAAGATTCAAACGCGCGAAGGCAAATGGGTCGAGGTCGTCGATCCATCCCGAATGTACATCGCGCAGTCTTGGGTTGGCCGTGGAAAGTGGCGCGGGAAGAGCATAGACGCCAAAGGGCGTGGAAGAATGGGTCTCATCCAACACCCCGCGACCTGTGAGTGATCCCAATTGCCGTCTGTTTTTGCAGTACTACGAAGCTAACTCTAAACCAATCTAGCCCTAACTATTATGTTAAAGGAAGAGAGGACAAGGGTGCGTGAGCACGAGGAGCGCGAAGCAAAGAAAGCTGCGAAGGGCCCATGGATTCATCTGCCCAATCGTAATATTCACGGCCAGCGACCATATTACAGTTGGTAAAGGCCGACAACACATTGTACCATGCTTTTAAGTTCATGGACACGAGTTCAGTTTGAACTAATTAGAGAATTGTAACAACACATGTACATAAAATAGAAGGTGTAAGAACTGAACAAGAAGAAAAGAGATTTCCATCCTGCCTGCAGTGACTGGTTACCACCCGCGAACAGTCGAAATTGACTTGACATAGAGTAGTTGAAGCCATGGTATAAAAAAGAAAAGGTAAAAGAGAAGAGGACTGTCGACTATGCACGTGACAAATTCCTGCTCATATCCAATCACGGCAGTGACTTGCATGTGTAGGACGGAGTGCATCGATCATGTTCACCACCACTGTTTATGCGCCTCAGCACGGAATTGTGTAGTGTGTAGTGTTTCTGTTACACCATTGTCCGTGGCTGCTGGCTGGGGACCATGTCCTCGTAGCGATTCGAAGTCATTTCGATGTCATGGTTGTACTTGTCGTACGGGTCGTGGTTTCGTTCCCGATCGTCACGCGCGGGGTATGTGCGACCGGAACCGGGGAGCGGCTTCGATATTTCAATGGAGTGCCTAGGCCCAGCCTGCTTCCTCTTATTCCTGAGCAAGCAGAAAGCTATGACACCAACAGCTACGACAACAATCGCAACGCCAATCCCGATCCCAGCTGCTGCGCCAGACGAAATACCATTGGCGGGGACCGGCGAGGATGCTGGCGAGGTTTCGCCAGCAGCGGTTGTTGAGATGCTTGGCCGACTGGATGTGGCAGAGACGGACTATTGCCATTTAGTAAGAGTTAATGACTAGCTTCACATGATGTCATGCTTACAGTCGGTCGATTGGTCGTGGTAGGGGTGCTCGTGGTAGTGGCCAGAATGGACGAAGTGGACGCGGTCGTCGATGTCAAGCTTGGCGATGTCGACATCGGTGAGGGTGTCTGTGATTGCGTCGATGATGTTGAAGGGGGTGGCGTGCTTGCTTCCGGTGAGCTTGTTGTGCCTGTCGGGGACGTTGGGGACGCAGAAACACGAGCAGCGGGCACGCGCCCGGCTTGCGCTGCATTTTGTTAGCATATGATGCTGTGTCTAATCTATTGACGCAACTTACAAAAGCAAAATCTTTCCGGATCGCTTCCGACCAAGCCTTGTCGGATTTCATCAACAGTTGCGCCGCAGGTCTGTGAACACTCGGCCACGAGATCCACAAACCCTTGCTTGTCGCAAAGGCAACCTACTTCATTGGCAGCTCCACATCCAAGGTCTCGGAAATGGGTATTCTGAACCGTGTTGACGCATGTTGGCTATAAGCACTTGGGGTCAGATACAATAGCTCAATCACAAGATGGCTGATGATACTGACGACACAACTACCGTCGGCCATGACAGTGAGGGTGTTTAATGCCAATAGGGCTAGGGCAGCCCAGATCCGAAATAGGATGATCATTTTTTGTGACTGTTGTCGGTAGGTTGATGACACAGAAGCGCGGTCCAAAGGTTCACGAAGGTCAGCAAAAAGGCTGGGACTCGACCCCAGTAGTTTGAAGAAGATTGATCCCCCACGCGGTGGTACAAGTAGCACCACAACTGTCGACTTGCCGGTGTAGTCTTTGCGAATTGGCAGTCCGAAGTAAGACCGTATCGTGTTTGGGCGTCACTCGAGAGAAAAGAGGCTGTAAGGGGAGGACTGGTCGCGAACACGATGTGAGGTAGCGAGGTGCGAGGTGCAACGAAGAATGAGCGACGGGAACGCAGCTAGGCGTAAAATGAAAGACGGAATTGAGCGAAGGAATAGAACGAGACGTTGGAACGATTGGAATACGGCGCGGAACCAGGCAGCCGGCGATGTTAAAGCAGAGATTGCCAGTCAATGGCGGGGGGATCTGCTAACTACCTAGCAATTTTGAGGGGATGATGGAAGAAAGGAGCCGATTGTCAGGTACAGACTACCTGTTACCTCCTAACTGCCTACTAAGGTAGGTGGTCAAGGAGAAGTTAGGAGGTACCTGGGCCAGGGAGCGGTTTAAGCAGGGGCGGCCGTGCTGGCTTCCATCCCAAGCCGGCGCCGGTGTGTATGTACATACATACAAAACCCAACTACTTCCAAAATAGGTAGGTGCCTCAGCGAGCAGACAAGCAGGCCCAAATGTAAAACACATTCAACTTGGTATCGGGCTTGCTTGTTCTCCGATGCCTCTCTAACTATTTGTGCTTATTGCAGCTTCGTGATTAGGCAAGTCTCGTAGGCGGGTAGCCACAGCTCGAGGGAGGGGGTCTGTGGAAGCATTTGCCTAACTCTGAACTCACTGTTGCCCCGTAGCCCCTGTGCCTGAAAATAAAAAGGAAGGTAAAATTGGACGCCCGTGGGTGGCGCGTGGCGCACTAATCAGCCCAGTACTGGTTGAGACGCTAGTTATTTTAGGTACTGTCAGAGGGTGCACAGGCCTCCGGCCGAGTTTTCGCCAGGACTCAGGGGTAAGGTCGTTAATGTTACTGACAACAAGTTGCAGCACCGTCGCTGCTCAATGGCAGTCGGTACAGGGATGAGCACGATGATGTCATCGTTGGCGACTTGCTGGTTGGCTATGTACGAAATAAACAAGCCAGATCTGCGACGTGAGAATGGCGGCCCGGTTGAGACATGGGGATCGCTGGGCGGTCGTTTGGCCGTCCTTTATATTTACACACCGCTTTTTGGATCCGTAATGAATATGGGTTTGGGCTTGTCCGGAGCCCCTACTCCTGCCTGGAGCGGTGCTCTTGTCCTTGTGGGGAGAATTCATTCAGGTGTGGCATTCTGCCTCTGTCCACCGCAGACAAGGCGGTTCGAAGAAGTTTGCCGGATTTCGCCAACAACAACACAGCAACTAGAATGATACTGCCAATAGTTATGCCAGAAAGATTATTAGCATCGACCAAGACACCTCCATGACAGCATGCAACAAGACGAAGCGGGATTATCTTCACGATTCACAGTGAACTGCACCACACACAGGGCAGCTCATGTCTACCTCTCTACCTATATAGTGGTATTGAGCTTCGAAGTTTGAAGTGTATATACATATACGTACATACACTTTACTAATGTTAGGGTAGGGTGCCTTTTGTAGTCTGAAGGGAGATGGTGCGCCAGCTCCTTCACGCCCCACAACGCCTAGCCGATAAGCCTTATCAGCAAAGCTGTTACCTTTTACGAACCTAGCGATGAGGTAAACAGGCAAACAGGCTTCATCTTTGCCAGCAAAACAAACTGCCACCCATATACATCTGCGGACACCCCATCATCAAAACCCCAACTGAATCTCATCGTCCTTTTGAAACAAACGTTTTCAAAGTCCTCGAATGACCACCAACAAACCCTAAATCGACTGCGATATGGCCAGTCCGGTGGGAGAGGAGAACTGGCTCTCCTACTTGGAGGAGGCTGCGCGCAACGCTACCGACCTGGAGCAAAGTGTCAATATTATCGAATTATATAAAAAGGCCACGACTGCGGAGCCTGGCAGCCTGAGAATATGGGTGGCATACTGTCAATACTTCTCTTCACTTCGCGCCGCAAGCGCCAGCGCCGACACAGGATGGTCTGACGACGAAAATGCGATTGGACGAGAAGTTTATTCACTCGAGGCGGAACTGGAGCTATGGAAGCAAGGCTATGATGCCATCAAATTCCGCGTTGGTGACAGTCATCTACTTTGGGATAAATGGATCGCTATCGAGAAAGACCAGCTCGCCACCTCTGAGCAAACCGAACCCGTCACAAGAATTATCGACGAATTTAAACGCCGCCTGACAACCCCACACATCACATGGGATGAGACATCGAGAGCTTTCTCTAGCTTCCTCTCAGAGTACGACCGGAGCACGTGGGAGACTTTGATGAAAGAAGTTACTTCGTCCGCCCAGGCAACCAAGGCCATCATTATGGCGCGAGACCCCTTCGAGATGCGTATCAGCCAATCGATTAGGCAAGCTGATCCAGAGCTTCAGCAAAAAACTATGCACGAATATCTTGAATGGGAAACGGCACAGAGCTGGAAAGATCAACATAATGCGCAGCTCGCGGCAGATATTTGCGCCGGTCTCTACGACAGAGCACTTGCGGGTATATTTACGTTCGATGAAACGGTATGGTATGGGTACTTGTCATTCCTGTCGGCCCGCCCCCAGCTCCATCCGCCTGACAAGCTGTTCGATGCTGCGCGCCGCGCTGTTCAACATTGTCCATCGTCCGGCCGCCTTTGGGCTAGGTACCTACTCTGTGCGGAAGAGTCTGGGTTGTCATTTGAACAAATCGAATCAATCAAGACCTCTGCTACAGAACAGGAGCAACTCTGCTCTAACGGCATGGATAGCCTGATTGAAATATATCAATCGTGGTGTGGATACGTCAAACGAACTGCTATGAAGGCGACTGACTCCGATGAACTTGTGGAGATAGCTGATGCTGCTATTAAATTTTGCATTGACGATGTTAAAACTACAGGCAACAAGCTATACGCCAAAGATTTCCAGGGCGACCCCAAGCTGAGGTTGGAACGAATATACCTGCAGTTCCTCGCCGAGGTGAAAGATGCTGTTCCAGAAGCCAGAGCCTTGTGGAAGAAGCTGGCCAAGATCAAAATTTATGCGGACAAATATGAATTCTGGACACTATATTATACATGGGAAATGGCCATTTTTTGGACTGAGCTTCATCAAAACCAAGGACCCATGTCCATACCGTCAGACCGCATACCGTCGCTCGCCACCGAAGTCTTACACAAAGCATCATTACGGCGCACTATCGACTGGCCTGAAAAGGTCCTCGAGCTATACATGCAGCACTGCAATGACTACGAATCACCTGAATTGCTGCGCAAATGTCTGGACAACGTATACAGGGCCGAAAAGGGAGTCAAAAAGCGTCGACAGCGTGAGGAGCAAGAGCAAGCTGCCGCTTATGCTGCTTATTATGCTTCGGCGGCACCGGAGACGCAGGTTGGCGCTGCTGATGATGCACAAAAGCTAAACAAGAGAAAACATGATTCCTTGACGAGTAGTGATGGATCTGTACAAGCCTCTGTGAAGCGCCAGAAAAGCACACAGGACGAGGTTGATGTACAGGCAAGCGGTTCTCAACCTGGGAAGCGCGACCGCGAAAACTCTACGATTATCATTTCTAATCTCCCGCCCGATACGACGCAAAGCAAAGTACGCCAATACTTCAAGGACTATGGCCATATAAAAAGTTTTACTGCCTTTGTGAAGGAGGAAGACCGCAATTCCATCACTGCACTGGTTGAGTTTACGTCGTCTGCTGAAGCTGAGTCTGCCCTGCTTCGCGACCAAAAGTATTTCGGGGAGCGCCAAATACAAGTTGGATCAGGGCATGACTTGACGGTTTATGTCGCCAACTACCCCCCCACCGCGGATGAGAGATACGTACGTGAGCTGTTCCAAGACTGTGGGGAGATTTTGAGCATTAGATGGCCCAGCTTGAAAGTGAACGCACATCGTCGCTTTTGCTATGTCTCTTTTCGTGACCGCGCCGCGGCAGCTTCAGCGGTGGCAAAAGACGGAAGGCTTCTCGACGGCAAGTTTAAGCTATTATCCAAATTTTCGGATCCCGCACAAAAGAAGGACCGCGAAGGTGCCGTCGCCGAAGGTCGCGAAGTGCACGTGGCAAATTTGGATAGTGCCGTCGTGGAATCAGAAATACGAGACATCTTCTCGAAGTACGGAACAGTCACTCGGGTCAACATACCACGAGGATTTTCCGGCAAACCACGGGGCTTCTGCTTCCTCGACTTTGAGACTAAAGAGCAGGCCCAAAAGGCAGTGTCTGAACTGAACAACACGAAGTTCCGCCATCAAATATTGCAAGTATCCTTATCCAAGATGTCCAAGGTCAAGACAACTGCAAAGTCTGTCACTACAGCTGCTGTGGACGCCGACGGGAATTCTTCTATGGCGGCCAGCGTAGGTGGGACAAGGGGTAGTGCTGTTGCCGCCGAAGACATAAGTGCTCGCACTATTGCTCTCTTTGGCCTCCCCGATACTGTGAACGATGCTAGAGTTCGGAAGCTTGTGGACCCATTCGGTTTTATCATTCGACTGGTGATGCAGCCAATGCATGGCGGTGCCATCATTGAGTTTGCAGATACTGCTAGTGCCGGTAAAGCAGCTCTTCAGCTCAATAGTGTGGAGTATGAGGGGTACAAGCTGCGCACAGGCTCACCAGATGAGCTTCGACGAGCGAAAGCAGAGCGCGGCGATGGCCAACCAGCCACAAAAGCAAAGGACAAGCAAGCACCATATGGTAGTAGTGCGAGCGAAAAAGTTGCGAGCAGCAGCGGCTTCATGCCTGCACCCAGTGGAATTCGCCGCCCCGTGGTGGCTCGATCTGGCCCGAAACGTGGTTTGGGGTTCCCACCGCGAAAGGTAGCTAGCAGTGACGAGGTAGCTCACAAGGACCCGTCAGCAACTAGGCCGAAGAAGAGCAATGTTGATTTCAAGGCTTTGTTTCTCGCCAGCGGCAACAAAAAGGGTGAGGAGAATGGCCATGAATGACACGGAGATGTAGGATTTGGAATATCTATGTACATTTGGGCACACAGGACCGAGATGTTGTAAAATACCCGCATTATCAAACATAAGGAAGCGTTCCAATGTATCAAGTCTATGCCATGGCCGCGCTGATCTCATATCTGTAAGATGAAAGTCTATCCTACCCGAAAAAAATGGCAGGATTGAGTTGCCATGATATCTATCACCTGATACAATACGCCCTGACAAGCGGCATGTTCGGGTTTTTACGCCTTTGACAACACTCCAATAGACTTTTCCTGGTTAAAATCTTGCGTAAAGAGTCGCTGCCAGACGTCAAGCCACTTCTCGTGCTGGGCGGTGGGAAGCTTGCCGGGTTGCTTGAAGGAGCGCGTCAGAAGCTCTCGCAATCTCGTTCGAATGACTTTGATGGCGAGCAATGTCTTCCAATCCGGAACTGCAAAACGGCCTCTGTTTCCATCCAATACAATGACGCCAGCAAACATCCGCAAATCAACTTTGTCAGACTTGAACCATAGAAACGAGGGGGGATCTCAAAGCGGTACTTACATCAATGCGAACATCCCCGCAAAGGAGAGCAATGGCAAATGGATCCGCAGCCGTGGTCTCGTGAGCTCGGTAGACTCTTGAGCAGGGGTCAGTTCAGTTAGCAGCAGCGGGGTTGACGATGGAACGTACGATTTGGATTGCATAATATGATAGTATGACAGCCACTTGATGTCGGAGTTGCCACGGTTCACCGATGAGGGATGTATGCTGATGGACTGATTATTGCCAATATTCCGCATACCCTTCATGCCAGGCGTGTCACGCACCAAGAGCTTGGGATAAAAGCTCCAAGCGACCACTGACGCAGAAACTACATTGTTATCGCTATGCATATTGACCCGCCCAGGAATTTCGAAGAAGTGTTGCTGCCGACGACCACGCCCTCCGGAGAAGCGCTGCCGTGAAAGTGCCTTTCGTTCCTCGTCAGTGAGCGGAAGGAAGCCGGAGTCTGCGAGGGAGACTAGAAGCTGGCCCTTTAAATCTTCAATATTTGAAAGGGTTTGTTGGCTAAGGAAGTTTTTGCGACAGAACTGCATTTCTTTTCCCAGACCGCTGTTTGATTGGCATGTCCTTTTCCATCCCAAGTATGCATTATACACTGTAAGAAGGTCCGAGTCCGCTCGTCGGAAAGCTGCGCGAGCATTATCTGCCTGTGCGCGTTGTCCGAACGGGGCAGAGAAGGGCGACTTAGACGAGAGGATGGCAGCTAGCGTGAGTGCTACATCCAGGCACTTGAAGACTGTCCCGAACAGGATCAATTTTCCGAGAAACACATCCAATGGAAGACGTGCAAGTTGATGTCCCAGTGGCGTCAGATCTTCACCCTGGGTAAGCGCGCGTACGTCTATCAACGCATCGATGGCGCGGCGAATGTTCTTTGCGGAGGGAGGATCCAGCGCATCTCCTAATGTGTCCTCAATTCCGCCAATCTTGCAAATCTTGACGCGAATTGCCAAGTCTTGCAGCGACAAACGAAGCATCTCCGGGGTTTGCTGATCGCTCATAAGGTTGTTATGTCGGAATTGAGTATACATATGAAAGCAGAGACCTTTTTGAACACGGCCCGCTCGACCGCGCCGCTGCTTTGCATTGGCTCTTGAGATGAATGTGTCAATCAATCTTGAAAGCTGACGCCGTTCATCGAATCTCATCTCACGATGCTTGCCAGTGTCGATGACACAAGTAACATCTGGAATAGTGATGCCCGTTTCAGCGATATTGGTTGCCAGCACAATTTTTCGCGTGCCAGGGGGAGGTATGCAGAATGCCGACTCTTGGTCATCTGTTGCGATGGTAGAATGCAAAGGATACACGAGCCACTCTTTGGCGAATCGGGGGTCGCCAAGAAGCATATCATTCAGGGTTCGTATTTCGGCGATGCCAGGGAGGAAAACAAGAATAGCGCTGCTAAAATTCCGCAATTCTTCATCCGTGGCAATACGAGCGATGAGCTGTACGATAAGATCAAACTCGATTTGATACTCATCTAGCTGGGAAAGCGTGCTGCGCGTTTTGGGGGAGTATGCAGCGAGAGATTGAGATATGTCACTCTTGGGTGCATCGGAATCAACTTCTCCGATATCATCATCCAGATCCACCATCTTGTCACCAGCCGAGTTTGGAGGTGTATAGCCTGTGAGCTCAATGGCGTCCTCAAGGTAGCGGACTTCGACAGGAAACGTTCGACCAGGGACGTTGAGTATTGGGGCGTTGCTCAAATACGCCGAAAATCGATCTGCATCGACAGTGGCAGACATCAGAACGACCTTAAGATCTTTTCTTTGAACCATCAAGCGCTTGAGGACGATTAGAAGGAAGTCACTGTCAATTGAACGTTCGTGGACTTCGTCCAGAACCAAGTGTGTAACTTCCTTCAGGTCGTTTGAGCCCTCGAGCATACGCATGACAATACCAATAGTTGCGTACACCAACCTGGTCTCCTTCGACACATTAGCTTCAAGTCGAATTGAATAGCCGATTAGTGAGCGATTTGTTCCTATATCATTGCGGTTCTCGCCTAACTCTTCACTAACGCGACGAGCCAGCGAGATGGCAGAGATTCGGCGGGGTTCAGTGCAATAAATCTTGCATTTTCTTCCACTGGATAACTCGTTCTCAAGAATAAACGATGGAACCTGTGTACTCTTTCCACTAAAGGGCCGTTAGTAGCGCTCGATTTTGCAGTTTAAAAAACGTACCATCCAGTCTCACCGCACACAATGACGATTTGGTTGTTTGCGATAGCATCCAAAACCTGAGATCTGAAATTCCACATGGGGAGTTGCATCCGGGATGCCTATGCAGTCTTATTAGCCGGCTTTTGGTAACTGAGTGCTGATGATACTTACCAACATGGTCCGGAACTTTGGAGTGCCGGATTTATCCGCCCATAGCTTTCTCAGCAGATCAGCGTTGCCATTTGCTTGCTTCGTGCGGTGACCATTCTGGTCAGTCACTTCGGATTGTTGCTTGATATTTCCACGTCCGCGGAAGGCGCCTTGTATGATGACGCCATCTTCCAACTCCTGATCAAGTCTTTCTCGTACCAAGCTTCGTAAATCTTTCACCACGACTCGATCTGCAGCATCTGCGTGGTTCTTCTTGGCTTCCGCCAACTCCGACCAGAGATCTTTCCAGGTTGGTGGTAGTCGTAGGTTGACCTTCTCTTCTCTCGCGTTGTTGCTAAATATATGGAATAAAGCCACAGTAGAAATGTATGCTTCAGATTGTTTGGCATCATGGGTGGCGACTCCAGCCATTGTGAAAGAGAAATGGACGGGCAATATATCTATCGACACAAGCGTTGTTGATACTGGTTGAGGCGGCTCTTGGGCCTTATTCCACCAAATGTCTAAACTTTGCTGGTTTGCGAACGAAGCCTCGGAGACGACTTTGAACTGAATTTTGACGGTCGTGTCCCTGATGCTGTGTTGGTATGATTTGCTACCTGGAGAGACGCGTTGACGTACCTTGATCGACATGCTTCCTCCAAGATACGACGGGGTCCCAATCCCGTCCATTTGCCGAAGTCTTTAAGCACCAACTTCACACCGTTGGCGCTGTTTATGACTGTTTGTGACTTGCCTGTCGCGGGGTCTACCTCATTTTGCGGCAGAGAGTCAAACAATCCTCCAATATCGTCCATTTCTTCGCCCTGCCCAAGAATTTGCGCCGCAATTCGCTCAGCTTCATCATTTACACTGTCTTCTGTGGGTTCATCTGGTTTTGGGGGCTCTATGGGCACTGCATGTTCGCGTTCCGCTTCGATCTGTTTTTTTGTGGCGGCCAGCTGCTGTTCCACAAGAATCTTCTTTGCCCGCCATTGTACTTCAGCGCTTGGCTTGTCAAACAAAACGTCATTTGCGATCATCTGAATTTTTGCTTCCAGTTTTGCCATCGCCATTGAGTTGTCTTCAGCACCAGCTGCTGGGTTTCTAGTGAGCTCCAAGAGTTTTGTTTTGGCGAGAATGTATTCGGGTATTAACTCGTCGGGTTCGATATCGCTATCGCATGTGCCAATCGTTTTTCTCACGGGTGACTGCATCTTTCGGTCTCGTCCATCAGTACCTCTACCAATCGGTTGACGACTAGGCTTGGGTGTCGCAGGTCTCGAAGGTATTGGACTATCGCTTGGTGTCTCTCCTATTTTCTCAATAAGCGAAAAGAACTCTTGAATTTATCACAGGGCTCAATTACCTTTCGAAACTACCTTGTGCTTGTTCTCATAAGCCGGCAATTCATCCATGTCACATTCGCGCGCTAGCCAGTCGAGTGACTCTTCCAGCCCCCAGATGAGATCTTTCCCGGGAGGGGATATACTTGGTGTTATATCGAGAACATGTTTTAGAGTTGAGCGGACACGATTCTCTTGGAAGCCAGCGGACTGGAGCGTAAGTTGAAGTGTCCACAGGCGGGCAACCATTTCCTCCTCTGACGGCATTTTGCCAACCGCATGGCTTTCTGCTGATAGGCTAGAAACAGAAAACCGGGTTTCGCCAGAAATGAGATCTTGAATATGGCCCATAAGCTCGGCGTTGAACCACTTTACGCTGTTGACTGGCTCTGCCTGGCTTCGAAGCAGCCTCCGGTCCGTCTCCAGACGGTTGCGTTGCCGAGCCGCATCGCGTCTGCATTTCTGAGCTAACCTTTCCACCAAGAGCTGCAGCTCAGACTCTTCAAGATGCCGTTCAAATTCTTCGGCACTCAGTGTCGTTTCCGTCGTGTTGTTGCCGTCTGCCTTGGGTGCCTCAACGGTCTGCGGAGGAGTATCCTGTTTATCTAGAGGGGCATTGGTTGGCGCGGAAAGTTCAAGCTCGGTCGCTTCAGGTCGTGGTTTCGCTGCGATAGACGTGGTCGCAAATCCTCGTGCAGGGTTCGAAGCCGGCTTCTTCTTCTTTTTATTGCCGGCCATGGTCGTAAATGGTTAAGGACACGAAGCGATGTTGAGGTGGGAGGTTGTGGACGTGGGGCAGCATCCTCTAACTCTTGTCCCAGATACGGAAGAAGCAGTATGTACTGGTATGGGGCGCGCGCCAAACAACGCCTTCCTTGTTGTACCTACTGTAGGTAGTTGCTAATTGAGCATCTACGCTGCCTACCTACCCCAATGACTGAGGAAGCAGAGGTAGACTTATTTCTATGATACAGATAACTATTCTTAACATATTTCGCAGATAATAATATTGCACTATGAGGCAGTTTCAGAGCCAAATAAAAAAAATTAACACCGTGAAAGTATCTTGAGTATTGCCTTATTACATAGCAAAATCTAAACTACGGATTTCCGTACTCCCGTTCACGCGCTCACAAATAAAACATTCTAACACCTTTCGAAAAGGAAAAACTGGCTCAGGGTCATCGGCAGCGACAGTATCTTCTATACTGTTTTTATCATATAAAGCGGAAGAAACTTCAATAATTTTCGTTGTTTTGTATACCAACCCTGCCGCGTAAATCGTTGAGTCAGACCGAGCTGGCCTCGCCGAAAAATTATATGCCAATTCGAACGGATGCGGGAAAGCCCTAATTAGGAAAACTCGCGCATGCAGGTTGGTGACTTCAAAATTCGAGTTTTTTCTTCTTTTGCTCGACTTTGAATTCTCTACTCAAGTGATACAATATATATATCTTTGCATCTTCCCAGCACCATCACACACGAATATACACCACCCCCTCTAGGAGAGGGCCGTTAGTAGTGGGCGGTGAATTCCTCAACGTGGGGTCCTGGATCCTGGCTTTCTGCCCCAAACACCACCACGATCGAAGCTACTGCCGCCGAAGCAGCCCAGCTACACAACGCGATCACAAAGATTTCGACTTTGCGTGCAGTTTTCATTGCCCCAAATGAACTCATAAATCTGACAAATACACGATTGTGCCGACATGACCGAACCACTTTCTAGCAGCGGAAGCGCGTTGGCTAGGTTCAACCTTGCTGAGACGGTCAGGATCTTGGCCTCCTCGTCAACTTCGGCCCGTATTGCACGGCTCCAGTCTCTTGACGAGGCAATTGCGCACAAAAGTATACCTAGACTGCATCCGCGGTATTCGATTGTGCTAATAAATTTTAGAGCTCGATCAAGATGACAGCCAAGTTGTTGTCCAATCCCTTTTCGCTACTGTTCCGTTTTATCAAGACCGCGAATCGAGACTAGCCGTACAACGATGTTTGATATCCTTGCTCATGGCGAATACCGAACCGCAATTTATTCAGTCCATTGTCCAAGCTGTCCACAAAGAGAGCCAGAAGCAAGCTGTAGCTACATCTACCGCATTTGTTTGGGTTGAGTGGTGTAGCGTTCTCATACAACACCTAGCTGGAACCCATCGATGGGAAGCATTTGGAAAAGAAATTGTACTATCAGACGCCGAACTTCTAGAAAAATGTCTCCAACATCCGTTGAAGCATGGCATTGCTCGATCCGCCCTGGTTGTGACGCGACGAGCGTACCGAAAGCTTTTTTCTATGTCTGAGACTGGTAAGAAAGCTTTGGAAGATGCCGTCAGAATCCTTACAACAAAGCAAACCCAGCCTACGGCCAAATACTCCTTGATCCTTGGAGTAATCGCGGGCGTATGCGCTCGTTCACCAATGCTGAAGGATTCGTTTTCTCCTGTGAAGTCGAGTTACTACGATTTCTATTCCCGAGAGTTGATCGGTTCCCGCATCACTATACCCATACACATCGCCAATGGTCTGGTCGACTTTTTCGCCGCCTTCTTGACGCGGGAGGCGCTCAGGACAGACATTATCCCGAACATTGAGAAGGGACTGCTACGCTCTCCCGAGGTTATCCTCACCGGAGTTTTGAAGCCACTCATCAGCTCGCTTCCGAAAGAACTCGAAATATCGGATATTTTCGAGAAAAGCCTCCTCAAGCCAATTATGTCAAACCTCAAATCGACAAATACCTCAATTCGAGACGCTTCTGTCAGCGTCTTTTGCGCTGCAATCACCCATTGTCAAGACCATGAAGCTATTAAACGCATTGTCCAAGAAATTTCTGGCCCTTTGAAAGCCGGTAAAGTGGCTTCTGCCGATCATCGCATTCTTCACGCTTCCATGCTGGGGAGCATTCCTTTGTCTTCAACAACTTCGGAAGCTGTTTCTACGGCCCTTGCAGCTGTCGCATCGAAAGAAGGAAATGAGGCAGCGCTCTCCGCAGAGCTTCGAGCCCTGGGCAGAGCAGCTAGTTTCACATTGAGGAGCAACAAGACCGTTCCCACGGGTACTCAAGAGGCACTTGTTAAGGGCCTTGCAGAGAAAAAGGCACCAATCAAGAAACTTTGGATTCTGAGTGCCGGGCAGATCTTGTGGAACAATACTGATGCTTCCTCAGTAGCCAACACCAATGCGTTCGTTGAAGCCATCATACCAAGACTACTGACGACTCTAGACGAGGTTGCATCAAATCCTGCAGCGGCTGCACAGAGTGGGTTGATAGTGGGAGCTTATGTTCTCATCGCTCTGCACAAGAGGCTCGACAATCAATATCAGAATTCTAATCTGACACAGCTGTTGGCCAAAGCAGACATCGCCAACAGAGCACTGAATGTCACAGATAAGCAACCTATTTTGCTGAATGCGAGAATTTATAGCAAGGCCAATACTGAGGAAGACCTATCCTGGCTTCTTCGCGCGCTAGCCGCTTCGTCGGAGCACCTCACAATTCTGAGTGGTGAAGCTATCTCACGAGCGTGGGCCGAAGCTATGGCATACCTCATTTCCGCTCACTCTGTTGCCCCTACTTTGCAGCGGAGAAGTTCAAAAGTTTTGTCGAGGCTGTACGCAGAACGACCCAACGTTATATCCAGCTTCATCATTGATGGGTTATGGAGTGCCCTTGGTCAGCTGCAAAGCAGTGGGAAAGATGTGAAGCAGGAAAGCGCAAATTTTGCCAGAGTGCTTAGGTCGATATCTCTCAATCCTACAGAGATGCCCAGCAACGATGAATCAGAAATCAAAAAGTACTTGGAAGAGCAAGCCTGCTCAATGATAGTCCTGGCGCAACCAGAACTTATCACCGGCTCGAATTGGATTGATACTGTCATTCGAATGGGCATTGATCCCGGCGAACTGGCACGTAAACATCGCGATCATGTACTGAAGGAGATCGGGACTAGAGCTGCCCCTGAGAACGTAAGTACCGACAAGATTTACGCATTTTCCGAGCAAAATGCTAACGATTCGCATCAGCCTGCAATTCTTAGGCAGGCGGCGTATAATGCTGCAGCTGAACTCGCATTTGTTGCACCGGATATAATTGTCCCCCGACTTCTGGAGCTGGTTGCGCGAGATTTGAACCCTGACGACCTTCGCTCTATTGGCCCGCTAGAAATGGCAATTTTCAGAACACCTGAAGGAACATGCTTTGTGGACGTTCTTGGAAAGAAAGCGAAGGGCGTTCTTCCCAACAAGAAGAGTGCCGCTGAAGATATTTCCAGGTGGGAGCAAGACGCTCGAACCCAAATTGAGCAAAGAAAACCTCAAAGCAAGAAACTATCTAGCGAAGAGGCGTCAAAAGTAAATGCCCAGTTGAGGAAAGAAGAGACTATCCGGGACTCGGTGCGAGAGTTGCAAGCAAGGATCAACCGGGGCGTTGGTGTTATCGAAGCGTTGGCCAGCGGTCCTCCAACAGACGCTACATTATGGCTCGGCCAATCCGTGAGACTTCTGCTTAATGCCATCGAGGAAGGTGCATCTTTCGTCGTCGAGGAGGTCGTCGCGACAGCCTTTTTGAAGTGCTCTGAGAAGATCTCGATGAGGCTTGGAGCCATGCGACCTTTTATTGGCGCCGCTACGCTGCGACTGAACGATGTGGCACTGCCTGAAAACTACTACGAAGAGCCTCTCGAGGATCTTGTGACAAGAACACTTTATCGATTGAGGTTTGCCGGTGAGCAACGGCCCTTCGATGTCGCTACCCTGACCTACGTGTTGCCTCTGCTGCTTGACATCCTACGTACTGGCGGCGTTGGAGCAACTGACGATGATCGCGACGCTCAAATCGTCCTGGCTGTGGAAGTCATATCTTTCCACACTGATGTTTGTGAGGATGAGTCACTCCCGCGTGCCGAAGTTTTTACAGCATTGATCGACGCGATGCAACGGTACACACAGCACTACAAGATCATAAAAGACTGCTTTGCGGACATCTGCCGCTGCATTGCTCCCAACATCAGCCAGAGCGAGATACGCGTCCTCGCCAAGGGCTCAACTGTCCCTTCTGGCACAGTCCGGACAGCTATTTTGCAATCAATCAGTGCCGAGGTTGATATGACAGAGTTGCAATATTCTGATGAGATTTGGTTAGCAAGCCATGACGATCTGGAAGAAAACAGGGAGCTTGGTCGCGAAATTTGGGAGGAAAGTGAGTTTTCTATCAGGGAGTCCGCCATTGCTACCTTGTTGCCGTACTTGGAGAGTAATGATGCACAGCTGCGCAGATCGGCTGCTAGATCAATTGCTGAAGCAGTTGCCTCGCGAAAAAGCGTCATTGAGTCTCTACTGTCGCAGTTGAAGAAATCCTATATCGAATTTGCAAAACCAAGAGCACAGAAGCTTGACGAGTACGGTATCCCTATCAAAATGAATCTCTCTGATCCCTGGGAGGCCAGGCAAGGCATTGCCACTGCATTCAAAGAGATATCTCCTATACTCGACGCTACACAGCTGGAGGCGCTCTTTGTGTATCTCATAGAGTCCGGCCCTTTTGCTGACACCAATGGCAATGTTCGTGGCGAAATGTTAGATGCTGCTCTCAGGGCTATCGATAGCCATGGCAAGGCCATGGTTGAAACCCTAATGAAGAGATTCGAAGCGACTCTTGAGAATGGCGACAAGAGCAATGATGCTGCCGATCGATTGAATGAAGCTGTCATCATTTGCTATGGCGCTCTTGCCAGTCATCTTCGACCTGGGGACACCAAGATTCCAGTTGTTATCCAGCGCCTCCTTGGTACTCTCAGTACACCGTCCGAAACTGTGCAGTTCGCGATCGCAGAATGCCTTCCCCCACTTATTAAGGCGTACCCCGAGAACACATCCAAATACATCGAGCAAATTATGACTGAGCTCCTCAATTCAAGGAAATATGCGGTGCAGAGAGGAGCAGCGTACGGCTTGGCAGGGGCTGTTCGGGGCCGAGGGATCGGGGCGCTGCGCGACTATCGTATCATTTCCAATCTCAGCGCTGCCTTGGAAAACAAAAAAGATGCACAGCAGAGAGAAGCGGCGTTGATTGCATTTGAACTTCTTTCAACTGTTCTTGGACGGCTGTTCGAGCCTTACGTCATACAAATTGTTCCCCAACTCTTGGGCGGATTCGGTGATAGCAATGGCGACGTTCGTGATGCTTGCTTGGCGGCTGCGAAGGCCTGCTTCGGCAAACTTAGCTCTTATGGTGTCAAAAAAATAATGCCTACCCTTCTTGGCGGTCTTGACGATCAGCAATGGAGAAGTAAGCGTGGCGCTTGTGATTTGCTCGGTGCAATGGCCTACCTTGACCCAAACCAGCTCGCCACTAGTTTGCCCGACATCATTCCCCCTCTCACCGGCGTGTTGAACGATAGCCACAAGGAAGTACGCGCAGCGGCAAACCGGAGTCTGAAACGATTTGGTGAGGTTATCAACAATCCGGAAATCAAGGGCTTGGTTGATATTCTCCTGAAAGCCTTGAGTGACCCTACCAAGTACACAGATGAGGCACTCGATTCCCTTATCAAAGTCCAGTTTGTTCATTATCTTGATGCACCATCTCTAGCTCTGGTGACAAGGATACTCCAGAGAGGTCTCGGTGACCGCTCTAACACCAAACGCAAAGCTGCCCAGGTTATTGGTAGTCTGGCTCACTTGACTGAAAAGAAGGATATCATTGCTCATCTTCCGATTCTGGTTGCTGGCCTGAAAGTTGCCGCCGTGGATCCTGTCCCGACAACTAGAGCTACAGCGTCAAGAGCACTGGGTTCACTTGTTGAGAAGCTCGGAGAGGATGCTCTACCCGATCTTATCCCCGGCTTGATGCAGACCCTGAAGTCTGATACTGGTGCCGGCGACCGTCTTGGTTCGGCCCAAGCTTTAAGTGAGGTCCTTGCCGGGCTTGGCACGACAAGACTGGAGGAGACACTACCGACAATTTTGCAAAATGTTGACTCTTCTAAACCGGCCGTCAGAGAAGGATTCATGTCACTCTTTATTTTCCTTCCTGTCTGTTTTGGTAATAGTTTTGCCAACTACCTCGGCCGGATCGTTCCACCTATCTTGGCTGGCCTCGCTGACGACATTGAATCAATTCGAGATACCGCTCTGCGCGCTGGTCGCCTCTTGGTCAAAAACTTTGCCGTCCGCGCTGTGGACCTTTTGCTACCAGAGCTAGAGCGTGGTTTAGCAGATGATAGCTACAGGATTCGGCTGAGCTCAGTCGAGCTTGTTGGGGATCTGCTTTTCAACCTCACTGGCATCAAGGCCAACACTGAAATTGACGAGGATGACGACGAAGCCATCAAAGAAGCAGGTGCCTCGCTTAAGGAGACTCTAGGAGAAGAAAAGCGCAACAAGATTCTCTCTGCACTGTATGTTTGCCGCTGCGATACTTCTGGTGCTGTTCGATCTGCTGCCATCTCGGTCTGGAAGGCATTGGTGCACAACCCCAGGACTCTAAAGGAATTGGTGCCGACTTTGATCTACCTTATTATTCGACGCCTAGGCAGTTCCAACATGGAGCACAAAGTTATCGCCAGCAACGCTTTAGGCGAGCTGATTCGAAAGGCTGGAGATGGCGTTCTTGCGAGCTTGCTTCCTACGCTAGATGAGGGCTTGCAGACCTCCACCGACTCAGATGCCAAGCAAGGCATCTGCCTGGCCCTTAGAGAACTCATCTCCTCTGCTACACCCGAGGCGCTCGAGGAGCATGACAAGACTCTCATTGCTGTTGTGCGAACCGCGCTTATCGATTCTGATGATGAAGTACGGGAAGCCGCTGCTGAAGCATTTGACTCCCTGCAGAGCATCTTTGGCAAGCGGGCTGTAGATCAAGTTCTCCCATATTTGCTCAACCTACTTCGCTCGGATAGCGAAGCAGATAATGCTCTGTCAGCATTATTGACCCTCTTGACAGACACTACTAGATCCAACATCATTCTGCCAAATCTCATCCCCACGCTCACCAGCCCACCAATCTCTGCATTCGACGCGAAGGCCCTTGCATCACTTTCTCGTGTCGCGGGCCCCTCTATGAATCGCAGGTTGCCCAACATTATCACATCCCTGCTCGAAAATGAGATCAACTGCACAGAGGATGAATTGCGTGGCGAATTGGAGCGGTCTTTTGATACGGTCATACAGTCCATTGACGAGTATGATGGTCTCAATACCGTCATGAACGTTCTCCTGGGTCTGCTCAAGCATGACGATCATCAATGGCGTGCTGCGACCGCCCGTCACCTGACAAGATTCTTTGCTGCGGCTACGGTGGAGTACTCGCGATACAACCAGGATATCATTCGTTCGCTGCTCAACTCCTTCGACGATAGCGATACTGCGGTGGTACAGGCTTCATGGGGAGCATTAAGCGCATTCACTAAGAAACTCAGGAAGGAGGAAATGGAATCCCTCGTTCCATCAACTCGACAGACACTACAGCGCGTCGGTGTCGCAGGAGCAAATCTGCGAGGATTCGAGCTGCCTAAAGGCATTAACGCTATTTTACCTATTTTCCTGCAGGGTCTGATGAATGGTACAGCGGATCAGCGTGTACAAGCTGCTCTGGGCATTTCGGATATTATTGACCGCACTAGCGAAGCCAGTCTGAAGCCATTTGTCACGCAAATCACTGGTCCGCTTATTCGCGTTGTGTCAGAACGGTCAACCGACGTGAAGTCTGCCATTTTGATGACTCTCAACAACCTGCTGGAGAAGATGCCTGCCGCGTTGAAACCCTTCCTACCTCAACTGCAAAGAACATTTGCCAAGTCTTTGGCCGACGGCTCGAGCGAGGTTCTGCGCACAAGAGCTGCCAAGGCTCTTGGAACGTTGATCAGGTATACTCCACGAATCGACCCTCTTATTGCCGAACTCGTTACCGGATCGAAGACTACAGATGCAGGCGTGAAAAAGGCCATGCTCAAGGCCTTGTATGAGGTTATTAGCAGGGCAGGCGCGAACATGGGTCAACCTTCCCGCACGGCGATATTGTCTCTGATTGATAGCGATGTTGACGAAAGCGATTCTTCCATGGCAATCACAAATGCACAGCTTCTGGGCGCCTTGATAAAGAACGTACCCGAAGAAGCTGCAGCAAGCTTATTACGCAACCGTGTGGTGTCAGCAAACTTCAATTTATCATCAGCGCTTGCCTTGAACGCTGTCTTGGCCGAGTCCCCGGAAGTTTTGGTCCGGAGTTCTGTGGCGGAGGAGCTGCCCGACCTTCTCTGCCAGGGCATGACTGCGAAACCAGTATGTTAATCTCGATATGCCCTCCTATGTTTTCACATGTCTTTAAACGAATACTAACTTCGGGACTCAGACCTTTGTCGGAGACAATTACATCTTGGCGGCTGGCAAATTGCTTCTCTCATCACCTCCTAAAAGCTTTGACGCTACAAAGAATATCTTCGAGGGACTTGCCAAAATTATTCAGCCGGGCTCCCCCTCGGATTCTCGGAGACTAGCCTTGGTTATCGTACGCACGGTGAGCCGAACAAACATGGAACTTGTCCGGCCTCATGTACCACTGCTAGCCACGCCGATATTCTCGAGCGTTCGAGACCCTGCTATCCCCGTTAAGCTGGCAGCCGAGGCGGCGTTCGTGGAACTCTTCAGCGTCGTAGAGGAAGAGAGCAGGATTTTTGATAAGTACATGGCCGGGCCGGGGGCAGATCTGCCAACAAATACGAAGAGAAGCATGACTGATTACTTTAAGCGCGTCGCAACCCGCTTGGGTATTCAGGCCCGTGAAAGAAGAGAGGCCGAAGGGGGACAAGGTGGTCTCGGTCTATCCAACGACGAGCAAGAAGACGAGCGTGAGATTTGGAGTGTTGGCCAAGTAGAGATTGAAGGGGAGAGTTTTACATAGTAGCAAGACATAAGCCTGGTGAGATTTTTTTTCAAAAAAAAAATAGAATCGATTTACAATGTATTTTGAAGGAACATGAGGACAGGGGCTTGTTGTGCAGATAGCTACATAGCTACTTACATACATAGTCACCTATGCTACATAACTAACCTCCCTGTGTCAACAACTATTTGATATCACGTGACTACAAATAGCCTCACCGTCTTACCTCATCACAGCCCTCGCTTAGTGGAGTATTTTGGGCTTAGTGCACGTGAACCCACAAACTCTGTGGTGAATGTGCGCGCCCCAAGAATTTTTGGCTTCCCGAAACCCCTCCCAAATCTTTAACCTCCCTCACAAATATCGAGGAACGACCATCGCCACCACCGATATTCAAGATGTGAGTAGCTACTCAATGGAGGACAATGCGGCGCGGAATTCAATTGCGGGAGATTGACAACATCTCATCTGATGAAATCGAGCCGATCGAAGATGACACAGAGACGATATATTGGGCTGATATGCTAACGAATGACCTCTTTCAGGGTCAACCTGCGAACTCAGAAGCGCCTCGCGGCCTCCGTTGTCGGCTGCGGAAAGCGCAAGATCTGGCTCGACCCTAACGAGCAGAGCGAAATCTCCAACGCCAACTCCCGCCAGACCATTCGCAAGCTTGTCGCCGATGGCCTCATCATCCGAAAGCCCGTGACGATGCACTCGCGTTCGCGCGCCCGCGAGCTCAACCTTGCCCGCAGAGTCGGCCGCCACCGTGGTTACGGTAAGCGCAAAGGTACTGCTGACGCGCGTATGCCGTCGCAGGTCCTTTGGATGCGCCGCCTCCGCGTCCTCCGCCGCCTTCTCGTCAAGTACCGCGCCAGCGGCAAGATCGACAAGCACCTGTACCACGAGCTCTATCATCTGAGCAAGGGTAACACCTTCAAGCACAAGCGCGCCCTTGTTGAGCACGTACGTTACGACTTGGGAAACAATACAATGTTGTTCGAGCTTGACCAAATGGCTGACATGATGTGGAACAGATTCACCGCGCCAAGGCCGAGAAGCAGCGCGAGAAGGCTCTCAAGGACGAAATGGATGCCAAGCGTGCGAAGACCAAGGCTGCCAGAGAGCGCAAGCAGGAGAGAGCCGCTGCCAAGCGAACTGCTATGCTTGCCGACGAGGAGTAGACTACATAAACGTTGCCGATGTCTGGAGAAGGGCTGCATTTGGAGTCTACGGGTTGGGTCTTGTTTTATGCCCTTCTGGTTATTCACTTGTACCAGCGGGGTTTGTGGCATGTAGCATTGAAAATGAAGTCCATATGCTCACGGATGGAAGGCTACTGGCGGTGCGCTACACATAATATGGCCACCTCTCGGACCAGTGCAATATGTAACGCGCATTGATGACAAAAAAAGAACAAAAGTGAACCATTTTTACCCACTCAGATCATGTGCTGCATGCAATGGAAGTGATGTCTAATTACGGACGTACCCTTCGGCTGTTTGAGATAGCCCAGTAGAGATAGCATGACAGGGGAATCCGAACGTTCCTTTATAATGGGAGAATCAGCGTTGGACTTCTATAACCTGCACATCAATGCTGAATGTATGAAGCAGTCAACGCCGCAGCAGACCTGTACGCAGTATGAGTTGTATTAGAGAGGAATGCATAGCCGGTACCGGTTGCCATCAGTTACGAAAAATATAGCCATCTAGGAACACAAAAATGTATCTAAAGAAAAGAAAGGAAAAGAACCAGGGGCCAAATAAAGCTACGTCCGGCTTCGAGACCGGAACTTGACAGTGGATGAATATCGAGGTTGGGTACGCGCTCGCCAGGCGACGGCGCAAAGAGTGTACCGAAATGATCAACTAGAGATTGGATCAGGTTCCTTCAAATTGCCCCAAAAAGGTGGTGAGGTGTACCGAGGCATATCAGCATGCTCCCGCTTGATGCGGAAGTACGATATGATGCACTTGGCGGTCTCTTCACGCCCAATTTAGTTGATACAGAAGAAAGGAAAACTCAACGTGTGGGGGACCTGAAGCATTTTTAAAGCTTTCTTGAGTTGGTTACTAAGCACGAGACGCCAGTCCCCTGCCCACGAAAAATGAAGTGCGGTCTACTGTCCGCGGCAGCGTGTCGAACTGCAAGAAAATAATAACTGCAAGAAAATAATAACTGCAAGAAATATCAAAGGCAAGTAAATGCAACCCACAGATGCTGTACACCTCGAGTCCAAGTCCGCCAGAATACTGAATTACGTATCCGAGACGAGAAGATTGTCGCACTCATTATGAGACATACTGGCTACATCTGACTGAATAGTTTGCGCCCCAAACATGTGATTTTCTTAAAAGGTACTAGGCGGTAGGCGAGATTCTTCACAGATTTTGTACATATCTTAGATCAGGGTGGTACGATGAATCGCGACCGGAATTGCCGTTGTCAAGTCTGTTATGTATTTGTTACCTAAACATATCGGCGAAGGTCTTGCTTGTCAGAGGTAGTAATATGGAGCCAATGGGCCCAGGCGCTGCTTGTGCTGCAAACTGTAGCGTAATGGAAGACATGTTTGGCTCTGGTGTGGCCAACCAGTATTTGGATGCGGGGCAACGGGAGCCTGCGTTTCTCACGGGTACCGCCGGTCGGAGCCCATCGGCTCTCCCATTTCTTAAGACAGCCCCGGCTCCAGACGCACCTGCCTGACACGATATTCCCAACAGCCTGTCACGGCCCTTGGTTTTTCTTCCTTCACTGACCTACTGATCCTTCCCTCTTTGGAATTCTAAACCCGTCGCTATCAGCTGCTGTTCCGTTCTGTTCTGTTCCGTCCGTCTTGACGACAGCTAGCACAGCGTCCCAACCAGCCTTGCGTGCCCCCAAACGACCCTACGCGATCGAAGCTCTTGCACCCGCTTCCGTCAAAATGTCGATACCTACTATTCGTGGCACTTCTGCTGCTCTTCGCGGCACCTCGCGTCCAATGGTCGCCCACGCCACTGTGCGCAGCTTTGCTCGCCGCACCAACTCCTCCATTGCGCTCGATGGCCAGCAGCAGGTATGAAGCTGCTGCCCAGGTTCCGAGTCCAATTGGTGCCAATGCTAATCCAAACTTTCACAGCTCCTTTCCGCTCACCTCTCCAAGGCTGACCCTGCCGTTTTTGACATCATTGAGAAGGTGTGTGCAATAATCGTCACCTGTGTTACTTTCAGTAGATCTAATGCCTTTACAGGAGAAAAACCGTCAGAAGCATTTTATCAACTTGATTCCCTCCGAGAACTTCACTTCGCAGGCAGTTCTCGATGCTCTCGGCAGCGTTATGCAGAGTAGGCATTATCAAGACCTTTGTCGACTTCGACGCGGCTAATTAGCAATGACCAGACAAGTACTCCGAGGGCTACCCTGGTGCCCGCTACTATGGGGGTAACGAATTCATTGATCAGTCCGAACGGCTTTGCCAGCAGCGCGCCCTTGAGGCCTTCGGCCTGGATGCTAGCAACTGGGGCGTGAATGTTCAGCGTAAGCAACCTCTATTCAATCGCATGAGAATCACACATTAATCCCGGGCGCAGCTCTTTCCGGTGCCCCTGCCAACCTCTACGTCTATTCGGCGCTAATGGATACTCATGACCGTCTCATGGGCCTCGACTTGCCCCATGGAGGCCACTTGTCGCACGGTTACCAGACTCCCACGAAGAAGATCTCGTCCGTCTCCAAGTACTTCGAGACTGTTCCTTACCGCCTGGACGAGAAGACCGGATTCATTGATTACGAGAAGCTTGAGGAGCTCGCTCTTCTCTACCGGCCCAAGATCATCGTTGCGGGTGCCAGTGCTTACAGTCGCCTGATTGACTACAAGCGTATTCGCGAGATCTGCGATAAGATCAACGCCTACATGCTCGCAGACATGGCTCATATCTCGGGCCTTGTTGCCGCTAAGGTGCTTCCTGGGCCCTTCCAGCATGCTGATATTGTCACCACTACCAGCCACAAGAGTCTACGTGGTCCTCGCGGTGCACTCATTTTTTTCCGCAAGGGCGTCAGACGCCAAAACCCAAAGACGAAGGTGGATGAGATGTACAACCTTGAAGGTCCCATCAACAACTCCGTCTTTCCTGGCCACCAGGGCGGCCCCCATAACCATACTATTACCGCTCTTTCCGTCGCTCTGAAGCAAGCTCAAACCCCCGATTTCCACGCCTACCAGTCTCAAGTCCTCGCTAACTCTAAGGCATTCGCCAAGCGTCTTGGTGATGATAAGAGCAAGGGGGGCCTTGGTTATAGCCTTGTCAGCGGTGGTACAGACAACCACCTGGTTCTTGCTGACCTTAAGCCGAATGGTGTGGACGGCGGACGCGTCGAACGTATCCTCGAACTTGTTGGTATCGCTGCCAACAAGAACACAGTGCCTGGCGACCGCTCTGCTCTTGTTCCTGGTGGTCTTCGCATGGGTACACCCGCCATGACCAGTCGTGGCTTCAATGAGAATGACTTTGTCCGCGTTGCCGACATTGTTGATCGTGCCGTTGCCATTGCCGTTCGACTCGACAAGGTTGTCAGGGCCGCTGCCAAGGAGGGCGGTGAAAAGAGCCCCGGAAAGCTCAAACTCTTCCTCAACCACGTTGGCAACGGCGACAGCGATACTGAGATTGTACAGCTCCGCAGCGAAGTCTCTGACTGGGTCGGCACCTATCCCCTTCCCTGGGACTCCGCCCAGTAAATTATCAGCCTACTATGTTTGAATATATTTTCTTCTTTTCTTGTTCATTAATGCGATGCAGCATTTTAATCATAAACAGAGGTGCACGGTCGGCGTGCTGTCCAGCGACGCAGGATTAACCTGCTCATGACAAGTTTTGTCGAATTATGTTACGGATCGATTCAACGGATACATCAAAAGGTTATCAGGCCGATGGCCTTTTATATAACACAACATTGATAGAGTTTTATGTTGTGATTTATCGGCCAAATGTCTTATTATTTAGGGAGTTGCGGTGTTTACAGAGTTCTGAATCATTATCCAGCGCGAGCTTAGCAATTCTATACCGTTTCTTTTGCTTCTGCACTTTCAAAGCGGCTCTTGGGAAGCAATTGCAAACCAACAGCGCATTTAATTTAACTAACTTTGTCCAGTAATATTCCAGTTTACCACCTAGGTCTGCTGCAACCTATCCAGCATCTTGACAGTACTGGGCCGCATTCTCAGTGCCGTGTAATAACTGCCAAGGGCTCTAAACTCGGCCAGCACGTCGCTTCCGCACCTCTCAATCATCGAATGTAAGACAGGCCACAGCGCAAAATCTGCTAGGCCTGGGCGATTGCCTCCAATAAAATCCGCGCCTGGCGTGCATAACTCCCATTGCTGCAGCTCACCTTTCAAGGCAATGAGCAGCGATTGATCGTCTTCAATGCTTCTGATGATTTCGCGCCATGTCGTAAGTAAAGAGAGGGATTTCTGAAAGAGAGTGAATTGATTGGCAAGCTCTCCTGGCATCACTACGCTTTTCTTCTTCTGATGGTTCGCATGCAAATAGAGCATGATGGCTAAATCACCTGTCACTTCAGTTTTGTCGTCGTCGTTGTCGACATATTTGATGAAAACATCGTCCGAAGTGCTTTGCCTGCTGCTCGCAAAGGTGGCAGATTTCTTTGACTGGGTAATGCTACCGCTGGCGTACCCAACTTCATACTCTGCAAGCATCATGCTGATCCTCATATTGACTATTGCGTCTGTGGATGAGAAGAACCTCGGTGCACTGCGCAAATGCAGAACATCGAAGCCTATGCCGTAGTAGGCATCCCAATCGAAATTTGAGGAATGGTTCTCTGTGCCGAAGGCACGAAGCATCTTGATACTTTCCTCCGTTTGCCCGTTGAGGACGTTTTGGGCATCATCGGGGGTTTTTGCGGTTGCTCCTTGTCCCCAGATTTTTGTTTCGTCCTTGCCTAAGAAGGTACCGATTTGTCTGAACGTCAATGAAATGCGGCCCCCTTCGTAGGCAAGCTCATCTGGGGACTTTTCCCTTTCAGCCCTCTTATCTTGTCGAATAGAGTGAAGCCATTTCATATTGGTCCTGAGTCCCATGCGGCAAAGGGAATTATGTGGTAGTGGCGCTCGCTGCACCTTGCGGCCACCGCTAGACGCATGCTGTTCATCACTGGAAGGGTCCTTATCCGCTCTTTTTGTTCGAAGCATCATTGTCCTTTTGGCGCCAAGGCTCACGTTTGCGATGAATGAGCCGCGCACAATATCTAACGTCTTGTCGCTATGCTCGGAGATGTAGTCCTTTCCATCTCGATAAAATTGTATGAGAACGTGGTTCAATGAGTGGCCGAGCTGCTCCTCTGTGACCGCCTTGATTGCCAGAACTGTCGGGGAAAATGGCAGTAGCCTCGGCGACTCGTCAGATGGATGACGGTATATCGGAACACTCCCATCACTGCCCACCTCTCCCTGTACAGCAACCAGGCGAGGGACCTCACCACCCTGGTGCGACATGCGTTGCCATTGGACTTCTTTGCTTAGAGTCTCGAAAATGCCAGCTTCCAGCTCTGGAGATAGAAGATTTTCAATTACGTCGGTATCCCCTTCGCAGAGGCCATGGAGTTGTTGATCGTTTTGTTGGGCGTCTGTATTGCTTGGCTCGGAGGCATTCATTGGTGCTGTGTGATTCGGGATGTTGTGGTTGTTCGAGATGTCCTTTGGCAAGATATTGGCGAGCGTGCTGTCTAAAACAGTTTTAGAAGTAGTAACTGTTTTTCCAGGTTCGCCTATACATGTTTGGTCAGTCAAGCTGCTTCCAACAGTTTCCTTTGTCTTCTCCCGATAACTTTCGCTGCCTGCATACCTTGCATAGCGCCAGCTTCAGCCGCGCGTGGCGCAATAGTGGTATCTAGCGTTAGGGCCCCCATGGACTCTGCAATGTCGTCGCCACCGCTTTCATGCATGCAGCTTGTTCTATCAAGGTCAAATGCAGGCGGACTTGGGGTCTTATCCTGCACGATCTCGGCTGATGTTGACAGGTCGCAGCCGGTCAAAATTTGGAGCGTTTTTATGGCCTTGATCTGCCTACCCTCGTTTGAATAGCCGCAACAATCCTCCACGAGGGTGATCACGAAACCGTGCCCAGCTGCATCCACAGTTGTGGCATACACGCCAGCATTAATCAGAGATCCGCAAACGTAAACTTCCATGGTCATTCTTGCTCGAAGAAGGCGCAGCAAACCGGTTCCCTCAAAGGCAGAATAATGAGATTTCAAAAAGAAGACGTCGGTCTTCTCAGCATAATCATCATCTTTGACAGTCTGTGGTACCTCGGCTCCAATCTTGGAAGAAAGCATGCATTGGGCTTTCTCGTAACTCAAGAACGCGTCGCAGCTTGCTGTTGGACCTTGGAAGTCCGAGTGCCCGGGTGCTGGGTCTTCCATGTGCTCATCATACGGAGGCCTTACCTCCTCAAACCTCGAGTTTACCCAAACAACGTCGCCAATGCGACGAAATGCCTTTGCCAAACGTACTGTTCTGTTGGCATATCCGTCAGGGAGTGTTATCGGTATCGCTGCGTTTTCACCGACGAAATCTTGCTGAAAATCAACAATGACCAGGGCCTTCCGTATTAGTAGCTGTGGTAGGGCTACTTGATCAAACTTGAACATTTTTGGCAGCTGGATGCCTTTTCGTTACACTTTCAGAGGGTTGTATGTTTTTAGTCAGGTTCATGGTCGTATCTATCGGGGCGGGGTTATTGAGAGGTGGTAGAGGCTCTCGCCCCGTGCGACCGTTTGTTGGTGAGACTCCAACCTCCAAGCCCCGCCACGGAAGCCCTTTACGATTATTACCAGTGACCAGCTAGACTCTGTCAGGCCGCCATTGCATGGGCCTGCAAAATATGAGGTTTCAAGCTCCGCGTCCAGCTCTGTTTACAGTAGGTGGCAGCATGTATTTGTCTTCTGTCAGGTTATCTTACCTAAAATATCTGCGAGAGGTAAATAACTACCTATGTACAGTACCTATCAACGCTCATGAGGGCGCAGGTACCTTGCTCCAACAGGACAGTACAACAAAACGGAAGCTGGACCTCCGTCCTAAGAAAGCAGCAGCAGCTCCACTAAATTCGTGTTGCGCCAACTTCCCGCACCCAACCTCCTCCGGTTCAGGACGTGCACCAGCTCAACACGTTATTTCAACTCGTGTCTGCCAAGTAAACCCTGTCGCTTTTTGCAAATCAGCCTGGTTTCTCTCCTGCGCATCAACTCAGCATGTCTGAAAAGCGCGAAGCGCCCTTGTCGCTCGAGGAAGTTGTCACGAAGCGACGGCGTGTTGAAGACGAGGACTCTGTCATGGAGGATGCCTTCTCGCCAGCTACACTCAACGATGCGATGGATGGCTACATCAATGAAGTGAAATTTCCATCGACACAGCACTTCAATGCACGGTTCGGTATTCAACGGTCTATAGCGCTTGTTGCGTCGCATATCGGTTTCGAATCTACCTCTCCCCAAGTTATGGAGAGCTTTACCGGGCTGGTAGAAGCTTGTATGTTTTCGAAATCACAACCAAGTGCTACGAAAGTATCTCTGACCTGTTTTGCAGATCTAGAATCAATTATCGAAGAAACAAAGAGACTGGCAATCGCGTCGCGGCGCGAGCACCCCATACCTTCCGATTTCGAGAATATGCTCAAGCGCTACAATCTACCGATGTCATCATTGACACCACATTTGAAGAATCCCATGTCAATAAATTCTGCGCCAATTTCTATTCATAACAACCAGTCCCATCAGTCATTCGAGTTCAAAGCGCTCCCATTACTTGGCTCTGAACTTAGTGGCCAGGCCGACAAGGACGCAAAATCATACATTCCATCGACGTTTCCCGATTTCCCCAGCAAACATACATATAAATTCACGCCGCAAGATAACGCCATGTCCCGTGACTCGCAGAAAATACGCGAGGAAGCTGCACTGAATGCTCAGCAGGGCGAAGATGCCCTGAGGCGTCTAGTACGCGCCTCAAAGATGCGAAATCAGAAGGAAGCCAAGGCCCTTGTGGAGAGAGATAATCAAGGTAAAGAGCGTTTCAGATTATGGGAGTCAACCATGAAACGATTCATGGGAGGAACCTCAAAAGACACAGCCACGGGTCGAGTTGAAATCGCAGATCACAGCATGATTGTGAATGGAGATGTGGCATTCTCCCGCAAAGATGTCTCACGCACAGGTCAGAGATCGGCCACTGTTCCTGGAAAGAGCTCTTGACGCTTTAATTGAACCTGCACAGTTGAACATGTTCCGCCCAAATGCAAACAAGGCTCGAGAAATTTTGCATCCACGATACCCACGCGCACCAAGATGCACTTATTAAGCATAGCATTTTCTTTCCAATTTCACACCACGCAGCAATATTTAGCTGGCTTGGTTCAATGGATTAATTTTCGACCTGATCAGATGAAAACTCCTTGGTTTGCTCATGTTTGTTCTTCGTGCTGTCAGCAGCACCATTTCGTAGGCGCTTGAATACCTAAGTACAGAGGTATACACTAGATGGCTCACACCACAAAGCAATGTCAGCATGCCGAATGCCACATGAGGTAGATAAAGTTATCTTTAGATACCTTGATACACTACATTTGGTGAAATGTCACTTTGTCGCAGGGCAGTTGCCTCCCTACGTATTTGTACCTATGTAGTTACACCCGCAGCTTGAGATAAGGCGCTAACGAAGGGATAGCCGTAAATTCGCCAAAGTGGGGTACAGTCTTGCGGCCCTAATTTCGAACCCGCACAAAAAAAATCACAATTTCGGCGGGGGTTGCATACAGGCAGACTGGCCCATAGGTTTTCACTGACCAGAAGCTGCCTTTGACTTGGAATCCTCCCAACCTCACACGTCGAACCTTCCACATCGACCCTAGGACCGCTGCAATGGCTGAACAATTGATCCTCAAGGGAACCCTCAAGGGCCACGTACGTTTTTCCGAGATGCTTGTGGCCGCGCATGCTTTGGAAAATCCTCAGCATGCTGTAATGTCATGGCGTTTTCGTTACCTAGTATGCTAACGTTTGTCCAGAATGGCTGGGTCACCAGCTTGGCCACTTCCATGGAGAAGTACGAACACCCGAATACTCGCGACTACGGCGACTACGATACTGTCTACATCGCAGCTTACTGACTGTCCCCCTAGCCCCAACATGCTTCTCTCCGGATCCCGAGACAAGACTCTGATCATTTGGAACCTCACCCGTGACGAGACGGAGTACGGCTACCCCAAGCGCTCTCTGCACGGCCATTCCCACATCGTCTCGGACTGTGTATGTTACCACTACGACTGGTTGAGTTCGACGGTGGACATGCTCGGCTAATTTTCTGGTCAGGTTATCTCCTCCGATGGCGCCTATGCTCTGTCCGCCTCTTGGGACAAGACTCTTCGTCTCTGGGAGCTCGCCACCGGCACCACCACCCGCCGCTTCGTTGGCCACACTAACGATGTTCTCTCCGTTTCCTTCTCTGCCGACAACCGCCAGATCGTTTCCGGCTCGCGCGACCGCACCATCAAGCTCTGGAACACGCTCGGCGATTGCAAGTACACCATCTCTGAGAAGGGCCATACTGAGTGGGTTTCTTGCGTCCGCTTCAGCCCCAACCCCCAGAACCCTGTCATTGTTTCCAGCGGCTGGGACAAGCTCGTCAAGGTCAGTGATTTCATGCCTTTTCCCGTAATTCACATTTATCTACATGATGCTTGCAAACTCAAAGTATTTGCTACTTCAGAGCCCCTGAGGCCATGAGACCATTTAACACCTTTGCCCTGATTTTGAACGTACATTCGTTCTTCACTGCTATTCATCGCTTGAGATTCTCGCGTGGCCCATGAGACTAACCGGCTATAGGTTTGGGAGCTTTCTTCCTGCAAGCTGCAGACCGACCACATCGGCCACACCGGCTACATCAACACCGTCACCATCTCTCCCGATGGCTCTCTCTGCGCGTCTGGTGGCAAGGACGGCACGACCATGCTGTGGGACCTCAACGAGTCCAAGCATCTGTACTCCCTCAACGCCAACAACGAGATCCACGCTCTCGTCTTCTCGCCCAACCGTTACTGGCTCTGCGCTGCTACCTCGACCAGCATCATCATCTTCGATCTCGAGAAGAAGAGCAAGGTGGACGAGCTCAAGCCCGACTTCACTGAGACCGAGACCGGGGCCGGAAAGAAGAGCAACGACCCTGAGTGTGTCAGCCTTGCTTGGTCCGCTGACGGCCAGACTCTGTTCGCCGGTTATACTGACAACGTCATCCGCGCCTGGGGCGTCATGTCCCGGGCATAAATGGTTCCCGGTGATGTTTTAACGACGAGTATGGGAGGTGAAGTGGCAAATCGGTAGATCATGGTGGGCGTCAAATGGTTGTGTTCCTCATTTTTGTCCTTATTGATGCACAGAAAATGGTGGGCGACGAAACACTGTGGCGAGGCTTTACACCTTGTCCGCTGTAAGCAGTCTGTAAAGAGGGCATTGCACATTACGCTTCCTTCTTCAAACAAAAAAAATATATATTTGAGAAAACCATTCATTTCCCTTGTATCACGACGTAACAGTGAGACAGGCACAAGCCAGATTATTCATCTAGGATATTCACTTTTTAACCAGGCTCTTTTTTGGGGCTCATTGGCGCGCAGAATACCTATCGTAATCTATAGCTAATAAGCAAGTTTCCGTGATCTACCTTGCCTTAGTTGCGCCTGCCAGTTGAGCCAGCAGCCTCCAAATCTTCAAACTACCTAGGGACGCACGCACCACAGCGAATCACATAAGCCGAAGCGGCGGGCGAGCAATGTTCTCTGCGACAGAGATGAAATCTGCCGTATTTAGTTTCCCTCTCAATAATGACTCAGTACCTCTCGGGTTACAGTATTCACATAAAAGGGGGTAGGGAGAATGGGTAACCTGCGTTCTTGAAGCGGAAGACGCTCAGCAAGAAGCTATACATGAGGAATAAAACTGCACCCCATATAAACACCGTAGCCTGCTGGGTTTTGGCATCAGTCATGCGCGGCACCTTGACGGCAAGAGTAATAGTGCAGAAAGAGAGCAGGCCGTCTGGAGCAAGCATTAGCGCAGAATTAGCAAGGCTATAACAAGACCATTTCGCAGCATTTCAACTCACAGATGGCTGCAACAATTTGCGTCTCAAGACCGAATTGATTCTGGAACCCACCAGCAAAGTACGAGATTCCACCCTTGCCGTCTCCGGCGATGTACGGCACCTTGCGAATATGGTTAAACATGTGACCGCTGGTGAAGAGGAGAACAGACACTAGGCTGATGGAGGCCCAAATGTTACGGTTCTGGATAATCGGCAGGATAAAGGGCGAAGCAGTAGCCAATGCCGTTCCGACTCCGAGCAAGATCGTCGCTCCAGTCGCCCAGCGCATGTAGTTAAAGGGTCGCTGCACCGGGGGCGTCGGTCGGCCGGCCATGTGTCGTGAAATCCAAGCATGAATGCTCTCGGCACCAACACCACTATGAACTGTTAGATACTAAAAATCAGAAGAAAAACGCACTAGAGGACTAACCCAGTTGTAAAGTCGTATCGAATCGGCTCAGGAGAGGACGCCGCGTGTGGGCCTTCGGTTGGCGGGAACAGCATCACGACAGGGGCAGTTTGAAGACCAAGCTTGCGAGTGTTAGATAATTTGGTAGTTGAAAAAGGCTTTCAATGCTCACCGATGCAAAAACATCTTTACCCTTTTCAAAATCCAAGGAACCAAACAGAAGCCTTGCCTCTCCAGCCTTGTCGCCTTTCAGCCAACTCCTGGCTAACAAGTCCCATTCTGGTTGAAATTCACGGCATAGCTGGCAACCGAACCGTGGGTCAAGAGCCGTGAGAAGAACAGCCGCGCTGTAGTCCCGAGGAGACGACGTCAATGACTTGTACGAGGTTTCCTTCAGCTGGAGAGAAGGTGAGCTTTTCGAGAGCTTGTGTAACTCGTTGAATCGTTGTTCAGAGGACTTCTTCTCAGCAGAGGAGAAGCCTGTGAAAAGGCATGCGCCAAGCAAGGACGGCAGAATACGCATTATTTCTGATGTTGGTTGAATAGTTCTCTCTCCGACGCTGGTTCAAGTTCGTCGCCGGGAGTGCTGAGGTGGCCTTGCCTGTCTGCTTACCTAAAGCTCCCTAAGAAGCATGGTGCTCGTGTGGGTACCATATGCCCCAAGTCCCAGTTACTAACCCAATTAGGGCGCCTTCATCATGGTTGTTTACTTCTGCTCGACGGGACCTACAGGACGCGCAATTTGCCTTTATCGCAGCTCTTTTTTTTAACAAAATAGTTGACATAATTCTCGAGGGATTCTTTTACCATCCTATTATAATCTAGCCACGCCCACTCCAAGATACCGACCAGCTTCCTATCAACCTACGCAGCCCCAGACGCAGACGTTTCCGAAAGGAAACAAACTGCAAAATGGCCACAGCCACAAGTGAAGTAAAAGCAACCACATATCGATAAACATTCAAAGTTCTAACGCGAACTTCAAGTACATAGCGCGCATTCATCAACTTGACTGCAAGTATCAACAAGGGCTGCATGCAATTGAGTTAATCAACCGTGATGAAACGGATCGGAGACTCTCGCTGGAGGCGCTCACTTTGCGGGATGCAAACGCTGCCCTCGAAGACTTGGCATCGCAAAAGGAGCTGCATATTCTATGTCTTGAAGGAAGCATACGTGACTTGGAAGCGGAGCTGTCAGAGGCTAAGCTGCGATCATCTGAACAAGAGTCCGGGTTAAAGAAGCAGCAGGATGAGATTCGTTCTCTTAAGGCAAGGCTTCAATTAAACTGAGATTCCCACTTGGCTTGAATTCTAATGCCCTATAGAACATCCTGGAAAATCTGAGCAGCTCAAAGGAGGTGTTGAATAGCACATTGCAAGACAAAGCGGCACTTACAGACGAGCTTAAAAGCCTTCGCCGCGAGCTGGGGCAACTCGAGTCACAGCTTGCATCGCACCAGGCTGTTGTTGCCTCAAATGGAGATTTGAGGCGCCAAATAAACACGCTGGAAGTCGATCTAGAAAACGAAAAGCGCTTGAAGCTCCGTGCTCAGCAAGAGGACGAGAAGGGGATCATCTCAGAGCTCAGATCAAAGCTGCAGCAATGTGAAGCGCAGCTCGGTACGGAAAGAAAGGAAAAGGAAACATTGAGAAGAGAACTCACAGATTGCCATGCTGAAGCAGGACGGCAAGAAGAGCGATTTCATAACATGAAAGCGAAACTCAAAGGACTGCAAAATGCACTGAAAGATGCACAAGAAGATCTGCAGCGAAGTCAGCGTGAGCGCTGCAAAATTAGGGAGACATCTGCCCATGCCGTCGAAGAGTCTAAGGCACAATCACCAAAGGCCAAGCAAGCTCAGCTTCGAGCCGAAACCCAAGCCGCTACGGCTGCACTGTCATTGGACGACGCGGATATACAGAGCCCTGGGAATAAGAACCCGTCAGATGCTCAAGAACAGCGACGGCGAGGAAAGTACCATACTGCGGTGGGCAAAAGGTCAAACTTCTCAATAACTCCTTTCTTAAACAAGACCAGAGACGTCACAGATTATCCCGACCTAGATTCAGACAGCTCTACTTCTAGTCGGGATTTAGCAGCCAGTCTGAAGCGATCGCGCGAAAGAAACTCAAAGACTTCTCAAGAAATGTCCCCCGCCAAATCTCAGCGACCAGCAGCGAGACGTCGAAAGCCTTCGGCATCTCTAGCAAAAGCCGGTGCTATGACCGAAAATGTTTTGAGCCAGTCATTATTGAACGAACCCGCTGAATCGACGATGCCTGTCATGAGGAAACGAGCACGGCTGGATAAGCCTACGGAGGTTATGTTGGCCAATAGCCGTACAGAGGATTCCCGCAAAAAGGATTCAGATTCACATACGTCATCCCAGAAGCCAGAAATAAAGCCCAATGCATCTATTGCAGAAGGTGACAAGCGGAAAGAGCAAGAAGTAGTGGCAGAAGGACAGAAGAAAAAGCGCAAGCTATTAGGCGGCAGAGGTAAAACCATGTTTGATGATGATGAAATGGAAGTCAACGATAACCCAAACAATCCACTGAGGGTTGCGCGAGTTAAAAGGGGTCGGTCGCAACTCGGCGGCAATGCAAATGCATTCTCTGGACCCAGCAACACATTTTCCCCCCTCAAGAAAGAAAGAAGGGGCGTTAATGCAAGTTTCATTGGGTAAAGCCGTCTCGCTTTCAGCGTGGCGGGGTCACTCTAGTTCTTCTATAGCTTCAACAAAACTTTTCTCCCTTGGGACAACCTCCTCGAGCGCTTCGTTTATGCGAAATGTATTGAATTGCCTTTCGAGAAGCAAAGATAATCGATGGGTCGTTGCTGTCGCATTCCGAATCGACTACAACAATCCCGGGCTTCAGTCGGCGGGGCGGGGAATCCAACAGCGTACATCCTGCCTACAAGGCAAAGAAAGACCTAGTAGTACTAATTCAGGCAACCGGGGTTGCCACGCGCAAAAATTTACCGCCGCAACATGAGCAGCCTCCCGAGGTCGCCCCATGTCATTATGAACCAAACGCGTGAACTGAGTTGCCATATTACTGGATTGAAACGACGGACCTCATTGGCACGATTTATTGTTTCTTCCGCTCGCCTCTCGTCGTCTAACTCCAGATGGAAGCAACGGCAGGGAAAGGATACCTACGCGCGTGAGGCGAGGGTTCAGGGTCTCAAAAGCCGTGCCGCCTTCAAGCTACTCGAGGTAAATTCATCGTGTTTCCGCACAAGGAACGGCTAGAAGAGAGACCCTGACGATCATTAACAAGATGGACGCGAAATATCGCCTATTCAAACCCAAGAGTGTTGTAGTAGACTTGGTAAGCAATACCACAGAACTTTGTACAATTGACTGATATTAGAGCAGGGTTATGCCCCGGGAAGCTGGTCCCAGGTAGGTTGTTTTGTCCTGGTGAGCGCAATCCGCAGCATGCTAAATCAAAAGGTTGCCATGGATCGAACTCGCCCTGGCGGCAAAGTCATCGGTATTGACCTCATACCAGCTGAGCCTCCGAAAGGTGTCGCGACCTTCCAGGGGGATTTTCTTTCACCAGATGTTCAGAGAATGGTAAAAAAATTCATAAGTCAAACTATCCGGATACCCTCAAAGCGACACGAAACAATTACGGAAAGCGGCGCCACTACCGACCAACCTAGCCTTGTTGATGCTGCTAGGCTGCACGCGGCGGTGCCTGTGGCAAATGACAACAGCGAGCAAGTGGTCGATGTACGTCTACCTAGAATGGCTCACGAAAATACAGGCTAATACTGCGATAGATTGTTTTAAGTGACATGTCAGCACCCTGGGAACAGACATCCGGTTTCAATGTGAACAGCTTGAGTAATCCGTACCACAGGCTGATGAACACGAGCGGCGTTGCATTTCGTGACCACGCAGGGAGTATGGTGAGTCAGCTTTTCATGTCCGTTCCTTGATAGCAATGGTCCAGGCTGACGGGGGCGGCGTTGCTTCCTATTAGGACCTATGCGAAGCAGCATTACATTTTGCGGAAGAGACGCTCAAGACTGGCGGTCACTTCGTCTGCAAATTTTATCAGGGTTCCGAGGACAAGCTGTTGGAGCAGAGGCTTAAGAAAATGTTCTCCAAAGTGCACAGGGAAAAGCCCGAATCCTCACGCAATGTAAGTGCTCAACCGTGAACAGGAAACGTTAAAGTCTAACACCTGGGCAGGAAAGCAAGGAAGCTTTCTTTGTCGCATTACGACGTAAAGCCTCTACAAGTGTGTGACGGACATGAGGTACCAGGGCAGTACCAAACTATCCAGCACTCTTCAGCCAGTGTACTTACAACAAAAGCACGCAATAGACAAAGTACAAGGAAAGCAACAGTCCGTCGTGTAATGTGTTCATCAATTTTGTATTTAACACCGAACCACACCAATCCATGCAAATACATTGCCAACCCGAATGTTTCTGCATAAATCGCCTCTCGAGCGCCACACACATAATTCCGATATTGATTCCGTTTCCTCCGTGGTCTAAATTTAGACCTTGAAACCGCGAGAGCGTCTGCGACCACGGGCACGCTCGAACTTGCGGCCCTTGGAGACAACATGAGGCTTCTAGAAAACAAGTTAGTGTACATGTAAAGGGAGATCACTTGCCCATAGAATTGCAAACGTACCTTCCCCTTGTGCGGGCCGAAGCCGAAGTGCTTGACGGCCTCACGGCTGTTCTTGGGGCCACGGAGGATGAGAGTGTTGCTGCCAGTGGGGGCACGGAGAGCAAGCTGGTCCAGCGTAATGGCCTCACCACCAGCAGCGATAATGCGGGCGCGGGCGGTAGCAGTGAAACGGAGGGCGGCGACGGTCACCTTGGGGACGGTGAGCAGGCGGTTGTCGTCAGTGATGGTACCGACGACAACGACGGTGCGCTTCTCGCCCTCCTTATTGATGTTGGCAACAATACGGGATAGGGAAACGGGAGGGCGGTTGATCTTGGACATGAAAAGACGGCGAAGGACAACCTTGTTGAAAGAAGCATCGGTACGACCTGTTGTTGTGTGTTAATTTTTGGTGATTGGATTGTCGAATTTCGTAGCGGAAACGTACGGGCCAGGAAGCGGTAAAGCTTTACCAGGAGCTTGAGGTAGACATTGTCGCTCTTGGGCGCCTTGCGGTGCGTCGACTTGACGTGGTGGCGGTCGAGATCAATACCTACAGGTTGAAGCAATCGTCAGCCCAAAATCTTTTGCATGCTCATGCAAGGTTCGCAGTCTTCCAAGGAAGAGGAACGCCATGCCCGCAGAAAGACATCTCTAAAGAAATATTTCCACTCGCATACGGAGGCTGTTTTTTGTGCTTCACGTACCCATTTTGTCGGTTGGTTGCTGAGAGTTAGTAGAAATATTCCCCTAGTCAAGAGTTGGCGACGCGGATTTCGATGAACATGGTCCTTGACTTTTCTGAGTGGACCTCCCATTCTCTACGTGGGACCATTCCCAGGGCGGTGTAGCATGGCAGTTAGGGCATTTTGCTGGCTTGCCTATTCCTCTCAAAAGTGGGTGTGTTTTAGCCCCAGGAGTCAGAGACAAGCAAGTTGCCGATGTACCTAGGTTAGAAGGTGGCTAGTTACCTGCCGCTGCTCTTAGTAGAAGCAAATGAACCAATCCGCGCTGCAAACATTACGTTTCTAGGAGCATATCACGCGTGAGAGCTCAAAAAGCGACAGTTTTTCATACGCAGGCAGCTATTATCAATATCCGTCAGGTAGTGATATCTCTTTATTATTATCGCAAAATGGTGTCTTGCCTATTCAAGTGCTCATGCGACCCATCTGTGCTGCTATCTATGTTTCTATGCGCAACCTTGAATGCATCTTCTAATAAATTACAAATGGATGAACGCTGTGGCTCACACAGACGATGAACAAAGGGAAAATTACCTCCAAGCATCCTCGCCACTCTGTTTTTATACACGCTACCGCGACATTTCGCTAGCTTCTGGCTTTAGACTTGCTATGAAATCGCGGGTGAGTTCAAAGCTCAGCCAACTGGACGCCATACTCGGCGCAACCTTCAGGAGGTTAGGTGCAATACCCTTGTAGAGACCTTTGACACCTTCCTGTGCCACGATAACCCTCACAGCGTCAGGAAGTGACTTATACTTGTAGCCCATGCCGGACATTGTATTGATCTGGAATCGTCGGCGTAGAACATCACTAGTTACGAACATCAGCGATCGTACATTCAAAGCAGCCATAGGGTCAGCCATAACTTACAATGGATATGTGCAGGTCTGAGCAACAGCTCCAGATATGGCACCAGCAAGCAGCTTGCGACCCGCATTAGGATTTTTGTCACCCTCCGGCGTCAGGTATTTTCTGACAGATTCGTAAACCATGAAGTTCAGTCCGACCTAGGATGAATTAGTTAATTTTTAGAATGCCATCGCCACAATTCACTCACATATGGCGCCACGCCAGCCACAGTTGGAACGATTCCACGGTACAAAGCAGCAATGCCGCCTTCGCTTCTGTACATCGTAGTCATTGTTGACCACATGCCAGGTAACTGCTGCGGGCGATTGCCCAGCTCAGCAAAGCTTGCTGATTGGATCGACAAACGGGTTCTAACGATGTCAAGGGGGTATGTGAGGAAAACTGATGTAATACCAGCAATTCCGCCACAAACTAAGCGCGTAACGGCAGTCAGTTCAGCCCCAGGCGTCGTCTCGAAAATATGCTAGTTTGTGCAAAGTTAGTAAAAATGCTTTCATAGAATAGTCGGCTTGTCCCGCGTACTCGTTTGTAAAAGTTGTAGCTGCTGAATTGTACTGCGGAGTAGGGCACGATACGAATGCAGTTCGTCCCATTGCCTCTCATAAAGCCTCTCCATCCTTCTTCCCGCCACATTTTAGCCAGCGCTTGGCTAACTGACATTTTGTATGCGTCTCGTCCAACGCTCTGCACCTGCATAAGAATTTTGAGACGCTCGAGGGGGGACACCACGGTTCTCGAAACTGCACCAGCAACGCCGCCTCCGCAGAACGCGGCAACAACCGGTTGAGAAAGCCATTCACGAATCCCTCGGAATTGGGCATCGGCCGAGCCCGGAGGCTTCGTCGCATCAGAGAGTGGCTACTTGCTGTAAGCAATTGTGTTTTGCTTGTAAGGGATCAGCCCCTATCAATTGGCTTCATACCGTCGACATTTTGGCAGTCAATTGCCTCAAAGCAACTCCAATATCCCCGTCGTGAATGTCAAGCGCATCTAGGAGCCCCTCGTCACTCTGCGCCTCGTTTTCAAAATGCCACGATGTTGCCTGAGCGCCTATCTGACACGAAGTTGCTCTCGGATGGTATTCGCCTGACGAACTATCTTCCACGGTGTGGTTCGTTCCGCTTGGTCGTCCGTATTACCGAAAATGTCGCGCAGGGCCACTCGTTGCCGTCCTGGCCAGGATCTGGGGTCACCGCGAACCAGGCGCTCTGTCGTTTTTTCCCCTGGCCCGTCAGACGAGCAGCCGTTCAGGCAGTGGCGGAGCGCTGTTGAGTATCGGCAATATGCGATCGGATACAGTTGGAGTCGACTTTTTATCTGGGCCTAATAGTAAAAGGTACGCAGGAAGAACTGATCGGGTCAAATCGGCAGAAATAGCGACTATTTTTGCACTGGGCCACTGGCCAAAGTGAGTACCCTTCGGGTTATTATCGGCCATGACACTACTACGAAACAACTGGGCAGCCCACGGGGCCGCCGTCCACATTAGTACTAATAAGCAAGGTACGGTAACCTATTGTAGGTACATAGGTACACAGATAGGTAGGAGGTAATTCATAGATAGGTACCAAACAAGCCTGAGGAAGGTGATGCGAAATGCATGTAATTTATTTCTCTCTTTCCATATTAATACCACATGTTTATAGAATTAATAATGACATATCTAGCTACAGATGTAACGGATTCTTACATTGAACCTATGTAACCAGGTTCTGCGGAGCCAGCTAAACATGGACAGCAAAGCGGTTCCAGCATTGGCAGATGTAGATCTCCCAATGGCCGAATTTCTACGTAATACATTGTTTATCCTCTCAAAACGAACACACCATCGAGTACATCACTTGGCTACTCGCCTGGCAAAGTACACAACAGCTAGAGAATACTTGACCAGGCGGAATTAATGCTTGCGACTGAACCAGTTACTCAGCAACATCAAGGTCCTCGGGTGCCGGGGGAGGGCTCTCAGCTACATCGAGTCAGCCAAAAACATCACTGAATGATTCTCGGGTTTATTCTTACGCTTTCTTTCATCGCCATTGGCGCCGTTTTCTCTTCTGTCGCGGTCGTCGCGATCCTCACGGTCGTCACGATCATCGCGGTCGTCTTTTGCATCACGGTCACGGTCCCTATTTCTTGTTGTCAGCTGTCTGAAGGTAATGAATGGATACTTTCATCACGAACCGGTTATCGGGGCTGCGCGATCTGTCGCGGTCTCTGCGGCCGTCACGGTCATAGTCACGGTCCCGATCACGGCGATCCTCCTTGCGAGGAGAGTAGTCCCGGGCGCTCCGTCTAGGAGAGGGGGATCTGCCCCCCCGTCGAGGAGAGCGGGCAGGGCGACGATCACGATCACGACCAGACTCAAAACGCCAAGAAGCCGATGGGGGAGTTCGTGCCCACTATCATAGGAGTTAGCAATGCAAAACAAAGGTCAATGTCAAAGTCCGTTGATACCTCAATCTTCAGAGTGTCATCACGACCGATGCGCTTGTTGTGCATCTCATGATACGCGTCATCCGCATCGCGGCGATCCTCGTACTCAACGAAGGCAAAGCTATTAATAAACAGTTAGAATCGAAACGCCAGGGTATAGCCTATCAAACTCACAGCCTGCTGGATGTAGATCGCGGTGCAGGGATATCGCAGCGAACCAGGCGACCGTAGCTGTTCAAATATATAGTTAGTAAAAGTTTGTTGAAACTCGGGTAGGATTTCCCCTGTAAGCCCGTTCAACTCAATGAGCTCGATTACTAGCGAGCGCACTCCATTGCAAATTTATTCGAGAATGGAACGTTCCAGCATATTGGAGGCCAATGAACCGAACGCGCACAGTAGCGCATGGCAAATGGGAATATCGAGATCTGCAGGATCGCGAGGGTACGGAATGCGCGAGGGCGGCGGCGACGCAGGTAGAGGGCTCGCTTATGCAAAACGATCGATGATTCGAGGGTAAATATCCGACGGGGGAGGAGCGCGTGTATGGGTGCGAACGTGGGCGGCGTGGACGTGGACGTGGACGAGGGCGTGGGCGAGGGCGAGGACGTGAGCGTAGTTGACATACCGTTCGAACTCGTAGGCGAGGTCGCGAGCGCGGGTGCCGTGGCTAAAACCGGTCACATATAAGGTGTTTCCGCCGCGAGACATGATTGAATTCTTTGATGCAGCTTCTCTAAAACGACCTGGCAGCAGGTGATGCAAGCGGATGAGCGAAGAAAAATTCAGAAGGATGTTTGCCATGGGCATGCGACAATGCCAGATTTAGAGTGCGGTCGGAGCAAATATGTGGGTCGATTAGATAATCAGTCCAGAAACATCACCTCAACGTCATAACTAACTGGTTCCAGGGAGCGTTGTATGTACATACGTCGAACCCAGGACGGACCACACCGGACGACCAAGTCACTTAAAACAAATCGTTCTCATAAGTCATTCATATTCACTTATTTGCAATTTGTATCTCCATTCTTACTACCAAGTTTCAATCTCAACAATAGTGACGTGGCTCCATTTTTTTTGAGGGTTGGCCGTGATACCTAGCATCCGACGCTTCCAGCGGCACCACTCAATTCAATCAAGTTTCCTTGCTGCATACACCTGTGATCGTTTATTAGCCTCACGAATATCACACGACTCAGACAGCTGCCTCTAGGGTATGTTTCGGCGGCTTTATACCGAAGCATAGATCCCGTCTGGAGAGTGACTACTGATGCAGTCGGTGTTTGCTGTGATACTGAGCGGTTTCAAAACATCGGTAGAATAATCAGCAATGTTGAGGTTTCCGGTACGCAGGGGCACGGCAAACCTGCAAAAAGAAGACCTGGATACAGATAGACTTGACGGAGTCACAAGCCACATGACTCCACATCGCATTGAAGAGACCAATATATCACCAGAGACACAAAGCGAGAAAGAGTGCGGTGCGCTCCCCCCCCCAGGCATTGGCTCTGCGCCCAACTCCAGGGTCTTTCGCAGAGGCGAAGAAAGTGAACGTCTCAGCGACCTCCGACGTACTTCTTCATCACACCACACTGGGCGCAGTATCACAGGTATTACATTCGGCAATGGAGCCCATTCCGAGGGATTTGAAAACAATGCAACCCGAGCGCTACTAAAAGAGCGCCAAAAATCCAGATCTTTGAGCTTCTCACGCCAAGTTTCGACATTCGACGCCCAGAGTGAAGCGGCCGCAAATAGCCCATTTCACGGATTTTACAATCTGTTTTGGCTGTCAGTTGCGTTGCTGATCTGCAAAATATCCGCAAATAACTGGCAAACATACGGGAACCTTCTAGGTCCAAGCGATATTTTAAAGACCATGTTTCGTCGAGATGGTGAGTGAATCCTCCAGAATGAATCACATAGTTTTGTATTAATTCTCGTCAGTTATCATGTTGCTACTCTCTGACGGCGTTATGTGCAGCTTGACTGTAGTAAGCTGGCTTCTACAGAAGCTCGTTCTCGCCAAAAACATAAATTGGGATCGAGAGGGCTGGATACTACAGCATGTAAGGCAGGTGCTCTCCTTCTACATAAATATTTTGACTAACTGGCTTCTAGACTTGGCAAACAGTTTTTATTGCCGGGGCAGTCAAGTGGACCGTCTACCGAGATTGGCCATGGACTCACACGGTTTTTTTTGTTTTGCATGCTCTTGTCATGCTGATGAAGCAGCATTCATACGCTTTCACCAATGGACATCTGTCAAAGATCTACCACAAAAGACAGCTGCTTCTCGGCACGCTCAAGAAATTGGAGTTTGTCAATTCTACCAGAAATCCATTTACTACCCCAACAGTTTCCACAATCCTGCTTGAATCCTCCAGTGCCTCTTTGCACCGCGACTCTAGCGACAGTCCCTCGGATTTCTATCCCAATTTTGATGCACTAGATATTATTCTAAAGACTATTGATACCTCCAAAACTCTGCCTCGCTCCCAAGTGTCTTTGTTTGGAAGGGCGATCAACAATGAGATTGGTTCTCTCAGCGATGAACTGAAAGGGACGGCAGGCGACTCCTCGAGGGCATATCCACACAATCTCACCTTCCTTCATCATTACGAATGGATTCCCTTCCCTACTGTGGTTTACGAACTCGAATATCCTCGACTCGGTAGAATCGATTGGGCTTATCTGGCTGAGAAAGTCGCGGCAATGATTGGTATCATTTTCGTTATGATTCAAGTTTCCCAACACTACATATGTATGCTATCAACCAAAAACAGCCAGCTTTCTCAGTACTAATTGATACCGGCAAGATCCTGTCGTCCTTATAACGATTGAAATGCGAGAAAATAATACACCTCTGGGTGCGAGGTTCGGGAAATTTCCCTGGCTGCTGGGCGAGTTACTTTTTCCGTTTATGATGGAGTATCTGGTATGAAAACAACTGCCTCTCCCTCAATTCATTTTAACGAAGATTTTAGCTTGCTTGGTACTTGATTTGGGAAACAGTTCTCAACATTCTCGCAGAGTTAACCTACTTTGCGGACCGACAATTCTACGGCTCTTGGTGGAACAGTGGTAATCAACACTTCCATCTCTACGGAGCAGTAGCTCTACATATCTCGGCTAATCGTTTTATCGCAGTATCTTGGGATCAATTTGCACGAGATTGGAACCGTCCGGTTCATCTATTCCTTCTACGTCATGTCTACCACAGCTCTATATCATCATTAAACGTCAGCAAGCAAGCAGCAACCATCATCACATTTTTTCTTTCAGCTTGTATTCACGAATTCATCATGTGGTGCATCTTCAAAAAGTTACGGGGCTATTTGCTCATCTTGCAGATGTGCCAATTACCAGTATGTCGGCGGGTTGGTGTCCCTGCAGCGGAGAGGTACTAATCTTCTGTAGCTCGTCCGTTTGAGTCAAACAAGATGGTTGATGGGCCGGAAAACACTGGGTAATTTGATTTTTTGGCTTGGTATATATACTGGACCAAGTGTCTTGTGCAGCCTGTATCTCATTTTGTGACGGTGTGGTGTCGAGCTGATAATGCTGGATCATACATCAAGAATGTCAAATCAACCAGTACGGCCAAATAGGGGTTCAAAACCAATCAAGTTCTGTGGCTCAATAACTACCGTATCGCACATTTTTAAGACTAGACTATCATTTTTGCATGAGTTGTTGCAGGCCACCTTTCTCTCACATCTTCTCGTGCGTAGCCATGAGGGAGCCTAACTAGGTTAGCAAGGGAAATTCATTACGAATTGAGTGATGCGCTCACCAATGAAAGTTGTCACCAGACGACTTCTGACTTGGCAGATATCTTCCGGTACCAACCAAATAGTAGCACCTAGCTTTCGGGCAATGCTGATGCTGAGTTTCGCGTTCAAATATGCATCTTCATCCGTCTGTCCAGCAGTTACCAGGTCGTAATCAACGTAACTGCTCTTGATACCGTTCAGAACATCAAGTAAGAAAACGCCGGTGGCGATGGCGGGATCCTTGAATGATCTTATGGCAGAGTTACGTCCACCTCTCTTGGACATGTCATTTGCCCAGCGAACCATCTCAGCATCAGTAATTTCTCGCTTGCCAAGTTTCTGCGCAAGAGAGGCAAGAGTCACCGTAATGTTCTTCCTCATGAGCTGCCAAACCAAGCCAAGAGTCAAAGTCCTTTGGCCGTCAGTAATGTCAGCACCCTGAATGCCAACCAGCGAAAACCCATTTTGCTTGCCGAGCTCGATAACATAGTTGGTGTTCTCCACGGCCTTGAATCGAATCATTTCACCACCGTGAGCTGGGGGTTTGTTGACATGGCGCCAATTGACAGAACCTTGAATGACCTTGTCATATGCTTGCAGGAGGATGCTGCCGTCTCGCAGGTCGTCAAAGAACGACACCACAGGTGGCTGAACATCCAAGCTGTTAAGCCACAGCGTGAATACCCTTGCTTCTCTCTCTCCCTCAGCATCGAAGTCTTCGACTTCGAGCTTCTCTTCCTCCGTGATAGGATCCAGAGCTGGGTGATTGTTGAACAGGTTGGCAACGAATGCAAGGTTCAGCTTCGGATTACCAGCAACCAGCGATGTAGGGGTAAGGAACTTTCGGCATTGGAGCTTTTCGGCCTCCTGAAGAACCTCTTCGGCCCTCTGTAGAAGATCTTTTGTCTGGAGTGGCGCTCTGGTGCAGCCGTATTCGCCTCCGATTTGGGCGAGCAGGACAGCGTAGTTCTCACCATCTTTGACGTCGGTGGAGAAGTTGGAGACCCTTCATCGTCAGATTAGCGTTGAGTAAATTTGCGAATTCAATTGTACGAACCTTGGTGACCAGTTGGCTGCCTTGAGATGGTAGTTGAACCATCGGAGGAGGATTTGTTCAGGTGGGAGCCGGAGAAATTGCTCCAGGGTTTCGTCTTCTTCCAGCAGCCGGTAAAGCTCAGGATGCAGCTTGATATCAATTTTTCCAAGAAGGCCGCGACGAATAATTTGCCAGATGAGGCCCAAAATCAGATGCTCGCGCACTTCTATTATGTCACCTGCGCCGATGTTGACGACGGAACAGCCAATGCCCTTGCAGGACTCGATGACGATGTTGTTGTTCTCACTCATTTGAAACGCGTTGAGGTTCTTGGTCTTCTTTCCAGGCATATTCAAAACACGCTCATCGATTGTATCCGGGACGCTGTCATTGATGAGTTTCGCGAGGACCAAGCCGTCCTTACAGTCGTCAAACATTTCGAATGTATCAGTAGGGAATGGGAGGCGATTTCCGATATCCACATCACCCGCCAGGACGGCGTTAATATGCCGAGTGAATTCTGTACGTTCATCTTCGTTGATCGTGTGCGTAATATTTGCGCTGGAGCCCTGCACTTGAATCTTGCCGCTGACGCTACCCTTCGTGGCATGCCCACCGGTTCGCTGGGTTACAACACCACCTGAAGGAGCTGCTGGCCCAGCAGACATGCGCTTTTGGGCAGGAGATGAGTCTCGGAGCTTTGCTACGAGCTATTTGGGGGAAATTAGACAGGATTCATGCGACACAACACCGGCGCAACTTACCCCAACGTAGTCTTCAAGCTCAACGCGTCTTGAAGAATCCAGGTCAACTTCCTTGAGTGCCTGTCGCACGACATCATATGGTAGATTCTCGCTTTGCTGTGTAGCCTTGATTGCTGTTGCCTCGTCCAGGTATCCTCGGTCGTCTACATCAAGCCGCTGGAAGGCGTCTGACAGCGAGAAGATCTCGTTCTGCTGGAACTGGGGGAATTTCCTATGGGTTACATATCAGCTTCGATTCAAATCTCTTATTCAATTAACGTACTTCTGGAGTTTAAGAACATTCATTTCGCCTTATTGAATCGATGCTTTGGCGGTAAAGTATGTTGGTCGTCGGTACCGTTGTGCTCGTCGGCGCAATTACCCTGCGGAGTCGCTGATGGACGGAGCTCGCGGATACGTTCTAGTAGAGAGGTCAGCTGGGGAACATTTCAAATACTGTTTTCCTGGTATTATATCTTCTCTTTCTGCCACGCGGGAAGGTACTTGCACTGCAACTGGTATGTCTGCCTGTGATCAACGTCGTTTGATGAGAGAGTTTGCGACAGGAGGGGATAGCTGTAGCGGGGCAGGGAGTGATGTAATGTATGGGTAGTGGGGCAATACACGCCGCCGCCACGCAACACTTCGTTATTTCGAACTTGGTTGCCTGGAAAAGGCTGACAATACTTACTAATAAGGTAGACGGTAGCAATAACTGGGCTGCGGTTGTGCTGTCGTCAGCACTGTCGGGTTGAATGCGATCTTGGCCAAGTTTTATTGGCGGAATGGAGCTTTTCGTATGGTCTATTTACTTAAATGGTTCACTCGAGGCTTAGTCTGTTGACTTTTTGTACTACATTTTCGTACAATAAGCCTGTGAGGCTGGTAAGAAGTGTATATTGAACAGCTAGTAGACAATAAGTGCCTAGAAAATACCACCGGGTAGGATTTACTTTGGGCGGGTCTGCACCTCGGTGGTTCGTTGCTATTGTGTGGGATTTTTTCACCACTCGCTAACACAGCAGAGAGGGCAAAAAAGTCATGGCATCTTGCAAAACATGCGACGAGCCCCTGGTGCTCCATATGGATGACAGCGATGACGAGGGAGAACATTCGGGTGCTCTTGATATTCCCGATGATATCGAACTCTCCTGCCGTTGCCATTACCACTGGTATGAGCTGCCGACATGCCTCTAGGGCGGGTGCCGCCCGATATTGCTGACAACTAACTTGCAAATAGGCAATGCCTCATGGACAATGCTTCCACGGTGATTTCCAGCTTTCAGTGTCCTTCTTGTGGGGAGGACATATCAAGCTCAGCCGTATCTGCAGCTAGCTCTCGTGCAAACGACATCCCTGCTATTCTCGTACGATATACGAATGAGGGCGGTACGCAGGATGGTTTAGACATTGCAGCATCCGTACGGGAGGAGGCGTACTTGGAAGCGCACCCCGAAGCGGCCCCGGCGCGGGCCTTCCATGTAATGTGCGCGAGTGGCGATGTGGATGGTCTCGTTGAGCTTCTGTACTACTCTAGTGATCAGGTCCCTGATCTCGGTGCGATGATCAGATATCAAGACCCTCTATACGGAATGAAAAGTGGCCTCCATTTGGCTGTCGAGAATCGACAGGAGGAGGTCGCATGGCTATTACTATGGGTTTCTTCTTTGTTGGCGTCGGACATGTTCCCTCCCGGTGCGAGACAAAGCGCCGAGTCCATCGGTCTTGGGCGACTCTGTGTCGATAGTTCTACGGACATTAGAGGGTTGTTGGATGGCGAGGGGCGCAGTGCTGCTGCTTTGTCTGTACAGCTTGGTGGTCCGTCGCTGCATCTCGTTGATATGGGTGTCTTAGCGATGTAGAGTGGCAACTTGCTTCAGCTTGCTTTGCGCATGCCAGTTCTGTAGTAGGTACCGCGCGGACTGACATGGCCACAGGCCACAATCAATCGAAAGCACAATAAGAATGAATACAGGTGCCCTAACTACCCACCGGTTGTCGTTCTATTCACCACATTCGCACGCACCGCACGCAGGCAGCAATAGCTCTAGGGTAGTCCCGCTTGCCAAAACAAGGACGAGGTGTCAGCCTACGTACCAGGTACTTCACAGGTTCGGAGTACAAGCTACGTAGTTATCGCATCCCTCATTTCCGCGCAACTAACCCAAGGAAACGGCCATTGGCTCGCTTTTTGAACCGCGAGACTGAAGCGCTTGCGCTGTTTCGCATAACGAAGAGCACAATCAATTGAAGGTTCACCCTGCTTCTGCTATCGGCAGAAGTGGCCCACAGGGGAAAGCAACAGCCCACAATTTCATTAATCCCTTGAATCATCAACTTGCCACGAAAGCATCAGCCGAAGACAAAGCTAGTTGGCCAGACGTATGAAAACCGCGCCGCAACCGCCGGGCTGAAGCTCGGACGAAGACATAACCGTGGCACTGCCCTGCAGAAAGCCAGGGCTCCGCCCGGGACTTCTCACCAGACAGCTCATCCCTCATGGTTCACCACGCAGTTTAGCGCCGCGCCGGATCATGAGTACAAAGGACGAAGCGGTGCCCAATGGCAGGCAAAAAAGAGACGAAGCACAAGAGACGCCATATTGGAGCTCCGCACTGAGCTCAATGGGAATATGGAGTGCCGCCAAGCCAGGCACGCAAGCTGGAAACCACGCCATGGAAGAAGTGAACACGACGAAACTCGGACCTACAACGGATCACCTCACCACGCCATTCTATGGGAAAAGCTTCCGAAGCTACCCTGAAGGCTGCCCTCGGCCTAAAGTGCACTGGTTCCACGCCGTTGATGTACGATACCACAGAAAGGCGATAAAGTGCAAGCTGACACTGAGATAGGTGCCGAAGAGAACCACATTACCGCCATTTGATGTGAAGAGCGCTACCGAAGCAAAAGCGCCGGCAAAGCCTAAGAAATTCTCAGCCTTCTCAACGGAGGACTCTAGGAGGATAGAAACCCGGTACCAAAGCCTCCTTGAAGCCGACGAGGAGTTACGGAGAAAAAAACAACGCACGGAAGCCAAACCGCAGCACACCACTGGTGACATCATGACCACGGATACATGCGTGCCAGTCAATGAAGATTTCTTGTTCGATGTTAGCATCCAGCAGCGAGAGATCTGCCCAGTCTATTGGCTTGGCCCAGTCTATGAAGGTGTGTGTAATTTGCCTGGTGCAAGAGTAGACGATGCTGAGATAACCGACGCCAGTCCGCCGCGGGACCTGGTTTTTCCAGGACGGCTCTAATTTGAGACCATGCGAAGAAAACCTCGCAGCGCAATTGGAAGAAGTGAGTTCTGCAAAGGGCCTGTAAAGTACCAAACTAATATGCGAGGAGGGATATCTGAAAGTAAAAGCATGGATCGAGCCAGGTGAGCTTCCTCTGTGACCATGCAGCCGAGTGCCACCAAGCTAACAATCGCTATCAAGACAAGGGACCCAATCGAAAGTGGGACAGCGTTAACGCACAGGCGACTGGAAATGAGAATCTTCTTGTAGCTGGGGACAGCACTGAACCAGCGGCAGTGGTAATGCAGGCCAAACTCAAGTCTTACCGCCTCTTCGGAACGTATATGAACAACACTGTTACGTATGAAGATGCCAGTACTGCCTGGTTAGTATCGGATGGCGTCTTATCATGGGTAGCGACATCCGTCTACGAGCGCTTCGCAGGCGGCGGTCATATGAGCGGCGTCAAGTTGATCAGAGGGTATTCAGACCAAAGCAAAGGCAAAGAAAAGGACAAGGCCGACAATAAGAGAGATAGCGAAGACAAAAAGCAGGCTACAGATACGTCCTTCACTGAAGACGTGGCCGTGGGCGACAAAATATCTGGTGTGACGGAAGCGGCTCGCACCGGCAAGACCATACTGCAAAGAAGGCTCTCAACAATTATAGAGAGTGAAGATCGCCGCACAGCAGCAAGCGAAAAGGATGTGCAGAAGCTGAACGAAGAAGAGATGCGTCATGATTACCTTACTCAGACCGGGGAGTCGCAAAATCGAGATATCGAGCACCTAGTGCTGGCCACGCATGGAATTGGGCAGCGACTGGGCCTCAGGTACTTGGAAACGACCCATGTAGTATGACACTGTGCTGACCAGTCATTTAGAACGCAAAGTGTAAACTTTATCCACGATGTCAACGTTTTGCGCAAGACTCTGAAGGGGGTATACACAGATTCCCCGGAGCTTCGATCCATGAACCTTGACGAGGGCGGCGGCCCAGGAAATTGCCGTATGCAAGTGTTGCCAGTCTGCTGGCGTCACAAGGTTGAATTTCCAAGAGGAAGGAAGAGGAAAGCGCAACCCGACGAAACGGATGTTGCTGAGGCTTATGAAGAAGAAAAAAACTGTAAGACCCCTCTCTACACCACTATCGGAAGGGTTTACTAATGAAGCGTTTGAAGACCCAACATTAGAGGATATCACAATAGATGGCGTAGCGTTTGCCCGAACTCTAATATCCGACCTTGCTCTGGACGTTCTTCTCTACCAGAGCTCCTACAGGGCTGAGATTGCGCAAACAGTCATCGAGGAATCGAATCGCATTGTTGACTTGTTCCGGAGGCGAAACCCAGAATTTAAAGGAAAAATTCACCTGGTTGGCCACTCCCTTGGCTCCGCCATTCTGTTTGATATCCTTTGTCATGAGAATAGGCAACGTCGTTACGATTCGAAGCCAAACCCCTTGCGCTTCCTACCCCACCGTGGCCCAGCGCGATTTGAGACCAACGATACTTTGGATTTTGACGTGGAAGATTTCTATTGTCTAGGGTCGCCGATTGGCCTGTTCCAAATGCTTACTGGCAGGTATGGATATTCTGTGTTTACATGCAGAACCCACCTACTAATAGTTTGTGCAGGACCATCGCCGCGCGTCAGCCGGAGTGGAACTCCTCCAGAGTCGGCTTGGCTAGAGCCATAGACTCAGAAAGCCCGGATGGTGGCTTTGCAGCTGACTTAGATTCTGAAAATTCGACTTCGCGACCGGATGCGCAGCAGCTGTTCAATATCTTCTATCCTTCTGACCCCATAAGCTACCGCCTAGAGCCGCTAATTGCACCATCCATGGCGGCTATCAAACCGCACAACCTTCCATACACCAAAAAAGGTCTTTTTGGAGTGGTAGGGTCACAGGGACTCACCGGAATTGGCACGAAAGTTGGCCAAAGCGTTAGCGGTCTCTTTGCGAGCTTAAGCACTGGGATTTCTACCAATTTGCTGCCGGCTTCGCTCCGACTCACAAGTGAAGAGGCTCAGAAAATGATGAAAGAAAGCAACCCTTTAGGAACCTCTGCCGATTCGCTGCCAAAGGGACGAAATGACAAAGGGCAGGCTACGATAAACGAGAGCGACGATGTAGATGATGACGAAGAGGCATTGTTGGCAAAGCAGAGCAGCCAAGTTGCCTCACTATATTCAAGATTTGCGGTGAGCGGTGAGCGCGGGGAAGAAGTCCTAGTTGGCCCTGATACAGGCTGCGAAGATCGCAAGACACAGAAACAGCGGATGGCCCAGAGGAAAGTCTGGGCGCTCAATCGCAATGGACGCGTTGACTTTAGCATTCAAGAGTAAGCCGGCGCACTCAATGCTTTTGGTGGCACAACTGACGACTGCAGGGGAGCTTTGGATTTCAACCCCATTAGTACCATTGCTTCGCACATTGGGTATTGGGGCGAGGAAGATGTCAGCCACTTTATACTTTCACAGGTTCTCTCGCGGACAGAAAAGAAGTCATCAGGATGAGCAGTTTGTACATGGGAGAAGAAAGACGTGCGCTGCTCTAAAGGGGGACTCGTTCATCTTAATTAAAGGCAAGAAGCGCTAGTCCTTTAGTAGTCACTAGTTTTATAAGCAAATATCTAAAAGAATCTTGTCATGTCCTCTGCTGATGTTCATATCAACGATTCGCTACACGTGACTCTTTTAGCAACCAACACGTAAAACTAAGCTGAGCTGGGGACATAACTTCTTAACTTGCATAACACACTAGCTCCTCAAGTTACAGATTGATTTTCAACGATAATCAACGCCTAAAAATGTGTGGAAGATATGCTTTGGCGTTGGTGAGTAATCTGCTAGCGCCGTGCATGTCCTGAATCACGTTCGTGGTCCGGGGGGTTGTTCAACCGCTGACGAATGTAGCGCCCGTCCGATATCCGGCAAATAATGGAGGATGCAGGCATGCCGGTAGGCGATGCACCAGACGACGATGGAAATGACGCACCAAGGCAATCTTACAACTTCGCCCCCGGGTACTACGGAGCCGTGTACCGGGCCGATACGCCTGACCACGGGGCGGGACCAGCTCCGCCCGGAGCGGCTGATGGCATCCAGCACCAGGATGACGGGAAATTCAGCTACAAGATACAGTCTATGAAATGGGGACTGATTCCCTTCTGGTCTAAGCGTAACCCCGATTACGCTTCCATGCTGAAGACTATCAATTGCCGGTCTGATTCGCTTAGCAACCCCGGCGGCATGTGGGCAACGATGAAGGCGCGGAAGCGATGTGTTGTCATTGCGCAAGGATTCTACGAATGGCTCAAGACCGGGCCTAAGGACAAACTGCCTCACTATGTCAAAAGAACAGACGGGCAGCTCCTGTGCTTTGCCGGCCTGTGGGATTGCGTGCAATACGACGGTGCGTGCGTGGCTGGGCAGCGTGAATGTGATGAAACTGCCGCACTAACGAAACCAGATACGCATGAAAAACAATACACATTCACGATCATCACCACGGATTCAAACAAGCAGCTGAAATTTCTCCACGACCGCATGCCTGTCATTCTCGAGCCCGGATCCGATGCGATGCGGCAATGGCTGGACCCCAGCACATACGAGTGGTCTAGGGACCTACAGTCATTGTTGCAGCCTTTTGAGGGCGAGGTGGAGGCGTACCCAGTGAGCAAAGACGTCGGCAAGGTAGGGAACAACTCGCCGACATTCATCCAACCACTTTACAGTAGGGAGAACAAGTCGAACATTGCCAATTTTTTCTCTAGCACTAAAACTGATGAGAAGGCCGGAGCAATGGCCCTGAATCCTAATGATGCAAAGGCCAGTGCTGACCAGGCGGTTGGAGAGAAGCGAAAACTGTTAGCTGAGGCGGAGTCAGAAACGCAGCAGAAAAAGCAAGCTACGCTAAGAACGATCAGCGCGACGAACAACGCCAGCAAAAAGAACAAAAACATGGCTGCATCATCGAAAGGGACGCAAAAAATCACCAATTTCTTTATTCGATAACAAGTGTAATGTATAATAAGGAATATTATATATCATCTCATTACTTTTTCCTTTAATAAGCATACATGCTTGGTATTTTTGGGTATTTGGTTGTTCTCTCTACGTCAAGTCAAGTTTATCACAGAAAAGAAAATAGAGTTCGAAAAGCCAATATTCGTGTAGGCAGGAATTCACCGTAAGTGATAAAAAAACGGATAGTAGGCAACCATAATTAAAGGAGCTTTCTAGACGATTAAAGCACGTCGGCGTACCTCGAATAGTTTTTGTTTCCTTTGGGCTACTTCGCTGATGTGGCCCGTATGAAAAAAAAAAAGGCAAGACGCGCCGTTTCCCTATAGTGATACACTTGGCATTAAAAGCAACAACAATCTGTATTTAAACTATTAAATACCATCACTCTTTTTTTAAAAGTAGAGAAGCTAGCTGCCAAAATATGTTTAGCCTAGGAGTTTCACTCATAATATTCTATATACTGCTACACTATCAAAACAGTCCAGCAAAAACCAGAGCAGAATGTAACTTACACTTTCCTCTCTTGACACGAAGATTGTGTGCACTTGACTTACACCTGCAGGAAATTCTGCTCCATTGTAGACAGCCTACTGCAGAGAAGATGCTTCAAGCGCTGGTTCGAAATGGGATGTGTATACAACTACGTGAACTACCGTTTGTGATGATGGGCGCGGAGCTTTTTGTCCTCATTTCGAATAGCCACTGGGCCCACTGGGCGAGTGGGCCACCTGTGTCGTTTTCCAGTGTGGCAGCTTCAATCTATTGTGATGAATGACACAGCATCAAAACTGGATCTTTCAACGCTTTTGTTGGTATCTGATTCCGCGAATCGATCATCTGGCTCCTCTTCCTAGCGAGGTAATCATTCATTTGTTCGCTGCACAATTCGCTCCGAAAGGTACAGCTTGGAGACAGCAGAGCTCCCTGAATTAGGCAAGGGGCGCTTGCCGATCAGCTTTTGATGCTGCAAACCTGACGTCATTGACTTTGAGGCTGGCGCGCTCAAACAACGTGCGGTTGGTTCTTGCCAAGTACTCTTTTCCTTTCCATATATAGAAAAACGGAGAACTGTAGGTTCATGAATACCTTACCAATACCAGGTCCAGACTGTCTACCTGGCGCACCACCCACGCAAATGGTTGGCTGGCCAGGTATGGAATGTGAATCAGGCGAGAGCAAGTGAAAAGTATGACGTGATAGGCAGGTAATGCAGCTCGCCTGCAAGTAGAAAGCTATATTTACTTCCTATCAGTCTCTTCGTTCGTGAATTCTACACTTACCACCACTCCTGACACCCAGATACATCCAACGCAATGCGCAACATCGGCCTTTTTCTCACTGCTACTGTCCTGGCGGTCCAGGTTGCTGGCAGCAGCTGGTTCCCCGGCCAGCGCGCAGGTAAGTATCGCTCGAGTAGGAAGGGGGTAATCGCTAATGCCTTCCCCAGTGTACAATAGATGGCATGAAACTGAACTCCAACGATGGCTTTCTGATCATGGCATCCCGTACCCCAAGCCGGCTGACCGCAAAGATATTGAAGATCTTGTTGAGAAGAACTGGAAGGATTACGTCATTGAACCTTACCGCAAATGGAGCCCCTCCGAGCTGAGCGCTTTCCTTGTCGCTCGAGGCAAAGAGGCCAAAGCAGGTGCCGATGAGAGTGTCGAGAGTTTGATTGAAAGCGTGAAAGCCAATTGGTACCGATCGGAAGACGCAGCCGGCAAGGCCACCACGGAAACCAAGGACTGGATCCTCGAGACGTGGTCCGACAGCCAGCTCAAGGCACTCTGTGATAAACAAGGCATTCCTGGTACGCAAGCCCCGACGCCACTGTGCGCCAGGTACTAACACCAACAGTCCCTGCTACCAGCAACCGAGATGCTCTCATCGCCAAAGCACGCCGCAGCTTCGAGGTCGGCTCTAAGGCGGTGGGCGAAACGCTCTCCTACCCTGGCGATTGGCTCTACGAATCTTGGTCAGACTCGGATCTTAAGAAGTGGCTCGACAAGAACGGCATTCCCGCCCCTCAGCGCTCTAACCGCAACGCCTTGGTTGCTTCCGTGCGCCGCAACTCCCACCTTGCCTATCTCAAGGCCCAGGAGCAAGAGGCCAAGGCTAGATCCAAGGCCAAGGCTGCCTATGAAAAGGTCACCGACGAGGTGATTGATGCCTGGAGCGAGTCTGACCTGAAGAAATTCGCCGACGAGAACGGCATCTCCGTCCCTCAAGGTACCAAGCTCAACGAATTCCGCGCTGCCGTCCGCCAGCACCGTGCTGAGGTCATGGGGACCAATGTACACGGCAAGGCTACCAAGGCTTTCGGGGCTGCTACCAGCCGGGCTAGCAACGAGTATGCCAAGGCCAGCGAGGATGCCACTCTAGTCGCCCAAAAGGCTTTCGAAGATGCCTCAAGCACCTGGTCTGAGAGCCGCCTCAAGTCGTACCTAGACGCCCGCGGGATTCCTGTTCCCCAGAACTCCAACCTTGATAGCCTCCGCGCCCTGGTCCGGAAGCACTCGCACAAGGCTGCCTCTGGCTGGACAGCCTGGACCTTTGACGACTTTGACAAGGAGACCCTGCAAAAGTACCTCCAGAAGCATGGTGATAAGGCCGCCAAAATGCTTTCGAAGAAGGCCGATGCTACTCGGGACGAGCTTGTCAAGACCGCGCAGTCGGCCTATGCCAAGGCCGAGAAGAAGGGCGGCGAGGAGTACGAGGCGGCCAAAAAGTACGGCGTGGAGCTTAGCAACGAGGCTAAAAACAAGGCATTTGACGTCTGGTCCGAGTCGGATCTTAAGGCGTACCTCGATAGCTACGGCGTCTCTGTTCCCCAGGGTTCCAAGCTTGACGAATTGAAGGCGCTCGCCCGCAAGCAGTGGACCTATTTCAAGTACGGCACGACGACTCCTCACGGAACTCTTCTCGCTCAGGTCGAGGACGTACTCGCCAACGGCCTGAGCTGGCTCCAAAAGCAAATCCGTGCTGGCTCCGACGCAGCCAAGGAGAAGGCCAGCGAGGCTGATGCCGCAGCTCGCAAGAAAGCAGCTAAGGTCCAAGAAGAGCTGTGAATGAAGCGATGCAACGGAGAAGGTGGACTGGGAAAGCCGTGTGTAGGTGCAGAACACGCCGGATGGAGAAATGCGATCTTTTGCTGCTAAGGGACGGAAGTATTGCGAAATCACGTAGCAGCGAGTTTGTTTGCTTATGCGCGCGCAAATCGCGCTTTGTACTCTAATCAATTCAGTTGCTTTTCGTTCAATTCCCATGCTTTATGTACATTCCATATCCACCGCGAAAAATACCGCCCATGTGCTGACCGACGCTCTACACGCTGCACCAAGCACACCATTACGCCCATAGTCTACACGTACCGTCCGCGCCGGCGCTTATGCACCAGGGGTGCTTGGGGTGCCAGTCAACGTCCATGACACCGAGCTTGCTGACGACGCGGTGGCCCCTGAGCATCTTGACTGGAACGATGGTGGCATTTTCCATCAGGTCGCTCACTACTTTGCCGTGGAAGATTTGCAGAGAGCCGTCATCGCTGGCATCGGCAAAGAGTGGCAGGGAGCGGTGGTACTTGACAGCGCGAATGGCCTCGGCGTGGAACCGCATCGTCTTGTACGGTCGGCTGGAGAGGTCGAGGTCATGCCACAGCAGACGGCGATCGTAGGAGCCGACAATCAAGTTATCGCCGCCGGGGTGAATGTCGAAAGACGAGATCCAGCGGGCACCAGGCTGTACTACCTTGACGAGCTCCTGCCTTTGCAAGTCGTAGCAGCGAATCATGCGCTGCGTGGCGACGAAGAAGAGAGGGCGTGAAGGGTGGAAATGGGCTGTCTGTGCGAGGCCAGGCAGGCGACGGAATGGAATCTGACTGAGATGCTTCGAGAGGGTGTGGATTGCGACGGAGCTGCGTTGGCCGGTCGGGGAGACGGTGCACAGGAAATCGCCTCGCCGGTGCCAGTCAATGGTCTTGATCACGGAGCGGACTGTGGCCTTGAGCAACACACCGGTGTTCTCCAGCTTCGACCCGGGGCGTGCCCACTTGGCTGGTCCCTCCTTTTTGCTGGCGGCCGAGTTTTGCTGTGCACCGCCAGTAGCGTAGCCGAAACCAGCATCCAACACGTCTCGGCTGGCCTTTTCGACAGCGTCGCTGATGAGCGGCGGGCAGGCAAAGAAGAGATCCTCGCCGGCGGCGACGGCGAGGATAAATGTCTCCTTGACGGGGCGCCATCGGACGACCTGGACAGGTTCCTCGGAGCTCAGCTTGGCGGACCACTCCTGGTGGCCGTTCAGGGCCCAGACACGGACCGTACCGTCATCACCGCCCGAAGCGATCCATTCACCGTCGGGGCTGAAAGCCACGGTCCGCACGCGGCCATCGTGGCCGCGGAAGATAGTCTGGCACAGGGATGGGAAAGGCTTGAGTTCCTCGGGCCGTGGTAGCTTGGGGAGAAGGGAGTTGGGATCGATGTTGAGTCTGTTCTTGCGGACGCGGGGTGCCAGGTAGAGATCAAGGCAGCGCTCGAACCGCTCCTTGACAAACTCGCCGTATCCAGGCACCCGTCGGAGGGCGTCGTATTTTTGAGGGAGGTATTCCTTTTCTCTCTCCTCAGGGTCCTGGTCCTCCCAGGCCTGTCGCTCCTCGCTGGTTGGCAAGTACTCAGGTGGCGGATTGTAGCTGAGGTCGTATCCCGGCGGGGCGAGCTTGGGCGCCGGGATGTGCATGACACCTCGGTCCTGCGGCTCTTCGTTGGCCCAGATATCGTAGAAGGCCGCTGGGTCCTCTTCCGCGATGCCCTTTTCCTCGGGTGGCTTGTATGGCAGAATCTTGCCCGCCTTGATGGCACGCACCAGCTGAGCAACCCGCTTAGCCTCGTGCTTTGAAGGAACGAACCGTCTCTTGGGCTCCGGCGCCGCGCTTAGTGGCATCTTTTCCTCAATGCTCGTAAAGTAAGGCACCATGTCCTGCTCAGGTTAGCACAGATTCGCAGCACAGGCAGCATACTTTTACATACGGGGTAGGGGTCGTATCCTTCCTCTGGCACCTCATTCATCTGAAGCTTTCGGAGCAGTTCAAGCTCTTCTTGGCTCAGGTTCAGAGGTTTGCCAGTCTCCGGGTCCGTCAGGCCAGTCCAGCCCTTGGGCAGCTCGATGCTGTCCAAGAGAGCATCAAGTGCCTCGCCGGTCGCTGGGCGCATAATTTTCTTGCCGTTGATGTCATAGCCTATGTGAGGATATGAGTCGTAAAATGACAAAGGGATGTTGCCAATTGTGTTGACAGGGCCTTGGGCGTCGCTGTCATCGCTGTCGTAAGCAGGGTCGATCTCTTCGTATTCATAACGCACGCCGCCATTGGCGTCCGTCACAACCTTGTACGGCCGCTCGCTGTTATCCTCGCCATTTTTCTTAGGGTCGGCCACGTCCTCATCCTCGTCCTCGTCGGGATCTTCAGGCAAATCGTCGCTCGATCCGTCGTCGAGGTCTGGCTCAGCACCCGACTCGTCGAAGTCCTCGTCCTCGTCTTCGCTCTGCGACAAGACGCCCTCAAGATGACCATCAAATTCGTCATCAGACACTATATCTTCCGAAGGATTTTTCCTTTTCGGCGCTGAGCGAGCCATTGTGTCGAATTCGTTGCGGCACGAGCGCTGTCGAGGATAGGTGCAGGCAGGGTTGATGCTCTCTCCAAGAACTTTTTTTTTGTAAGGCTTATCGGTAATGGCCATGCCGATAAGACCTGTGGCGCAGGCGGTGCTCCCAAGTAGGCTAACACGTACCTGTGCGCAGCCAGAAGTACCTCTTCCAGACACTAATAAGTAACTGGTGGGGGTTTGACACTGGACACACAGTGCGCAGACCTTGGTGGTTGTTAGGCCATTTGGTCACTCACCGAGATACAAAGGCCATTGCTGGCGTGCCACAGCTGTACCGCCAACACCTATACTCGTGCATGTCTGGCACACAGTTTTCATTCTCTGTTCGGGTGATGCGGCCTTGGTGAAAATGTGAAGTTGGCCATTACTTAGTAAGCTCACGTTTGTGCCCAGCCACATTGGCATATCATGACTGCTCTCTTACGAACCCCTGTGACGTTGCTCCCAGTAAATCCAAGTTACACCCTGCTGCAAACAGGACGACGCGGTTCTTCATGTGTGCCGCGTCCAGTAAATTCCGGGCGATATCGATTGCAGCTGTTCATTCTTGTGGCATATTATTGACCTTGAGACTGGCCTACAAAAACAATCATATCACAACAAAAGTCATCTATCCCCAGACAACGCAATCATCAGTCATAGATGACGATGCAAACCAACTCCCTCCACCTACGTAAAGAGTGCAATGAATGCTTCAAAAAGCTTTTTTAGAAAAAATTTATATGCAGCGTTCTTTCGAGCTACCTGATTCGTAACATGGAAATGGGATGGCTGCTGGTGAACTTTATCTCTGTGTAGGCTGTCACGGAATGGACGACCCGCTCACTCTGTGTCCTGGCCTCGAGGCTAAAGCCGAAGCCTACAACGCTTAAAGCTGTGCTCGGTTAACAACTCGAAGTTGAATGCACACCATACTGTCCGTAACAGTGTGTCCAATATCGCTTGTCCCCCAGGCGCCAGCACAGTCTATACCCAAGTCCATGACTTCTACATCACACATTTCCTCATGCGCATCAGCAGTTGAGCACTGCACTGTATCAGTATATTCTCTAGTAATAGTCTTACACGGAGCCGTCGGCAAACCCAGCAGCACCAAAGAGTAAGTGTCGTAAAACGCTCTCGTCCCGGACATCTATGCATAGAAATTGACCGTCTAGGATCTACTGTCAGCAAGCGTATCCGTGCAGGCCGTTGATCGCAAAAACTTACATCCTTCTTCTTCGCTTGCACTTCGGAAATGGCGTCCACATAGTGCTCGTGACCGATCTTGTTCTTGCCAGAGCGCAGCGCGATCATGCCAGCCTCGACGCAGACGGCTTTAAGCATGGCGCCACCAAACTCGTCCGTGCTCCTCGCCAACTCGCCCCAATTCACGCCTGGATCGACAGTCATCTTGCGGGAGTGGATCTTGAGAATCTGGGCGCGTGCTTCCTCGTTGGGCAATGGAAACTCAATCTTTCTGTCTAAGCGTCCAGAGCGTAGTAGCGCAGGATCCAGGACGTCAATTCGATTCGTGGCGGCCAGCACTTTAATTCTGTCATCGGAGGCAAAACCGTCCAGTTGGTTGAGAAGCTCCAACATTGTACGCTGCACTTCGCGATCGCCACTCTTCTCGCTGTCAAAACGCTTCGTGCCAACGGCGTCGAGTTCGTCAATGAAAATGATCGCTGGCGCCTTCTCCTTGGCTAGCGCAAAACAGTCTCGTACAAGCTTCGCACCATCACCGATGAACATCTGCACCAACTGAGGGCCAGCAAGCTTGAGGAATGTGGCTTCGGTTTGCGCCGCGCAAGCTCGGGCCAGCAGAGTTTTGCCGGTACCAGGAGGGCCGTACATGAGAGCACCTGGACAATGATGTTAGTGCCAATGTAGCAAGTAGAACTGCCGTCATACCTTTGGGGGCCTTGATGCCAATCTTCTTGAACCGGTCTGCCTCCTTCATGGGCCATACAATGGCCTCAACAAGCTCTTCAATCTGCTTGTCCAGTCCACCAACGTCAGTATACTGCTCAGTAGGCTTCTCGTCAACCTCCATGGCCTTGACTCGGCTGTCATATTCGGCGGGCAGGGTATCGAGAATCAGGTACGAGTCTTTGTTGACACCGATGAGGTCGCCAGGCTTGAGCGCTTCCGAGTCAACCAGGCCAATCAGCGGCAGAAATATTGTTTGTCTCGTGGACGTCTTGATGACGGCAGATTTTCCCACCCGTGTCGCGTCGAGATCAATGTTGGCCCCCTCCTCGGACGACTCGGCAGTAGGGTCTAGGTCTAGAAGTTCGACAACGTTTCCCACTAGGTAAGGCAGTTGTCTGTTGCCAATGTTAGTGCGACGTGCCATAGCATCACCAATATACCACCTACCTGTTATTGGCAATCTTGTCCACATTATCCTTGATTTTCTCGCCCATGGCCGCCTTTTCATGAGACAGTCGCGAGAGCTCACTCTTCATGATGCGAGAGTCGTTCTCTAGAAGCCGCTTTCTCGTCAGAATGTCCTGCGTGCTGAGTCCCAGGATCTCTTCGTCCAGAATATCATCTTCCTCGTCGGCCTCCTTCATCTCCTCATCTCCCTCTTCTTTCTTGTTGCCCTTGTCATCGCGGTTTTCTCTCTTCTTATCATCCTTTTCCCGGCGATCGAGATCCTCGAGCTCTTCAAGTGTCGACATGGCGAATGATAGCGGCGGCGCTGCAAGACGTTGCTGTTCTCACCGGGACAGACGGTGTAGATTCAACCAATCCACAGAAATACTGTAGATAGTCTTCTGAAGGGCGATTGTCGTCGGCGAAATGCAATTTCTTGCCCAAGGGGCTTGTTCTTGCTTGGTAAATTGGTTGCGTGAAGGGAAGTGAAGCAGTGAGACGCCAGGCTGGTGGGCTCCAGCTTTGCTAAGCACAGCACGCGCCATCAAATTGGCAGCCTAACGTCAGTTAGCAGTGGCCAACTTGGCCCACACCAGGTTAGCCCAAAGTGCCAAAGCCTCGGAACGGCAGATGATTCTCCCGCGAGTCGCCAAAAAATATACCTGGAGTCACACTGATGGGTAGTTGCGACAACCATCACCATTCCTGCAACTTCCGTCCCCAACAGCGCTAGGAAAGGTGCCACTCTACTCAGGATGGTGCAGAGGGCTTCAATGGCCTCCAGGCGCATTGTTCTTGGCCTTTGCAGCAGGCCAAGTGCAAGCCGCAGCCCCCTAATTCGCATCGAGCCTGTCCGACAATATGCTTCAACCAGCCTCGGCCAAGCTGGTACCACAGAGGCGCCAATGCAATATTCGCCTGCGACGAAACCCCCGAGCGTACGACCAGCAGAGACGAGGAAAAGCCAGATGATCCGAACATACACATCTCTTCTGCGCACGACACCCTTGATCCTCTTCTTTCAGCACAGCAACTTAACAGCTATCGAATGGGCTGCTGTGCGGAGGGAGCTCAAAAAGGCCGTATCAGCAGTTCCCTCTACAATCATCGGACCAGGTGGACAACCGATTGACATCAGCAACAGCGTGCAACTGCAGGTTTTGAGGACAAATATGTTCGACGTCGCCCTCAAGATTGTCGAATTTCACAACCCAGAAGCCGCTGCCGCCCTGGGGACCACAGCGCGCACAGCCAGAGGCCCCATTGTCCATGATTTATCAGAGGCGGCATACCAGGCTATACGCAAGGCTGATGTCACTCCCGAATCAGCCTACAGCCAAATAGAGCTGCTCATGGTTGGTCCTGTCGCGGCCCTTGTTATACCCGCAGTGTCGCCCACACATCTCGCTGCCGCCCTCAGCATCCTATCACCAGTCCCCGGTAGCTTCCCGGCGCCGACGAGAAAGAAAAACCCGGGCTTTCATGACCCCGTTTGTCAGAACGGCCTGGCAAAGCTGACCTTGGTTGGTGGACGCATCGAGGGTAAGGTCTTTGACCAGGCTGGCGTTAACTGGGTTGGAAGCATCCCTGGCGGCCTTGAGGGGCTCCGTTCCCAGCTGGTGCATGTCCTACAGAGCGCAGGCCTAGGAATCACAAATGCGCTGCAGGGCAGCAGCAAAAACCTGTGGCTGGCTCTGGAGGGCAGAAAAGAGCAGCTGAACGGGGAATAGAAGGGCGTATGAGGGTGTATGAAACATCTTGTACCATACAAACTATATACTGTACAATACTCAAGTTCAACGCTCTAGAGGTGTTGGTAATTCTCTATTGGATTGTCACAAAAATGCACGGAGTCCTTAATGATGTAGTACTCGTAATTGGCAGCATAAAAGCACACAACGTTAACGTACGCGTGCCTTCCATACTAATAAGGGTAGTTAGGTGGGTTAGTACGTACCAAGGCGAAGATGCAGGCCTGACGTGCCACCCCACAGGAGCTCCAAGCTACCTATCACGGTCCATGTGACGCACCGCGTATCATCCACGACTCATCGCAAAACTAAACCCGCCCATCCATCTCGAACCTCTACTTCCTCGATCTGCACCTTGCCCGAGCGACGCCCGACGCCAAATACTGCAGTTGGCGAGACCGCCAACCGCGACACACGTCGCCTCCCTTTCAGGTCTTCAGCAACTGCCGAAGATGGACTTCGCGCCATACCAGTCCTCGCCCCCTGAGCACGGCCGAGTAGCCTCTCCTCCCGGCTATAGTGCATCCCCGCGCGCTTCCACAGACGCAAGTAAGAGGCCATTCTCACCTATCAATGCTGCGCGCAGTCCGCCTCCGCTGCAGCACCCTCAACCTCAGAGGGCTTGGGGAGGATTCGACGGTCAAACGAGCGGCTGGGCTGGTGGCAGCTCTGCACCTGCAGGGAGCTCTTTGCCCGGTGCATATCCTGCGGCCGAAGTGAGCGAGTTTGACACCAGCCTCGGACTGCGACTCGGCTACGAAGCTTGTCTGGCATATTTGGCGTGTCCGCCCATTGGCGCCATCGTGCTCCTTATACTGGAAAGAAAAAGCGACTACGTCAGGTATGTGCCCAACGACAGGTTCCCATGGTGCATTACAGGTATGCATAAAACTAACAGTTCCAGATTCCATGCCTGGCAATCCGCATTATTGTTTACGGCCATTATGGTTCTCCACCTCCTATTCTCGTGGTCGAAGTTCTTTAGTTGGCTCTTTTTCCTAGGAGATCTGGCTTTGATTGGATTTCTCTCTCTCAAAGCATACCGCGACGCTGAAATATTAGACAGGTATGTGACAACGTTGTAAACGGCGTCGCGACAAAGGCTAATATCGTCACAGATTCGAAGTTCCATTCTTCGGAAAGATAGCAGCGAGGATACTGGACGACGAGTAATAATAAATATCAATACTATAGCTACACATTTGTGTTTAGAGCGTTTTGGCAGCCTACTAACACCGATATAATATACTAATGATTCGTTTGATATTTATTTTTAAGAAGTAGCGCAGGGAGCGGGGGTTTTAATCGAGTGAAGTTACATGCCGATTGCCAAGGATTCTCAAAGTTACCGCGACAGAACCGAATGAACACTGCACGGTACTGTGACCTTATCCGCAAAGATGACCTCGCGAATGTCACCAGTCGGCCCTTCATCCAGCCAATTCCCTAACAAGACATTGCTCTCTTTGGGCTTTACTGTATTATCTCTTGTGCCCACGGTAATATGTGCTACACGGTTCGCGCATTCCCATATGTTGGATGTGTCGTCGATTCGGACCACGATCGCCATAATCCGTTGATCGAAAACAACCTATCATAATTAGCTTCTATCCCACAGCTCCTGGGCGACTCAACTTACCCTCTCCATGACCACATCGCACTCGCCTAGCTTTCCGGTCCCTCCACCTGCCGAATCGTGCAGCGCGAGGTAGCGTTGCCAGAGCTCGGGGAACTGCTTTGCACTGGCTCTATGCAGAAGCGTTACGTGAAAATCGGACTGTATTCGACGGGTTTGCTTGAGTTGCATGTAGTTGCGGGATAGTTCCTTGTCGCACGAAGCAAATACCTTGTCAAGCATGCAGTTCACAACGTGTCGGGGGACGACGATGGACATGTATTCAAGCTCCTTGGGCTTATTCTTCTCCTTTTTTGGCGGCTGCCTGGCTGGTTGTTTGCTGCTCCGATCCGGAATCTCGTGCCTGAAACCTGGCTTAAATCCAAGCGCCGACTCAATCGCCTCATCTAGCTGGTCGGCCGTTGGTACTTCCTTGACAACATTGGGGAAGATTTCATGAAGCTTTGTCACGACTGTTTCCAAGTTCCTTCGGCTTCCTGCAACAGGATCTAAGTCGATAAAGGCGTCAAACCCGTCATCTGGTCGAGAAAGGGGAGAACAAGGCTCAAAACGACCGATAAATCCATCCATAACTCCGAGGAACTTTTCCTGGTCGCTAGCAGCGTGGATGGTTTGGTGATTATCACCACGTTGTATAACCCTTTCACGCGTCACCTTCCGGATCTCTTCGAGAGATTCTTGGTCATGGCGGAAGTTGAGACACACCATCTTGACAGACTCATGTTGGGTCTTGGTGTCAAAAATGATTTGCTTCCTTTCATGCTTTTGCGCATTGTTGCGATCAGCAAACACAACAGGCTTATCTTCGAGTTGCTCCAGCACTGCCTTGGTGAATCGAGGCGGCCGCCCCTTGCCAGAGATGTTGTCGTTTTGAATGTGTCCCCAGCCAAAAAGCTCTGTCAATGCCAGAGCAACCGTCGTCTTCCCGCAACCGATGGTTGCAATCGGTACCAGAACGACATTTTGGGTGACCTCTGGGAGTACAACCACGTCCGATTGGTCCATGTTGGCAGCATCACTGCCCCTGATGTTTTTGTAGTCGAGGAACTCATTACGCAGGGCAATGATTCCATGATTTTGGTTGTATAGTTTGGCCAGCCCAGGGTTGGCAGCCATACGTTTTTTGGCGTACAAGAGATATTCTTCGGTAATAGCAACGTGCTTCTTGAATCGGGGTGGCTTGCCCAAGATCAACGCCTTTGTGCATTCTCTCCACTGCCGGTACATAAGGTATGGTTCCTCAAACTTGAACTTAAAAAACCAATCCTCATATGGGAGATTTGCAGGGTTCCCTGACATCTTGCAGCGGATAACGAAGCCTTCGACGTCACGACCGTCGTATGCGCCAGTGATAGCAGCATCCTCCAGAAACTCTTTGACTTTGTTGACATCCTCGAACACGAGGTAGTTTGTCTTACGGAAACCCCAGGCATCTGCGAACTGCTGAACGGCGTTGCTGGGGTACGTGTTGAATTCCGGCACATTGAGATTGATTCCATGCAAGTAGAGCCCGGCTTTATCCGGTCCATACGCCAAAATATGCTCCTCAAAGGCGTCGTCGCAAAGCTCAGCAACAGCCGTCACATTGCGTTGTCGAAGTTCTTTAGCTAGGTCGTTCTTCGTCTTTCCGAGTCCTAGAAGCTGTTTCTCTATCCAAGCCTCCCCGGCCTTGGAGTGTGTGAGCTCGCCGCCACGATCTCCTGTAGAGTGTTTGCTGCAGACAATGAGGGTTTCGTCTTCAAGGCCAGCAATGAAGATGATGCATCCGTTTTCCTTGAGAGTGAGTTCATATGGCCCTTTGGTCTTCGTCAGGATATTCTCCCACTTGGTTTCGTTGACTTCGTCGACATTAAAAAACTTGTCGTAGCCTCGCACGGCAATCTCGTGACGATTCTTGCGCGTTTTTGTAGTGAAGAGCCCACGAGCATATACTGGCAGGTCTCGTCGCTTGTAGTCCCATTCTTGGAATCTCCACGAATCGACTGTGATATTATTTGGCGATTCTTTGACCTGAAACGGGGTCCTCTTCACGGACGCCTTGCCACGATGTTGCCCCTTTCGGTACTGCTCCAGTGACTGCATGAGCTTGGACATCTGGTCCGGGTCCTGCTCAATGTAAGGAACGCCGGCCATGTTGGAGTATTTGCGTGAAATCGAGATTATTGTTTTGAATTTCTTCGTTAAAAATCCTACGCGGGCGACCTTGTGGTAGGATTTTGTGCCTGTAATCATGGACAAGTTCGTCGTTTGCTGCGGGTGCCGTTTGTCGATGTGCCTAGTCGCCAGCTACAGAACGGCGTTGTCCAAGTCACCAGTTGTGAAGCTTTCGGGCAATGGCAGTACGAACTAAACAGCACGGGGACTGGGAGAAGCCGCGTTCTTGTAGACTTCGCTGCACCACGGCTCAGAAATCATGCATATGTTCAGCGTTTGGCAGCAAACAGCGAAAGTTGATCCCAACAAGGCAGAGTCTCTGCCCCACCTGTGATTGTGACTCAGTCCAGGCACGCTGCGAGGCGAGCTGCAAACTGCCTGACCAATCACTGACTGCCTCTTTAACGTTTCGCAAGCAAGCTTCGGGCAAGAATTATCAACGGAAAATGAGTCTTCACCGAGAATTAGTGTAAACGCCATGGCAGAAATAGCGGCAAGCTCTGAAAATTATAGGCAGCCATACATCCTCTTTTAAATAAAATTTCATTGCCATAACTAGTTGCAGCAAACCTACCCACCTTCACAAACAGAGCACCAATTTTTTCCTCCTAATAACTACTCCACCACCACGAGGTTCAACATTACAAGATGGCTCCGAATCCCTTTTTGCTGGCTGCAGACAACAGCCCGTCTCTTCTTCCTCTACTGAGACAGAATCCAGAGATTGCAAAGTCCCAAGACGAGCACGGCTACACGTTGGTCCACGCTGCTGCGAGCTACAACCACCTCGATCTCCTTCGGGCATTGATCAATGAATTACAAGTCGACGTCAACATCACGGATGAGGACAACGAAACCGCTCTTTTTGTGGTAGAGACAGTTGACGCGGCAAAGGCCTTGGTTGAGTTTGGCGTCGATATCCAGCACAGAGGTCTCGAGGGTCTCACTGCCGCAGAAAAAATCGAGAGTGAGGCGGACTTCCCAGATGTGGCGATTTTCCTAAACTCTCTCAACTCTGGGCAAACCCCCCGGCAAACCAGCTCGGGTGCCACTGCAGTGCCATCCGGCCTTCCACTCCCTCCGGACGGCATGCAAGTTACGTTTGGGGCCGTGGACGAAGCGGAGGTCCCTACCGAGGTGGACCAGGAGTTTCAGCGCCGCATCGAAGAGTTTGCCCAGCGAGATGACTTCAAAACACCAGAGGGTCAAGCGGAACTTAGAAAACTTGTTGAGGATGCTATTACGGATCAGGGCTTTGGTGAGGAGAGGGGCACCAAAACGAAGCGAGTATGAAACTTAGCTATGCTTGATATCCCACATCAAATATCGCGAGCTCTGCCCAGGTGGCTTCAGGACAGTTATTTCGCTCTTGCCGCCCAGTCTACCCGCCCTCAGGTCGGTTGCACTTATTGTGAACCACGAATCTTCCGGGCAGGCTGTTATTAATGCAGACACCAGATTCGATACCCACGAAGGACTCATGAGTCCATCCCAACTAATGTGCACAACACTCATTTCCCCCGGTGGGCAATCTGGTACACTGTATCGTGATAAATATGGATCAACTCCATCATTGTATAGCACGCGGGGGCTTCCTAGTCGTATCAGTGAAATCCATTCGTACAGCTCCGCTGCCGCGTAGGGGCCTCCTGAGCCGTCGTTTTGGAAGTCGGGCATCGTCGGCGTCATGACTTGGTGTGTCTTTATCGGTTGAGAATTGACGGGATTCGACAGCACCTTTTTGTATGATAGTCGGCCGAGAGACGTTGACTCGTCGCCTGATACTTTGTCAACATACAATGCTGGTGGCGGGCAGTGAGGCTTACACGAGTCTTCCAGGGTGCAAATCCAGTTTAGTTGAGTGTCCGATACGGTTCTACAGCCGTATACAATCCGGTCAAATCCTCGCTTTCCATGTTGCATGCTTGGACTTTGCAGGTCGTAGGCGACAACTATTCAGTGTCAGTCTATGCTCCTTCACTAGACTATATGTTCACTTACCCCATTTTGATCGCATCTCCCTGTTTCCATTCTGTTCGTCAGGGCTGCCTGATAAACCTGACCGCTCATATGTTTCTCTATCAAGATACAGCTTGAGCTTTCCTGCGCTGCGTGTCAGTTGCGCAAAGACCACGGTATTCGTCACGCTATCCTAACCTCTGCAGAGTGCGAATGTGTTGCCAGATATCGGAATCCCTTCTGAGAGCATAGACATGTTCCCTTTACATGTTTAGCGTCGGTTCCGACTTGAAATCAGTCATCTTACCTGTTTTCACATGGTCTCGAAAAAATTCCTTCTCGAATATCTGGCCCAGTGTGGCTTTGACCTTATAATACTGTGTTGGGGTGCGTTGAACTACTTGCTCCAGACCAGCATTCCAGTTGTCTGGCACGACTACATCAACCTGCACCTTGTGAGCTTTTGCTGGGGTGAATGCGCTGCGTGGAACTGGATTTACCCTCTGTATGAAGTCCCTGCTGTGAAAACTAGCCGCTGGTCTTCGCTTCGCCTGCGACGGTCCTGCTTCAACGCTCCCTGTTGTGAAGGTGCATCGCGTGTTCTGGTAGACCGATGGCACGGTGTGTAAGTTCATTTCCTTTCCGCTGCTTCTAGGGCAGTTTGTTAAAACAAGCTGTATTGATAGTCTATTCCCTGTGAGCCAGGTTGAAGCGGCCGCGTTTTCGCGAGGTTCTGTTGCGAAAAAAATTTACGCAGTCCCACTTACCCTACACTTAGTTCACCAAATTGCCCTCTGAAATGCCCTGCCACTCTCACACACTGTCCCCCATTTTCACGGGAACAGCCTCACGGCATCCACTAGGGGTAACAAATTAGCAGAGGATACTTCAGGGCGTCTTTCTCTCCCTTTGTCCGTAGCTATACCGTACACCATGATGGACTTTATTATAAAGTTTGCACAGGCCCACGAAAGTTTTCGCATCCCCGAAATCGAAGCGTTGGCGATTGTCGAGAACGTGCACCTAAAAATCATACACTATGACGAGGCAGTAAGATCACCAGCACGGCATAATCGGAATGTGCTAACCAAAGCAGTCACCTCTGTGTATTGTGAAGCTTCCATGCGTGGACGCCGCAAAGAGACTCGTGCGTCGCTCTATCATGGCACAGTCGATCCACGAGCTGTGGGGTTCAGGCAAAGACCTGGAAGAGCTTAACAAATCTGTCGAAACGACGAGTAGCCCAGCGTGGCCAAAGTATAAGACATCATCATTCAAGTTTGTTTTTGATTCATACCAAGGATCGCGATCCAAACCCAGTCGGCTATCTGTGATCAACAACTTCCGATTCCTACCATTCGAAGGGCCCATCATCATGAAGAACCCTGATGAGGTTTTTACCATTCTCGAAATATGGCCGTGGAACAGTGTTCCCATGGGAATCGAGAACCCCGACTACTACCACCTGGGACGCTTTATTGCTAACTCAGCCCGTGAAGTTGTACTCAAGTTCGATCTTAAGAAGCGGCAGTATATATCGACCACGAGTATGGATTCAGAGCTCGCTCTGATCACAGCAAATATCGCATTAGCTGCACCTGGAAAGATCTTCTACGACCCGTTCGTTGGAACAGGCTCGTTCCCGATTGCATGTGCCCATTTTGGTGCAATGAGCTGGGGCAGTGATATAGATGGACGGAGCATTCGAGGCGAGGGCAACGATAAGAGTCTCAAGGGGAATTTTGGCCAATACGATATCGAGTCGCTGCTAGGTGACGTATTTGCTGCCGATATCACGAACAGCCCGATTCGCAGACGGAGAATCTGGGACGGCATTGTCTGTGATCCGCCATATGGAGTGCGAGAAGGATTACGAGTACTCGGGCTAAAAGACCCAGAGAAAACCCCATGGCTCGTTGAACGTGGAATCAAGCATGGAATGTGAGTTTCAATCCTGGAAAGGTAATCGGATCGGTGCTGATGTTTATAGGGAGTTCGATTATGTGCCACCAAAGAAGCCATACAGCTTTATGGCAATCCTGGATGACATTCTTGTATTTGCAGTGGAAACCCTCGTTGACAACGGAAGGCTTTCGTTTTGGATGCCCACGGCCAATGAGGAGGACCAGCAGATCGCAGCCCCAACGCACCCGGGCCTTCAAATCGTGGCCAACTGCGTACAAGTCTTTAATAAATGTCAGTCGAGTTCTCCATGGCCACTGCCACTGGCACTAGTAGCAGCACTGGCTAATATACACAGGGTCCCGACGGTTGATTACATATCGACGCATACCCGACTCAGAAGTACCCAACGAAGCACTAGAAGCATATGCTGGCAGGCAACTTTTTAGTGAAGTTGGAACCACCGCTGACGAACTGAACCCTTTTCGTCGCGGGTATTTTAAAAAATTCCAAAGCGATAGCTGAAAGCCAAATGCAGGACTGGTCAAATGACACCCATGATATTTGTAAATCAACAGCTCCCGTCCTAGCTCCAAAGCAAAAACCCAGCAATCTGTTCAATGAGCTTCAACCCGATCAACAAAACACAATACTATGCATGCTGCAAACCACATAAAATGGAAGTAACCCGGAAATGGTATATACACACTAATTGGCGTGCTGACCGGCCCCATTTGCAAACCAGCAATTTACCGACGTGTCAATCATATGCATCCAAACTCATCGAAACTCCATGGCCATGAAACATCCTCGGTCTGGGACGTATTTAAGCTCAAGCTGCTGGAATCTACGTGACGTTAGCGGTGGATTGCAGCAAACAGGAAAGTGACATACTTTTCGCTCTTCGAGTGGAAGTAGATACCGCTGACTTCGCCTTTGACCTGGTTGAAGCATATATAGTAGAAGCCCTCAAAACTGGCTCCGTGAATAGTGCGGACTCGATGATCCGGTACGAGGAAGTGCTCTTTCCATCGCATAAATATGAACTCCTTTTGCGCGACGTCGGGTATGATGACGGACCCCTTTTTGCCCTGTCTCTTTGAGTACGGCCGAAACGCACCAAACTTGGACCAGTGGCTTATGTCCACTTTGGAGTTGGCACCCCAGTCGTCGTGCTGTGTGATGAAGCTGTACCTCGTCCCGATAATCTCGCCCTCGAAGTATGTGGTGAGGGTTGGGTGATCTTCGGTGAGACCTAGCATAAATGTTAGCTGGCTGATTTGCAAAAACGGCGCAGCATTGACGGCAGACAGAAGTGGATGTACCCTGAATGCGCAGATATCCGCATAAGAACGACTCGCGCATGTCGACATATTTTATTTCGACCTGAACCTCGTAGACCTGCCGTTCAGACTGTTGCGTGCCGTGGAATTTGGTACCTGGTCGTAGGTAGGATGATGGACTAAAAGGAATAGACTGAATCCTTTAGCTTCCATCTATTGGAACGAGTTAGAGGCAGCTTACTCTTTTGTTGGAGTAGTCGAGCCCAGTGTAGCATGAGCTCAGTGTATGGTCGTCGTATGTTTCGGGCTCGCTGTCGTTTTCTTCTTGTCGATTGGCAGCACTGGATGGAGACGGGCTGCCCGTGACAGCTGGTTGACGGGTACTGGATCGGCGCTCGAGTCCTTGTTGTTTGCCATTGCCGATATCAGAAGGGGGGGAAAGAGCGCCGTTCGCGCTGGATCGCGGGCGTGGGGATACTGTAGTGGCCCGAGATGACGACTCGGCGGAGATACGATCGTCTGTCACTAAAGAATCACCTCTGATCATGTTGCGTGACTGCTCCGAGTCGACAGAAGGAGTCTCATGAGGCGATTGGCTCCGCCTGTCCGAGGGCGATTCCAAGCCAGGAGTCATTTCTTCACGAGATGACTGGGCGGTTTGGGATAAATGTTGCAACTCGTCGGGACAAGTCGAAAATGTGTAAGACGGCGGTGAAGAAGGATCGAGCGGCGGCTCCGAGGACGGCGTCGGCATTGTTGCGACCGATCGGACCGTGACAATCGGCGACGCTGACGGCGGGGATTCGTCAGCGAAGAAGATGCCGCCAATCAACGGTGGTGCACAAGCCCCAGAATTCACTCCAGTGCCAGGCAGGGGAATACCTTGCTCAAGTTGCGTTACCAAGCTGTTGAGTTGCCGCGGAAGATGGGGGGTGACGGTATCACCACGCGAGACCGAATTGGCTAAGAGCGATTCATTGAAGAGCGCTTATAGCTGTCGTCTGGGAACCGTATGCCCAGATCGCCCGGACCGTACAAATAAGATCGCACCCTGAAACAGACCGGAAAGCGATGACGGATAGATGTTTAGTCGATTAGATAGCGGCTGTAGGGTCAAAGGCGAAAAATGAAGGACTTGGGAGGCGAATTCGGGTTGACATGTGTGGAGAAACTGATAGGTAAGGTGCCCTGCGGCGCAACTCCAGCTGAAGCAGTTGGGCGGGATTGGGACGGGGAGCCGGACGCTTTGTAGCGGGGAGGTACCATCTAGTGGACGGTGGATGTAGAAGATACCCCGCCTCTACATGAGATGCGATCTGGGTAGGTTAGTTAGGTGGGTAGGTCATACGTACATACATACATACATACATACATACGGCGCCGCCGACTGAGCCAACTGTCCATGGCCGTCAAGTCTCTCGACCAACCCTACCTAGGTACGACTGGGAGGCACCCACTTCGCATACATCTTCACGGTAATGGGGATATGTCTTAGGATGTGGCATTGTACAGACAGGTAGTTATATAATATCTGTAGAGGAACTGGAGCTGAATCTGGGGCAGTGCCGTGTACGTTATGTCAGGTAGCTTAAGTACCTCATGCCAGGTATATTTGTAAATGTTCACCAGAAAAACGGGAAGCTAACTATGTATGTACCTACATAGTTATACTGTAGCCCCCAAGTGGTCTCGGATACCTAACATATCACACTAAAGCTGCGGCTGCTACACACGGCTCCTAGTTGCCTTGGTATTACGGCTTTGAACTGTTCATCCGATACTGCAAGTGGTTCAAAACTTGTTAATGGTGAAAACGGTCTTGTGTGCACATTCCGCACTAAAAAATGGCAATATATCATTCCTGGCGTTATATTGCATACTTGTACGTATGGTATGATGCCATAGTTGGCCAGCAATGGTATCCTGACCCAACCCCTATAACTCCGCTTTTGGGTATCAATTAAATAGGCTTAATCTTGAAATGCAACGCGATAAGGCTGAAAACCAAAGCCTTTAAATCTTGAACCAGGTAATAGAAAACTCGAAGGCCTTCGGGGTCGGCGGACTCGGTGACATCGACTAGCGATCCTATCTTGGCGGTCTTTGGCAGTTAGCGAGTTTCTGGTCTCTATGCGACACTTTTATACCAACTTCGAATGAAATGTGGTCATTGCCGAGCCGGATTTCCAGCTGTTGACGTCCGTCTTTGTTCTTTTGAGGCCATTTGGAATCGTCTTCCCTGAGAATGGTTAGAATATTATGGCGAAAGTGCACTAAGGGCATCTTTACTTGGTAATTTCGCTCGTCTTTATAATTCGCTTGATTTCGTCGATAATGGTGGCGCTCACACACACTATAAGAGCTGATTAGCCGTTATTCGAGCACATTGTCAAAGCTGCTGGCTGCGTACTCTCTTTTCGAATCAAACTGTCGTTTCGGTAATTCGAGTTATTGGCATATCGAGTAACTGCACTGCGACCGTCCCCTACGACTCTGATATCGAACTCTGTCAAATAACATCAGCACTTGCTCATTCGCAGGATGAAGCATCACCAACCAAGGAACTCGTGGCCGAAGCGGCCAGAATGGCCAGAACTAAGAAGGATTAGTAGATCAACCTGGAGAGACGTACAAAATGGCTCACTAGTATCGTAGGTAAAAAGGCTCATTGGAGGAACTCATGGCTACGATTTTCCCAGTCGCAGAAATTTGGCCAAAAGCTGCAGTTGCGCCTCTGGAGCTTCACTAGCTTCACCCGCAGCGCTGCCTTCTCATGGTGGGGCAAGTTGGCAGTGGAATCACGTGCAGCGACGCTCTCCATTCCCCTCGCTTATTAACTACTAAAGTTAGTGCCACCTGTTCAGCGGGCGGTGGTGGTAAGGAGGGAGCAGCCAGATCACCAAGACCGCAAGGTGCTAATTCAGAGCTTGCCCATACTCACTGTCGGCGACTTTGGCAGCTTCAACGTCGGAATTGCTACTCGACTTGCCCGCCCATGGACCAGGCTGCAACTTGAAGAAGACGAGTCTCTTTACCAGCACAATTGCGGACGAACAACGCGAGCCCCTGGCTATATAACCCGCCGCCTTCTGAACTCTGGCAAAGAGCAACCATGTCAGGATTTCTAGAAAATGCATACAGTCTCGTCCACCAGGACAATGCGGCTGATGTGCCTACTGTCTCGGATTTACGGATGCAGCTTGAGAAGGGCACTGATGAGAGCAAAGTCGACACCATGAAGCGCATCTTGACGATAATGCTCAACGGCGACTCCATGCCCACGCTCCTTATGCACATCATTCGATTTGTTATGCCTTCCAAGTACAAACCCCTCAAGAAACTTTTATACTTTTACTACGAAATATGCCCCAAGTTGGACTCTTCTGGCAAGCTTAAGCAAGAGATGATTCTCGTCTGGTACGGCTAGACTTTACCCCTCCGCCGCCTTGTCACTGACTGAGTTGTCTAGCAATGGTATTCGCAACGACTTACAACATGCCAACGAGTACATTCGAGGCAACACTCTGCGCTTCCTCTGCAAGCTGCGCGAACCGGAACTCATCGAGCCCCTGCTCTCATCCGCACGATCCTGCCTCGAGCACCGTCACGCCTATGTTCGGAAGAACGCCGTCTTTGCCGTCTCTTCGATATACCTGCACTCGCCCAGCCTCATTCCTGATGCGGCAGACCTTATCTCTGCTTTCCTCAGCGGTGAGACGGATGCCACTTGCAAGCGCAACGCCTTCGCTGCCCTCTCCAGTATTGACCACGACGCTGCGCTGGTGTACCTCAGCTCTGTCTTTGACGGCATCCCCAACGTGGACGATCTTCTGCAGCTTGTTGAGCTCGAATTCATCCGCAAGGATGCTATACAGAACTCTCAAAACAAGGTAAGCCAAATTATAATTCCTTCGACCTTATCTGACCTGGACTAGGCCCGCTACCTTCGACTCATTTTCGACCTGCTCGAAGCTAATACCTCTACTGTTGTATACGAAGCGGCGTCATGTCTGACTGCCCTCACCAATAATCCTGTTGCTGTCAAGGCCGCTGCGGGCAAGTTCATCGAGCTCAGCATCAAGGAGGCTGACAACAATGTCAAACTTATCGTCCTCGACCGCGTCGACCAGCTGCGCAAGAAGAATGAAGGAATCTTGGATGACCTTGTGATGGAGATCCTCCGTGTCCTCTCTAGCACGGATATTGACGTGCGCAAAAAGGCCCTTGAGATCGCCCTTGAGATGGTCTCGAGCAAGAACGTCGAAGAGGTCGTTCTGCTCCTCAAGAAGGAGCTGTCCAAGACTGTCGATCAGGAGTACGAAAAGAATTCTGAGTACCGATCTCTTCTCATTCACTCCATCCACCAGTGCGCTATTAAGTTCTCCGAGGTTGCTGCCAGCGTTGTTGAGCTGCTCATGGATTTCATTACCGATTTCAACAATGCATCTGCCGTTGACGTCATCCACTTTGTTAAAGAGGTGGTCGAGAAGTTTCCCGCGTTACGTACCATCATAGTTGAGAGACTCGTCTCGACACTGAGCGAGGTCCGCGCGGGTAGGGTTTACAGAGGTATCCTGTGGATCATTGGCGAGTACTCTCTGGAAGAAAAGGATATCCGCGATGCCTGGCGCCGTATTCGTGCTAGTCTCGGCGAGATTCCCATTCTGGCCTCGGAGCAGCGCTTGCTGGAGGACCAAGATGGTGACGAGAAGGAGGAACAGCGGCTGAATGGCGAGCCGAAGCCCGCAGCCCCCACTGGATCGCGCAAGGTCCTCGCGGACGGAACATATGCCACTGAAACTGCTCTCACTAGCCAGTCTTCTGCGGCTGCGAAGCTGGAAGCTGTTAAAGCCGCCCAAAAGCCGCCCTTGCGCCAGCTCATTCTTGATGGTGATTATTACTTGGCCACAGTACTTTCCTCTACCCTGGTCAAGCTCGTCATGCGCCATTCTGAGACCTCTTCTGACAAATCTCGGACAAACGCCCTCCGTGCCGAGGCCATGCTTATTATGATATCTATCCTTCGTGTTGGCCAGTCACAGTTTGTTAAGGCTCCTATTGATGAGGACTCTGTCGATCGTATCATGTCTTGCGTGAGATCGCTGGCTGAATTTTCCGAAAACAAGGACCTGGAAGCTGTTTGGCTGGATGATACAAGGAAGGCCTTCAAAGCCATGGTTCTGGTTGAAGAGAGGAAGCGTGCTGCAAAGGAAGCGCACGAAAAGGCCAAATCTGCCGTACAAGTCGATGATGTTATTCAGATTCGTCAGCTGGCCAATAAGAACGCTACGGATGGCCTAGATGAGATTGAAGTCGACCTGGAGCGCGCCACCGGTGGTGATGCGACGGCAGAAGACTTGTCGTCGAAGCTCAGCCGTGTGGTCCAGCTCACTGGCTTCTCAGACCCGGTATATGCCGAGGCTTACGTCAAGGTGCATCAGTTTGACATTGTTCTCGATGTCCTTCTAGTGAATCAGACGACCGAGACTCTACAGAACCTTTCTGTTGAGTTTGCCACTTTGGGCGATCTCAAGGTTGTTGAGCGGCCAACTACTCAGAACCTGGGGCCTCACGACTTTCACAACGTCCAGTGTACCATCAAGGTATCGTCAACTGATACAGGTGTCATCTTTGGCAACGTGGTCTATGATGGTGCCCACTCGACGGACACAAACGTGGTCATTCTCAACGACCTCCACGTTGACATTATGGACTATATTCAGCCTGCCACGTGCACAGAGACACAGTTCCGCACAATGTGGACGGAATTTGAATGGGAGAACAAGGTCAACATCAACTCCAAGGCAAAGACACTACGCGATTTCCTGGACCAGTTGATGGCCTGTACCAATATGAACTGCCTTACTCCCGAGGCAAGCTTGAAGGGCGACTGTCAATTTTTGAGTGCAAACTTGTATGCCCGTAGTGTATTTGGTAAGAGCCTGATTTTTTTTTTCGTAACTAATGCAACTCGACTAACTCAATGATAGGGGAGGACGCGTTGGCCAACTTGAGCATCGAAAAGGAGGGAGAGGACGGCCCAATCACCGGATTTGTGCGTATAAGAAGCAGGTCGCAAGGCCTGGCGCTCAGCCTCGGATCTCTAAAGGGTCTGAACAAGATTGGCTCCTCTTAGATGTTAAAATACAATTAAATAAGCGCTGATTTAGATATGGGGATCTGGAAAGGGAATTGCAGCCTCGCTCACGGGTTACGAGGCGGAGTGGTGAATGGATGATAATAAAATTTTGTCTTTTTCATGAACATTACAGTGTGAAGAAGTATCTGAGAGTAGTTCCGGTTGGCGGAAAGGTCAACTAATACGTGCAATTCATTAAATATCCAAAACAGATCCTGTTCTAAACAATCGATCTCAATCCTCGCCGTGGGCAAGTGGTGTGCGTAACAAACTGTGAATACGTGCTAAAGGGTATATGCAGAGAAAAGTAAACAGAGATACTAAGGTTTCAAGTCCATTATGTCGTGGGCGGCGGGCCGTGGGCGGTATGAGCCAGGAAGTAGTCCCCGTCAACGGTTGAAGATGAGGGCATTCACAATATGACCATCCTGCCAGCCTTGAGCTTCGAGCGTGGCGGTCTCTTTAAGCAGCTTGCCCATGTAGGCGAGCCGTATTTTTTTTGTGGAAGAGAGCTGACGTGTATTAGACGAGTCCAGTAGCAAGTAGAAGCGAGATGCAGACAGAACATACCTTAGCTTCGGCTGCGAGTTTTCTAATGACGTTCCTCACGACGTCGGTTTTTGATACGGAGACGCTAATGTCGTTGCCAGCTTCGCTCAGACGGGCGCGGACTTGAATCGGCTCGCCTTCGTCGACGTTCTTGCCCTTTTCCTCTTTGCCCATCTCCGCCCCCTCCCCATCGCCCTGGGTTTCATCGTCACCGCTGCCAAGACCGTCTCTATCTTGGTCATGCTCAATGATGTTTTGCGGATCTGAGACGACCCATTCGGGCAGTGGGTAAAAGTTGCCAAAGGAGTCGTACGCCCCATTGACCAGATTCCCCGTTGGTAGCGAAATTTCGGCAGCGTTGAGCATGGACTGCGCCGTCTGGAGCGCCGTCTGGCCATTGTCATTTGTTTCCTGGGTGGGGGGTTCCCAAAGAACCTGCAGCGCGCCATGGAGCGTCTGCCAAATCTCCGATCGGGCGGTGACACGCGTATCAAAGTATTCTGCGCGCTCAGTGTCTAATTCCTTTCTTGTCCATTGGCGGTCGACTGAGGCCCAGACGTGGCGTCGAAGAGGCTTGTTTATGTGCTCGTCAATGGGTCCTCGATCACGGCGACGTCGGCGGCGAGGGGAAGCCGGGTTCGCAGCGGTGACCGGCGTTGCTGCGCTCTCACCAAGACTCAGCGGCGGGGGATTAATGTGTCGCGCGGATGCATTTGGGATCCCACCGGGATAAGGAGAATTCGGGCCAGCCGACCGAGAAAAACAGCAACCCTAGTGTCAACTCATTTAGTACCTATCGGCGACAGGATACAATCGCCCATGCGACGTACCATGGTTGCGAGGCTCGTCGTTAGCCTTGTGCGACGCACAGTTGAACAGGATCGGAGATTAAATCAAAGGTATGCAGCTATATGCCTAGGGCCATGCCAGCCGGGCTGTTGATCGCTGATCGCTTGCGGCCCAGGCTAGCTGCTGCCAACGAAGGAGAGGAAAGGAGATGAGAGATCAGGAAACGGAACTTGAGACTGCCAAGCGAAATGCACTGCATTGGGGTAGGTAGCTTGACAGCGGGGACAGTTGGATTTCAAGCGGGTCACAAGTCCAGGCGATCGGCAACGGTGTACTTATGCAACTACCGATCTAATTCTAGAAAATCATTACAGCATTCTTGGACCTAGGGGACACAGTTCTAGATTCGGACACGAAACAGAGGGACCTTTCTTGTAGAGTGTGGAGAGTGACCCGAAAGAGAGGGCTGCGATGACGGGTAGCTGGATGCAAGGTAAGCTGTAAAAATGGTTACAGGATGATGCATGTCACCATTTAGTTGCAAGTACTGTTACATACCTCTGTTGCGAAGTGACTTCGATAACTAGCTTGGCGAACCACTCGACAAAGGTGGTTGCCACATGTGCACACATGTTTGTGGTTGAGTGGGGGGAGAACCAGTACTTGCATGGATGCCTGCTTAATTGCATCTGAGTTGAATGGCTTGTTACGGCACCAGGGCTTAAACAATTACTGTTACATACCTACATAGTAACCTTGGTATCAGTCGTATTGTGTCAGTTCATGGTCCTGTTCTGTTTCCCGCCGTGACCCGAGTATACATGTAGTATTTTCCGCTGGGGCAATTCCTGAGAAGGGCAAAAGGCACCAGGCAGGAACTATACACCATTAATCTAGGCACAGTCCTGTAACGTCAGGGGCTCCTAGAATCTTCCTTCTTGTCCTGCAGGCCGTGTGTATGGACCAATGACCCGTCATCTGCGTTGGATGGGAGGGACATGAATTCCAAGAGGCATTGCAGGGCTAGTACACATCAATAATCTAACTTTTGTTGAGAGATTCCCATGTATTTTAAGAAAGTGTGGAGAGACCTTGCGAACAAGGCGAAGAGTAATTAAAGGTGGTGATAATGATTCTAGTGATGCTTGCAAGCAGCACAGTGTTCGTTGTTCCCCACTTACGCGTCTTGCGTTTTCGATTTTCGCAACTAAATGTAAACGTTAATAAGACAGCTTAACGCGCGGTAACAACACCACTTTCATTACCCAGGCCTCATAATCACCAAGCTCAAAATGGAGCAAGCTATTCGGGAGCACTTTTATCACCATGGAAAAGTATGGATCATAGGAGCCAAGAGCCGACTTTTAACATTGTAAGGAGCTAATCATATCTTCAAGACAGCGGCCAGTCAGAGTGAAAACTGCCATTGGTGTCAGCTGCGTTCGCTGCCCACACAGGACACGATCCCCATCAGCATTGTCAACGACGTCGATGGCACAGTCCTTCCAAAGGACTTTCGCTTCATTAATGACATGGTTTTTGGCCAGGGAGTGGAACCCGCAGAGGATAGTTTCCGCAGTGGCTGCTCCTGTACAGATGATAGCAATTGCCAGTACACCGACTGTCTTTGTCTCGCCGACCTGGAAGAAGACGAAGAAACAGAAAACGACAAAGGCATGAATATGAATGACGGTATTAAGAAGGCATACCCGTACCATACACATGGAGTAAAAGCAGGACTATTGCGATCAAGACTACAAAACTCATCTGTGCCCCTCTACGAATGCCACAAAGGCTGCGCTTGCTCTAGCAGATGCCCCAACAGGGTTGTCGAACGTGGTCGCACAGTGCCGCTGCAAATTTTTAAAACAGATAATCGCGGATGGGGTACGTACAGCTACGTGATGTTGAATTGGCTGCTGAAGATGCTAATGGATCACTTCAGGAGTGCGTTCAGCAGCACTGATTAAACGCGGCCAGTTTGTGGATCGATATCTTGGCGAAATCATCACTGCAGAGGAGGCCGACCGCCGCCGCGCAAACTCGGCCGTGTCCCAGCAAAAAGACGTATATCTTTTCGCACTCGACAAGTTTACCGACCCAGACTCACTGGACCCACGTTTAAACGGCCCGCCGCTTGAGGTTGACGGCGAGTTCATGTCGGGGCCGACACGTTTTATCAACCATTCATGTGATCCCAACCTTCGTATCTTTGCTCGCGTCGGTGATCATGCAGACAAACATATCCATGATCTTGCGCTGTTTGCTATCAAAGATATTCAGCGTGGTGAAGAGCTCACCTTTGATTATGTTGATGGCGTTGTGGATGAGCAGGATGACCAAGACGGCAATGTGGACGGCATGACGAAATGCCTTTGCGGAAGTGCAGATTGCAGAAAATTTCTTTGGTGAATGTATGTATCAATGAGACTTCCTGCATAGAGCCGTCCATCAAAGAGCTGGACTGGTTGCACAGATCCATGTCTGTTGAGGCAGGTGGACTGTACGGAAGCGCTTTGTGCAGGTACTACTAATCTTCATCTATAAATAACCATATCTCTCCGGGCGACAGGAAGAAGAGGAGGCCTTTTACCCGAAAACAAGAGAAGAAAAGGAGTCATGAGGCGTTTGCGGTTGCCTCGACAGAAGGCAAAGGCAGACGCACAAACGGGGCAGCTAAGAGCGTGGCTTCGCGACAAGAGCCGCTTGGCAACCATCCTCGAAGACCACGACTTCACCATCAACACGATTTTCGTTCCGAATGTCTACAAAGAATACACTGCAGTTGCAGCGGAATCGATTATGACTTGTTGCACAGGTTCTCTTTCGGAGGTGCGCATTGGTGTCGATTCGTTTTTCGAGTCACCCGTGGTCAAGGCGGCTTATAGGGATTTTAAAGTACAGTGCGATTCCATGGAATGCAGCGGCTTTGGCTTCCTCGAGAGCGAATTAATCAATGTCCTAGCGTCTCTGGCCGAGAACTTTCATCAACCGCACCTGGGGACCACGAATCCGCCGGTGCCGTGGCGGGTGGCAAAGATGGCCATTCCCAACGATGGAAAGCTGAAGCAACTGACGATGGAATATCTTGTACGCATCGAGATCTGGAGACGAGAAGGACTCGCCAGAGGCAGGCCGTGGCAGTTTGGAACGCACCACTCCAGATATCAGTTTCTGGCGTCCACTCTCGTGCAGCTTTGGTACATGGACAATGAAGGCTGCTTTAGTTTCCGCGAAGTACAAACGAGCAGCCGCGATTGGAATCTTTGCTGGGATAGCTGGTTTGAAAAGTGCATCCAATTGGATGCCGCAGCGTCTGCAGCCAAGGCGGAGACGGCACGGGCTGGTAGTTTGCAATTCCCATCCACGGATGGCGAAGGGGGTGAAGAGATGTGTTTTGGGGTTGGACAGCGTCTGGACGGATGGTTGGAAAGGGCCTGAGCTTGATAGCAGACCGTAAAATTGTACAGAGACGAAGCATTGCAACAACTCTTTTACTGGTCTGTCGACGGTGCTTGCCTCCCAAATGACTGGGCTCCCCATGTGGTTCAAGAAAAGAAGATTTTCATACCATTTTACGCATGGAAATGGCGCACCTTGCGACCGTGACCTGCAGATGCTGGAAGCTATGCAGTTACACTTACGCCTTAGAGCCCGTGAGGTTCCGATACAACCTCCATTTACGCCGGGTCCAGCCGAGCCGTCCAGCCCAAGTCACCCCACAATGTCGCAAAAATGCCTGCGGCGTGCTTTCACATGGGCATGGGGCTCCGCACGCTAGTTGGGCAAGCGTTTGGAGGTAGCCCGAGTTATATGCTCATCATTACATAGTCGTATGAGCGACAACCCAGAGCTGGGCTTTGCTGGCTCTGGGGGAAAAGAGGGGGCCAGGAGGGGAGCACAGCTCAGGTAGCAACGGAATTTTGGACAGCTGCCACCGAGCGGGCCATCCTGGTCTGTGATTTAAATTACCGTCTTTCCCATTCTTGCATCCTTTCGGTCTTTATTTCGCTAACCGCTCTTTATTCGGAAAACGATATTGACCAGTAAAGGATAACTCTACAAGTCTCATGCTTGCCACAAACACTGCGCTGCAAGTGCCATCGTCTCCGCCCATACCCCAGATTGCGTGAGCCGGGACGCCGACCCCGTTCTCGCATAAAAAAGATCCGAGGCCAGGCACTACCTCGTCAACTATTTTGCCTGGTTCATTTGCCATTCCGGTAACCCGCGCAACCAGCCCTCCAGCGTCCAGAATCTGGCAAGAGCGTTCGCCTCGTCGCCCACAGCGAAGCATTACATCGACACGCGAGCGCCGGACCGCTCGCGCGACCTCTTCCCCGACAAACCGCCACCAATGTCCTCTGCACCCCGTCCATTTTCCACGTCTGCGAGGGTTCACCCCAACATCCTACCACACCTTCACACAACCGCACCTCGGCGCTCTCCGATGAGATGGTACGTATATCGAAATAAAAAGAACATCACAAACTGGCAGCGCGACGTCATTTACAGGCCGCACCAGCACAGGCACTATGCCAACAGCAGAAAGAAAGGAAGGAAAAGCGTCACAACGACTCACAGCTAACGACTCGTGCTGTCAAAGGGCCCCCACCATCGTCGGCCTCTCTATTGTAGGCTACGGCGCGAAAGTATACATTGATAGCGTCCGCGAGAAGCGCGAGCGCATGCTCGAAGCCCAATACCAGGAAGATCGCGAGAGGCAACGACGCAACGACATGCTCATGGACGTATACGGCGACCGCGAAAGTCTAGAAGGCTTGGAAAAGGCCATTCAATTCTACGAGAGCGGAAAGAAGTAATTCTCTTTGTTCAACATCTGCATGTGGATCTGAAACAGATTGCAATTGGTGTATTTATCTTTTGGCGTCATGGCGTTGGCTGATTCACTTCCAGTCGCGGGCACTGGAACATGCATACTTCTCGGCGTTTTCATTGCTCTCATTTATCAGTTGGGAACCATGGAGTGGTACATCACAGGTCATTATTCTAAATCTCCCATCCCGGGTATCGTGAACCCCGGAATATGGGGAAGATAAGAAAGGAACTTGGAAGATAGGAAGGATAAAAACATAGAGAATTCCCTCGGTCTATTTTAAAGCTAAATGCAGTCCACGCGTCACCAGCGACGCCCCGAAAATCAAAATTGCACCCATAATATTCCGCGAGAGCTAATGCACCGGGCTTTAGACAATCCATTCCCCTACGGTAGGCATCTTGAGCTCTTTTCGTTTGAGTTTGGTTCGCTGCTCTAACAGAAGCGCAAGCTTCGAGGCAAAATATCGCGAGACTTGCAACACAAAAGCCGGTCTGTTTTCCATTTCTTTAGCTGAAGCTTCCCATGAGCGATAGAACACGCCCTCGCAGAAGTACTCAATCATCAAGTTTCCGAGCTTCTTCTGCTCGGCGTGATTGTGCTCAAGAGCCTCGAAAGCGTCTGCAAAGTCGGTCGTACACCATAGTTGTTGCGCCTTATCGAGTGCGGAGCGGAATAGGGCTCTGTGGCGGTCGCTTACTAAAGTATGGATGCAGCAGAGCATGTACGCGCCAATAGTTGGGCAAATAAACCGATCGCACAACTTGTACACTTCGACGTAATCTCGCAGCGGCGTTCTTTGGGACTGTGCTTCCGGGTTCGCTGCCGGAGCAGGCGCCGTATGGGGGACGATGGAGGAGTAGCTGTATAACACTCCAAGAAACAAGGCAAAATATTTTGGATCGATGTTATCGAACCCGATTTCGCCTCCGGATTCGTCGTACCACGTCTTTGTCGATACACGAAAATAGTCCGAATGTTGGACCAAGACTGCCTTGTGGACGCTAAATTCTTCGTTCTTAACTTTAATCACCGCCGTTTCGTCGCCGGTTCTATAATTCTTGGTTAGAGTGTAAACGGTCATGGGAGGCCGAGAGGAAAACGTACTGTAGTGGCCAAGCTGTGCGAAAGTCAGAAAGCAGCACCGACGGCGCTTTCTCGGTCTGGTAAGAGGATTTTGCCTTCTTTTTCGGTGGAGGCATTTTGTCTGGTTAGATGCAGAAGTGAAGAGCTGCGCAATGAGTTGGGATGTGAAGTTGCAGTTGGCAGCTGGCAGCTGGCAGCTGCCTCTCGTTCGTTGGAGCTGGCAACCGACTCCCTGCCACAAACTGGTACCTAGGTAGGTATTGCACCGTGTTATAGGAGGTATTCGGGTAGGAATCAAAGTGGAAAGCTCGTTGAGTGCTAAATGTTAAATGGTAATTAAGCCTCTTAGAATAGAATTGTGTTTTTTGTCGGGGTAAATATTGGCGGTAAGTGCTACAACTGAACAGTAGGTGGTGACAGGTAAATTGTCCCCAGTTGGGTATCTCACCTTCCGTAGATACCCTAGATATCCTAGGTGTCCTAGGTATCCTACGTATCTTGGGTATCTTGAGTATCTTAATGTATCTTGAATACGTACCTTACCTCTCTCTCTTAAGTATCTTACGTCTTGTCGGTATTTCAGGCAAGATACCTAACAATAGACAAATTCATTTTGCCACCCACTGTAGTCAGAAGTATGTGCGAAGTTATTATTACGTATTTTTATATAAATGTAATTGAATAGCCCTGATGTGACTTGGTTGCGCCTAATGATACATCACATAGGAGGTGTTCATTGTACTGCTATCGCGCCTTGACTTTTCGAATTACCACCTTTGTCCCGTCTAATTGCCAGCCGACGCCATCGTTTTGTTGTAGATCATCCCATTCCGAGCTGGTTGCCGTTTCCAGATACTTCAGTTCAACACCTAAGTACGCGCGCCCAAAGCATTTGAGTGTATGCAGTCGTAGCTCGGGTTCGGCCCACTCTAGGATCCTGGCTCGATGGCCATCGACAGCTTTTCGCACTCGGTGAAACAAAATGAAGTTGTCATGTGCCAGCGCGAAGAGCGCGTCATTCACTTTCTTGTCGTTGAGAGCATATTTGTGCCGTAGGGAGTACGCCTCGGACAGCTCCCTCCGCCGGCATGCCGTATCCAGAATCAGATATGCCACGACCTCTTGGAACTCGATCAGCGTTAAATTCTGCTCCGGGTGTATTCTTCGAAGCAAATGTTGGATGGCGGCGTGGTATGATTCCGGCTGCTTGGCGAGAACGGCGAGACGAATGCAGAACAAGTAAGCCTGAATGGCAAAGTCGTCGGTGCGATTGGAGGCGACGATGCCCTCGCGAAGTTTTCGGAGAGCCGACATAATGATTGACAAAGTCTTTGTATTCGATGGGTTGTGCAGCGACTGGACGCTGGCGGTATCGGGAATTACGATGCTATAGTTGTTGCTGTCTTTTGTGTTGTTGGGTTCCAGGCCGAGGGACGAAAATCGCCGAAGGAGCTCATCGCGCTCTCCTGCGTCAGAGCAAAAGCTCAAGTAGCGCTCAGTGATTAGTTTATAGTAATTTTCCTGCGTCTTGGCGCTATGTAATCTAGCAAGGTGCACGTTAGAACGGCGTCGTGCCTTCGCGGCCATTGAGGTACCTCGTTTCGCCTTTGGATGGCAAGCCCATCTCCTCCAAAGGATCCATTTGTACAGGCTTAAGGCGGCCCCATTGCTTCGCCGGCCCTTTGGGCTCTTTAGTTCTCCAAGATGCCATTACGAAAAGCTTCAGAGATACCGGCGGTTAGTTGGTTGTGGGTGGCTTTCAGTCGCGAGTGCAAGAACTTGGGGCTGTGGTGGGGTGCGAGGGTCACTGGTGTTTTTGGGGTTGACCTGCCTACAGGTCCCTCTTAGGTAAGGTACATACATGTACATACATACATACCTGGTAGGTCGTAGCAACGGAATGCCTCAGTTGCGCTGCTTAGCTGGCATGCATTCAAGTTCTGACTGTAGTGAAATATTCCTAATAACCTACTAAGGTGATACATCATTACTCTCTAGAGCTATTCGGTGATTATCTCCATCAGCGGAGTCTTTTTGCTTTACCGGACAGCCTAGCACAGCCTTATGAATTAACATGGCCAGCAAAGTTCTTCAATTAGTTATTGAATAAGCTTGCTACTGCTATCTGTTATTATTTTCTCGGAAACAAAATCAAAGAATCCACTTCTACACTACAAGTGAATGTCTATGTAATTATCCGTATTCCATTGGCTCTGTCAGGCTCCTCTTGAATATCCTCATTTCTTCTTACGAAGTTAACCAGAGAACTCGGCCTGGCCAGGTTCAAAGTGGGGTGGATGTCGCCCTTGGTGGGGTGCTTCTTATCGCCTGGAGGGGCAATCTCACGGCGCTGAAGAGCTTGGTTGCATCCCAATTCTCAACAATTCAGATAAACAGGGTCAGGCGTTTGTCATAACTATACACCAAGCAGAAGACTCGCATTAGATGGAATCCAGGCCTCTCGGGCCTTTTCTGACGCTACAGAACCAAGGCAAGAAAGGATTGGGACCAAGCCAACTGCTGAGATGTCATTGGCTGATTGAAGGTATCAGAATGTGCCCAGCCCGTAATTGTCAGAGCTACAGTGTGTTCACGCAGACTGCCGTTCGCATCAGCTTCACTGGCACGGCATTGCCTCATAGAAAAATTAGTACCTGGTCGTCACAATAATTGCTTGTACGTTTCGCCATCGGCGCCGCTGGGAATAACAAGACCGGGCATGATAGCTAAAGTTTTCGTGCCTTGTTCCGCATGTTTCCGTTGAGCGTCCCGATGTGTCCGCTACCGCAGGCCTCTCTGCAGCGCCTGTGATCCCATCAAACCAGCTAATAACCTTTCCCGCAGCAACGGACCCCGCAACGTTTTCTTCCTTCCATCTACACCCAAACAGACGCCTCTCATATACCTCTCGATTCGTTGATCCTACCGTAAGTTCTGTCTTTTGCACTTTGCATTACCTCACTTGGTTTAGACAACACCAAGAGAGCTGTACTGCCATACCACGAACGCCTGCCGTTTGACCCAGCTACGCAGCGAGCAGCCGACGCCCCGTGGCGAGCGGCCTGGTCAATCACCTCTTCTCCCGGCCCGATTCGAAAACTACAACATATGGAGTCATGGGAAAATTGTGGACAGCACAGATAGCCAACGCTCCATGGCATACGATGAAAAAGCCTCAAGTCTCGTTGTTGCATCAGGGTACCCCGCCAACCTGCCACTTCGGCATGGGAGCATGTTGGTATCGATAAGCCCGCTTTAAAAACCCCGCGCCGTGGCCGTGGGTGCTGCGAGTCAAGTCCAACAGTCTGCTGTGCTTTTCTTGTCGCAATTGATTGCATCCCGACAAAGCACCCTTGTGTCTGACTTTATTATTTCTCTAGTTGCTTAAAGACAGCTCCCCTGCCCCTGAACCAATCCCACCACAGACGCAACCACCGCAACAATGGGTGTCACCGATCTTCTGTCCCGCAAGTCCGGCGTAATTGTCGGTGATGATGTTCTCCGTCTCTTCGAGTACGCCCGTGAAAAGCAGTTCGCCATTCCTGCTATTGTAAGTTACAGATGCTCAAATTTTAGCCCCCTCATAACTGACCTCTCAGAACGTCACCTCCTCCTCTACCGTCGTGGCTTCCCTAGAGGCTGCTCGCGATGCCAAGTCTCCCATCGTCCTCCAGATGTCCCAGGGTGGTGCTGCCTACTTTGCTGGCAAGGTATGATATTCTCGATTCTCTTATAACCACATGCTGACAAACTTTTATAGGGTGTTGCCAACGGTGACCAGGCTGCCTCTATTGCGGGCTCCGTGGCAGGCGCTCACTACATTCGCTCCATTGCCCCGGCCTACGGCATTCCCGTCGTCCTCCACACCGACCACTGCGCCAAGAAGCTTCTTCCCTGGCTCGACGGCATGCTCGATGCTGATGAGGCTCACTTCAAAGCCACCGGCGAGCCCCTCTTCAGCTCTCACATGATTGATCTTTCCGAGGAGCCTGTCGACTGGAACATTAAGACTACCGCCGAGTACCTCAAGCGCGCCGCCCCCATGAAGCAGTGGCTTGAAATGGAGATTGGTATTACTGGTGGTGAGGAGGATGGTGTCAACAACGAGGATGTTGACAACGCCTCTCTTTACACTCAGCCTGAGGACATCCTCAATATTTACAACACCCTCTCTCCCATCTCCCCCTACTTCTCCATCGCTGCTGGTTTCGGTAACGTTCATGGTGTCTACAAGCCTGGAAACGTCAAGTTGCACCCCGAGCTTCTCGGAAAGCACCAGGCTCACGTCAAGGCAGCCATTGGCTCTACCAACGATAAGCCCGTCTTCTTTGTCTTCCACGGCGGCTCCGGCTCTAGCAAGCAGGAGTACCTCGACGCTATCAGCCATGGTGTCGTCAAGGTCAACATGGACACTGACATGCAGTTTGCTTACATGTCTGGCATTCGCGACTACATGCTGAATAAGAAGGACTATCTCCTCACCGCCGTCGGCAATCCCGACGGCGACGACAAGCCCAACAAGAAGTACTTTGATGTAAGACTTTTCGTCCCCTTTTATCGTACGTCTACTAACTTCTGCAGCCCCGTGTCTGGGTCCGCGAGGGTGAAAAGACCATGTCGAAGCGTGTTGCTGTCGCTCTCGCCGACTTCAACAACAACAACCAGCTATAAATCCGTCATCGAGTTAGTGATACGTACCAAAAAGATAAACACCTAGAGTTGTTGGCATAGTCGGGGAGTCTCGGAGATTGCATTTTGGGGTTGTGACCTAGTATCAAATAGTCATTGAAAAAATACGTCAACGCATGTGCTGCGTTACAAAGTGAAACCGGGGAAAGTCTGCGTTTATAAAATTATGGATAATGATACAATCTAGCTCGGATCGGACCACGTCGGTGTATAGTTATGTATATTTTAAGACAATGATTGGCCCAGCACTTCCTTTTGCAGCGACGTAGTTTGCTCTTCAGTCAAAGTTTCTGCATCAGCAGCCTCAGCCTTCTTGGCATCGAATCTCCACAGGCCGCCCGTTTTGTCGCGCTCGCCGTCGAGAGCCACCCCGCCAACAGCACCGAGCTTCTCGAGAATAGGGTCGGTGGTGCCAACAGCCACGGCCGTAAAGTAGCGGCGCTTCCAAGCGGTTTCCTGAGCCGTCTCTTTGTGGCGCAGGGCACGCTGCGCATTCTCGATTTTGCCCTTCTCGGCGGACACGGCATCCATGTCGCCGGATTGAATGCCTGCAGCAACCTTGGCCCAGGCGCGGCGTGATTCGAGCGGGTGTTGCTTCTCTACAGGGGCAATCTGGAGCTCTGTCTGTGCGACATTGGCGGCGTCGTACTCATCGACAAAAGTAGACTTAGAGTTTTTCTTGGCCGCGCCAGAGTAAAATTCGAGCTTCTCATTCCATTGTCCTGTCACGTTATAGAGCACATCCTTTTCCTTGCCGGTGGGGGTGATGGTGCCAATAACAGTGTTCTTCTTTCCAGAAAGCCACCCCTTGCCACTGTAGTCAACCTTAGAGCTGAAGCCGCTGGAGCTGGTTATATAGCTTGTGCCATCAAGCTCGACAAATGGGGCGCCAAAGATGAGGCCCTCGATGTGGAGAGATGGCAGTGTAATGAGGTAATGCTCAGGCTCCTTCTTGTCGCCAATGGGAATAGTCAGCACCGCGTGGCCAATCTGCTTGACAATGATGGTGCTGTGAAAAGTGGCTTTTTGCGCATTGTAGCCCTCAAGCTTAATGCCAGTCTTATCGTTGCGGATGCAGTAGGCGGTAGCAGGCGGGTGGTGGCTGACTTGCTCAGACACAAGGGTAGTCTTGCCAGCTGCATCATTCCATGATCCAAGAAAGAGCTCGCCCAGAAACGGGTTCAGTGGCTTCTTTTCGTTGCCGAATTGCTCGCTGCGGCTGGCGTACTGGTGCTTGAGTGTGGAAAGAAACCACTTGAGCACTAGCATGGAGCGCTTGGCGGGATCGGCCTCAGAGGCGGCGGCGACAAGCAGGTTCGGGTGTGTCGACCAGTACGAGGAGAATTCGGTCAGCGACTGCGACGAAAGGATGAAGGGCGGGGCCGTTAGAGACGAGAGGTCGCCGTTGAATGAGGCAATGGACTGATAGAATTATGAGCGACTGCTGATTGCAAATCCATATTGTACCCCTCATACCTTTAGGAAAGCAGTCCAGCTGCTGCTGCCAGCTTGTGCCTGAGCTGTGGCGGAGGACATGATATCGGTGCGGGGTGTGTTATGGCGGGGTGAGTTATGTTGTGGTTGAGAATGTTTGTAGGAAGTAGAAGTTTTAGAGTGTTGCGATAAGTGGCGAGACGGAGCTATTGATTCCCTGATGAAGAAGCATGTGGCGGTGCAAGGGAGAGAATTCAAGTTGGACAAGGACAATTCATCAATTAATTGGGCTAGACCGCGTGTTGCCCACGCGACACTCCCCACTTTCTCTCTTCCAGCATTTGACGATCAGTGACGCAAATGACGATACTCTGCCACACTCCAGCCTCGTTCTTACTGACTTTGCAATCAATTATGATAATAAACCAGGACGCTGGTGACAGTTGTAAACCAGCTTAGTATTCCTATTCCAGTACATCAGCGTGTGCCTACAAGCGGTGAAACGTGCCCTAATACTGCCGCTGCTCATTATTTGAACTTCAGGCGACCGCCGTCTCTATCGATCAGTGTAGTTTTGCACATTTTTGCGACTGTCACCGCACTGGTGATTGCAGATTCCGATGCAGATGCTGCACAGGCCGAGATGATGTCAGTGGGGCCGCTAACTCGCAGCGCGCACAGCTATGTACACAGCTCTCAATCTGCCTCCTCCACAATCGCCTCATCATCAAGTTGCCGGGACTTCCGACTACTGCCTGCACCCTGATCCGAATTCCGACATAGATATCACTCTGGCTGGCATTTTCTGGAATCGGGCGGCTTCGGAGCCACCCATTGCTGCTGCGCAGCTTCAGCCTGTAACCATGACGCGACCGCCAGCGACGCCACAGCTGTCACCACAGTTCTGCTTCTCGACAAGTACATTACGAGGTATGCTACGAACCCTCGAACCCAAGCTAAATCTAATGAGTGCAGAATTTTTCCGCTTCTCGCGCTCGGCTGTCGACGACACAATCAGCCAAAATCTAAACGCTCTGGTAACGCCCGCTCGTGGCGGCTTTGATCCGAGTTCAACCTCACAAAGAACATCAAGAAAACTAGGGGGGGATATCAATGTGGAACGATGTGCAATATTTCTCGACAAAATTTTATTCCCCGCGTGGGATTCCCGGGCGCAGGTTTTTGAATACTGCGCTGCTGTGGCTTCAAGTCCTGACCCTGACGATCCCGAAACTGCCCTGCGAGAGCTCCAAAGGAAGCAGGATAGCAAACGAGTTGTTGACGAACGTCTTGATCCATACTCGGGGCGGTTTTATCCTTGTGAAAGTCGAACTGAGCTACTGGCGTCAACTCTTCGCCAGGAGCGTGTTATTGAGGATATAGTTCGGCACCGCACATGGGAGGTAATTCAGGATCGCTGCCAGGAGCCGCCCAAAGATTGGCAAGCCGCCATTGACATTTGGAAGAAGCATTCTGCAAACCGTAAATAACCAAATACCGAATCCTGGGCTGGAAATGTATACTATTGTCTCTAGAGTAGAAATTTAGCGCGTTGCTCGTCTTGCCTCGCTGCAGCATTGATTGTTGCAACCGTTTGGCTAGCAAAACTGAGAAAACAGTGAGGATAAAGAGTCGTCAATTTCTAACACCCCATAAGTCCATACCTAGGTAAGCAAGTAGGCATATCTCAAGCCAACTCATCCTAACAAACCTTCCAGCACACAGCGACCACCCCAATGTAAACCATGATGGATTGATGTGCCCCACACACGTTAATACCTCCTCGTCCGAGGATCCTCCGGACACCAAAGCTACCAGGCATACAGGCTACCTTTCCACACAGTCCACCAAATGCGCTCGCTCTCTGCCTGCCTGTCCTTACCTCGACCTTCGATTCTTGACATTTGCGCATCCCCTGGGTGGCGCGATTGTGCTCTGAATATTGTTCACAGAAGTTTTTTTCTTGGTTCTCTTTCTCAGAACGCGCTGCAAATTACACTGCGCTCGTCAGCCTTTGCAAGTTATCCACAAGCCCTGAAACGGCCACTCTCTGATAGCCGCGGATACTCAAACACTGCGCCCCGTCGATTCGCGATATAGACACGATGCCGCAACAGCTCGCGGCCAAGGAGGCTGCCCAATTTCGGCAAGTCCTCCGCAGCTATGAGGAAAAGCAGTACAAGCGAGGCCTCAAGACGGCGGACCTGATCTTGAAAAAGGTGCCAAAGCACGGCGAAACCATGGCTATGAAAGCCCTGATCCTCAATGGCCAAGGAAAGACAGAGGAGGCGTTTGCCTTGGGAAAAGAGGCCCTCACTGCTGATATGAAGTCTCACATCTGCTGGCACGTGTACGGTATTCTCTACCGCGCAAAGAAGAACTTTGAAGAGGCAGCCAAGGCCTACAAGTTTGCGCTCAAGCTGGAACCGACTTCGGCACAAATACAGCGCGACCTAGCTGCGTTGCAGGTTCAGATGCGAGACTACCAGGGCTTCATTCAAACTCGAAACACCATGCTGCAAGCTCGCCCCCAGATCCGACAAAGCTGGACAGCCCTCGCCCTCGCGCATCATTTAGCCGGTAACTTGACTGAGGCGGAGAATGTCATCACTACCTTCGAGGGTACTCTCAAGACGAATCCGACCCGATACGATTTGGAGCACTCGGAAGCCGTCATGTACAAAAACTCCATCATCGCGGAGCAAGGAGACTACAAACGTGCCCTCCAGCATCTAGAGACTGATGCCAAGCAGAACCTCGACCGACTCGCTGTTCTTGAAAGCCGCGCTGAATATCTTTTGAAGCTCGATCGTAAGGAGGAAGCTGCTAAGGCTTACCGAGCTCTGATTGACCGCAACTGCGAGCACGCGACATACTACACACAGCTCACGAGAGCGCTGGGCATCGCGGAGGATGACGCGAAGGCTAGAAAGGCAGTTTACGAAGAGTATGCCATCAAGTACCCCCGATCTGACGCCGGACGCCGAATCCCTCTCGACTTTCTCAGCGGCGAAGACTTCCGCCAAGCCGCTGGCGATTATCTTGCCCTCATGTTAAACAAGGGTGTCCCCTCAACCTTTGCTAACCTGAAGCATCTCTACTCGAACAAGTTCAAGAAAGACACTCTTTTGGAGCTTGCCGAAGATTATCTCCACTCCCCAAAGGCCGACTCAGACAGCAAGGACAAGGGTGAGGCTGCAGCTCTTTTCTACCTTGCTCAGCACCACAACTACCACATGAGCCGCGATCTGGTCAAGGCCATGGAGTACATCGAAAGAGCCATTACAAAGGACAATAAAAGCGTCGACTACCACATGACCAAGGCCAGGATCCTGAAGCACAGCGGCAACCTAAAAAAAGCCTCCGAGATGATGGACTGCGCGAGAGCCTTGGACTTGAAGGATCGCTACATCAACAGCAAAGCCGCCAAGTACCAGCTCCGCAACAACCAAAATGAAAAGGCCCTCAAGACCGTCGGGCTATTCACGCGTGCGGACACTGTCGGTGGACCCCTCGCCGACTTGCTAGATATGCAATGCATGTGGTTCCTGACAGAAGACGGCCGAGCCTACGCAAGACAGGGAAACATCGGACTCGCGCTCAAGCGTTTCCATCAGATTGCCACCATATTTGAAGTCTGGCAGGAGGACCAATTTGACTTTCACGGGTTCTCCCTGCGCAAGGGCCAGATCCGCGCGTATGTCGACATGGTGCGATGGGAGGACCATGTTTTCGACCATCCCTTTTATACCCGCGCCGCTCTCGATGCTATCAGCATCTATTTAAATCTGTCTGACAAGGCTGCCGCCAATGCGAACGGCGAGGCGGATTCTGAGGCTCTTTTGGCGCAGAAAAAAGCCCTCAAGAAAGCTAAAAGGGAACAACAACGCCTGGAGCGCGATGCGGCCGAGAAGCAAGCCAGGCAAGACCCCAATAAGGCTATGGGACCCGATGGCGAACCTAAGAAGACGGACGAAGATCCTTTGGGCCTGGCACTGGCAGCTACCACTGACCCGCTTGGTGCGGCCATGAAGCTCCTGTTTCCTATGCTGGACGCCAGCCCGAAAAGTATCCAAGTGCAGCTGGCTGGTTTTGAGGTGTTTATGCGCAGAGGTACGTTTGCTCTTCACTTCCACGAGCCGTGACTAACAATAAATGCAGAAAAGTATGTACTGGCCCTTCGCTGCTTGAATGCCGCAATCGCCCTTGATAGCAGTCATCCCAAGCTGCACCCTCAGATTGTTACGTTCGCCAAGAAGTTAAAGACGGCCTCCGGTCTCCCGGCCAAGGTTTTTGAGGTTCTCAAGGCCGAATTCACGGCGGTAGACGTCGCCGCGGATCTGTCCCAGTACAACGCAGACTACCAGGCTGAGCACAAGGACAGCATCCGCAGCATACTGTCATTCGTGGCCGCAGAGCGTGCCCTAAATGGCAGCAATGACACCAGCGTCACGCAGCTTACGGCTTCCCTCAACTTGCCCAGTACCACCTTTTCCGATGCCATTGAGGTGCTGGAGACTCTGAAGGGCTGGAATAGCAGCGAGGCAGCGGTCTTCCAAGAAGCTGCCCACGCCAAGTTTCCCGAGGTTACCCGGCTCGCCTGAAGTAGGCTATCCGCGGCGGACAAGCGCAAGCGCTGCTGTTGCTCAATAATGTAGGTTATTCGAGCGAACAGACGGTTGTGCGATCCCGGGCTGAATCAGCAGCACCGCCGTACTGATCAGAAATGGTGGCTATTGCTCAAATGATCGCATAGACCAGGCTTGTCTTGTGAATGATTTCCGATATATGTTGGCGCGGCACTTGGTGAAAAGGTACATGTATGAGCGATTTGGTGTAGGTATATAGTATACTTGGTAGGTCTGGGTATAGGGACCAAAAATAAATTAGACTTGTTTCATCAGATTTGTCGTGGAGTGCAAGGATGGCTGGTCCGGCCTAGATAAAAGTCCAACTTGCAGATTTTTCTGTTTAATGAGGGTTCGTCTCCTTGATGAATAGTCGGCCGCCACAGTGGACAGCGACGGCCTGCCATGTGGAAATAACTACCTAGTGTACCACAACCTCGGCTGCGTCGGCGTTCAAGCAACTAGTTGCTTCGGCTCACGTAAATCAGCGAACCAAATACTCCGACAGGCCCCGGGATACCTAATTGTTCAACCCCAAGCCGTGGCACGGCCAGACGAGCATTCCGGGCCGTGATCAGCGGCGCTATTTTGCTTGCTGCAGCTGCGCGAACCCCAGCCGACAGGACCCAGCTCCCATTTTCCGCCTACGCGCCGTCGTTCCACCCGGAGCCTCCGGCAGGCCGAAAGTCAGGACGCTTGGAAACGGAGCCCTGAACAGTCACCCGAGATATTTTACCCTCTTTCGCCGTCGTCGCCGACCTACGCTCCTTATTCCCGCTGCTTGACCCCTCTCTGCCTTTTCTTGTTAAATTGATTTTTGTTTTGCACCTTTATCTCAAGCAACGTTGCTTCTCTCGTCTGCGCGCCACGCTAGCAGATCGTCCGTGTGACAGGATCACTCAGCAGCTTCACCCGGGGGACTACCTCGGCCATTAGTTTTGGCGCATTCCTTTCGGCGGGCTTGCAGAGACATATCACGAATTCCATCGCTCAAAGGACACGTCCATATCACCTCCCTCCTCCCGCCAGCTTGTCGCAGCCATGACCAGTAACGGCGCTGTCCAAGCTACCCAGCTATCGCTCCAACTGGCTAGCGGCAGGTCGCTGACAATTGAGGAGTCCGAGCTTGTGCTTCAAGGTACGGAGTAATGTAGGTGAATCTGGGTTTGGCCTGTGTATTAATGATTCCTTTAGACCCCGCTACTGTTGACGACAGGAAGTCAAAAAAATGTGCGTATCAAAAGAAACAGGGGATAGGAAAAGCTAATGCTGAGTGCAGATCGCTGCGGACGCCAAACAATACCACTCTACAACCTCTTATGGGCCGAAGCCGTCGAGGACAACTTTACGATAGAATACGCTCAGTTGTCCGATAAGTCCTTTCATGTTGGAAAATGGACTTTACCGATAAGCACGACCGACGAGCGGTCTGAAAGCTCCCCCGAGACGTTTGCGACCGAGCTCCGATCCCGTGCTTACGGCGACGCGCAACAAAGGCGACGCACCTATGTCCTCGTCAACCCCAACGCCGGCCCCGGAAATGGTATCAAGAGATGGCAAAATGAGGTAAAGCCAATATTCGACGCTGCAAGGATGGAAATGGATATTGTCTTCTTGAAAAAAGGCGGCGAGGCCATGGAGCTAGTGGAACAGATGGACATTCACAAGTACGACACCATTATCCCATGTTCGGGAGATGGCACGCCGCACGAGGTCTTTAACGGGCTGGCCAAACGGCCTGACGCCAGACTGGCCCTATCCAAGATTGCTGTTGGGCACATTCCCTGCGGCTCAGGCAATGCCATGTCCTGCAACTTGTACGGATCCCACAAGCCAAGCTATGCAGCCCTTGCTCTGGTCAAGGGCGTCGTCACGCCTCTGGATTTGGTATCGATCACTCAGGGCAACGCGCGCATAATTTCGTTTCTATCACAATCGCTTGGAGTCGTTGCCGAGGGCGACCTCGCCACAGAACATTTGAGGTGGATGGGCAGCGCACGCTTCGACTACGGTGTCATTTCACGCGTGTTTCGCAAAAAGGTCTACCCATGCGACATTGCGGTGCAGCTCGAGGTAGAAAAGCCTCAGGTTAAGGAGCATTATAAGAGGCATGCGAGCGTACCGAGCCTCAGGAAGGCCGCCGCTGAGCAAGCAGATGAGGACGAAGGCAATGGGTTGCCCAAGCTGAGGTTCGGAACGATAAAGGACGACCTGCCCGTGGGTTGGGAATTGGTGCCATACGACAAGGTTGGCACCTTTTACTGCGGAAATGTGTGTCCCTGTTATTGCGCGCAGAAAGGAAAACAATTGCTGACAGCCCTAGATGGCCTACATGGCGCCCGACGTGCACTTTTTTCCCGCCGCCATGGCGACGGACGGATGCATGGACCTGATCACCATGAACGGCGACATCCCCACGTTCAAGGCACTCAAGGCATTCCTCTCGGTCGACTCGAACAAGTTTTTCGACCTACCGTACGTGCACTACAAAAAGGTAAAGGCATACCGCATCATCCCACGCGACCAAAAGGACGGCTACATCAGCATCGATGGCGAAAAAGTCCCCTTCGAGCCCTTCCAAGCAGAGGTGCACCAAGGTCTCGGCAGGGTCATTTCCAAGAGGGGCATGTTTGAGGCTGAAGGCCCGGCCAACTGGGATAAAGTCACAGTTTCGGAGAGGCTGCACGCATAGGTTAGCAGCGGCCCAGATTATTGAAAGGGCAGCATAGGATAGCCGGACCCAATGTATGTAGGGGCGGGTAGATACCCAGGTGTGTAAATACAGTTGTCGTGACGTCACGACATATCATTTCTGCCCAAATTAATGTAGGTGTGGCGCGGCGCGACAGGCGGCGTATGCCGAGCCTTTGTTGCTGCATTGTTGCTGCGTCGAGTCCAACTTTCCAGCCAACAGCTTGCCCATATCGCTAGTGTTGGTCACTTCCATGTACAACATTGTATTTACTTACCTAGTTACGCCTCAAACTAGGCACTATAGCAGTTGCCCTACTGCCTCGAGTGACATAAATTTGCTTCGGCTAGTGAGCCTAAAGCAGGAAGGTAGGCCTCCGTGGCTTTCTTGAAGAACTGTATCTTAGACGATCCGTCATGCTCATCTTGCAAGCTATTCGAATATATATTAGTGCGGCTTCTGCTTATAATCATGGAGTCAATCTTCTTCTTCTACTACTTCTTCTTTTTCTTCTTCCAGCAACACTGCGTTCCCCTGTCACAAGCTCAATTCTCGCCACAACACTTCAACATGAAAAACATTGCCATGTCCATTCTGGCCGTCGTGGCCTTCGCCCAGGCTAGCCCAGTTGCCAAACCTTCCGAAACGCCGCGGCCCATCACTCCCGCCCCGATCATTCCTCCTCCTCTCGGGGACATTCGCGGTCTCGATATGCAGGACCCTGGTTTACCCAAGGACAAGATCCCATCGTGTGCCATTCTTTGTATCAATAGTTATGCCGATAAGCGTGGCAAATGCGAACTTGCCGACCATCACTGCATCTGCGCTGACCTGGACTTCCAAGACCCGGATATCATGCGATGCACCATTGACGGCTGCGGCTACACCAAATCTCAGAGTGCGTTACCTTCAAAATCCAAATGGTGATGATATTCTAACGTCTCTGCTTTCTCCAGACCGCGTCGTCCCCGCTGTCGAGAACTTTTGCGCAGAGCGGCTGAAAAACTGAATGGGTCGTGAAGTTCTACAGTAGTGTTTTTGGCGATGAGTGGCAGACATGCGGGGGTTTTGCTAGTTAGTATTTCCATAGACAGTGATACTTGACGAATCTATTCGTGGATATACATATATATGTGTTGTCTGGGTCCGTGGCCGGAGGCTGTAGTCAAGAATAAATCCAGGCATGGGCATGCCTCCGGTCAACAATGGTGTAGACACGGCGAGTGGAAGAGTAATTTAATTGAGGTTGAAAAAAAAAGCCGTAGCTATACAGAAAGCTCCCGACATGGTGCCAGCAAGAATACTCATGAAAGATACACATCAGTACCGATTGTAGTTAGTTAGTCCAGTGAACGTCTGAAAAAAAAAAGAATAAAAAGAAACGCGCTGGGCAGTGGAGTCATATGCTCCCAGCAGGGATTGAACCTGCGACCTTCGCATCACCAAAGACGGAATGTAGTCCATATTAGTACGACGCTCTAACCAACTGAGCTATGGAAGCCTGGCGGGTTTCTTGTTGGATGTTGTCTTCCTGTTTTGAAATATGTAGTTATCAAGAAATTGAGATATGGAGGGTCATGAAGTCATAGTGTTTTGTATGTACGGGTGAGAATCAGTGCGAGGAAGCATGGGTTGGGAGACGTACCAGCCAGTCGAGGTGGGAAGTCAGCGGTCGAGTATTGTTCTTGCATTTGGTGAGTTCAACCCTGCATTGCTGGGTCAGGTGGTGTTGATTCATGTGGCATCATGCGACAGCCGCTAGCTCGCCTTATTAACAAGATCAAGCGGACCGGTAAACACGGTAAACACATGACGACAGCATGCTAGGCCAATCCACATCACCAGAGAACATTTTTCCCGCACGATGATTGCGAAGCTGGCTGAACATTTCATACATCTTCTCCCGGGTAGGCCGATGCCCCTTACCACATACCCGTGCGTTAGGTTGTGATCAGGACCCTGCCACTTGCAATGCTGCCCGAGTTAGATACATGCACAACATTGAGATATAGATGCAATAATTCCACACTTGTCATGCTCCATCATAACTCCATGCTGTGCCAAAGATTGGTGGTGTTGATTGCTTCGTGAGCAGGCCCGCGGGATTATGTCAGCATTCACCATATCCACAGGGACTGGAGGCTTAAGCAGGCGGCTGAGAATTGCACAACAACCGACATGCCTAGTGACGATTTGCCAGCGTCAATTTTCAGCCTGAATGCGTTGTTTGATAACCCGCTGTTTGCGGGTGGCATTGGCCTGGCGTCACTCGGTGCCGCGGCCGCATTTGCCAGAAAAGGCGTCATAGTCGCAGCTGGAGCTGCGCGCCGGCGCCTGCTCGTCAACGTCGAAATCAGCAAACAGGATCCCGCCTACTCCTGGATCCTCGCGTGGCTATCCACTCCTCGCCCGACATCGGGGTTCATCGCATCCCGCCTGACGCGCATACATAACCTCTCCGTGACGACGGCGACGGCATCCAAGGGCGCAGCAGCCGGCGGCCCCCCTAGTGCGCACTTCTTCCTGCAGCCGGGCTACGGCAGGCACATTGTCAAGTTTCGCAGCGCGTTCATCGCGGTCAACCGCGAAAAGCACAGCACGGCCAACATGAACACGGGCGAGCCGCATGAGATTGTACAGCTGACGACGCTGTGGGCGCACCGCCACATATTCGAGCAGGTGTTCAGCGAGGCGCACGCACTTGCCGCCAAGGCCAACGAAGGCAAGACGGTCGTCTACTCGGCGCGCGGCATGGAATGGGCGCCTCTCGGAGATCCACGAAAGAAACGACCGCTCGAATCGGTAATACTGGACGAAGGGGTCAAGGACAGTATCGTAAGCGACGTAAAAGATTTCTTGTCGCGGCAGCAGTGGTACGTCGACCGTGGCATCCCATACAGACGAGGGTATCTGTTGTTTGGGCCGCCCGGGAGCGGCAAAAGTTCGTTTATTCAGTCCCTCGCCGGCGAGCTGGATTTCGGCGTTGCCATGATTAATCTGAGTGAAATGGGAATGACGGACGATAAGCTGGCCTACCTGCTGACCAAGCTGCCCAAGCGCACGCTGCTCCTGCTGGAAGATGCCGACGCTGCCTTTAGCAATCGACGACAACGCGATGCAGATGGATACAGCGGTGCCAGCGTGACCTTTTCCGGCCTTCTGAATGCCCTGGACGGCATTGCCGCTGGTGAGGAACGCCTCGCGTTCCTGACGACGAACCACATTGATCGTCTCGACCCCGCCCTGATCCGCCCAGGTCGCGTGGATATGATGATGAGAATCGGCGAGGCGACCCGATACCAGGCCAGCCAGATGTGGGATCGCTTCTACGGTGATGTGGACGAGGATCACGCGAGCAGAGAACGGTTCCTGCAGCGCCTAGACGAGTTGGGTCTATTCGGGCAGAATGCTGACGGCACGCCGTCTCATAGGCATACGAGCACTGCTGCTATCCAAGGTCTGTTTCTCTTTAACAAAAACGACCTGGATGGAGCAATCAAAATGGCTGAGGGTCTCGTGCCACGCAAGTTTGAGCCCTCGGACGAAGTATCACAAGGAGCTATCAAGACATCTGCATAAAGTAGATGCGTATTATATGTATTCAAATCTTCGAAGATGCCCATTGTACAAGATTAAATATATGTGTGCTTCGCCCATATTGCTAGGCAGGCTTGATTAGTACCCTGTTAGTGACTTCGGTACGGTCTCCGTCGCGTCTAGTGCTCGCCTGTTGCGCATATACTGTCGTATTTGCATCGCTCGGAATCATTCGCCCGATACTTTCGATTTCGTGATTCGGCGCATGGCAAAGAAACTATCGACATGGCGCCGATAGGGTTACAGTGATGGGCAGCCAAGGACCAAGGTGCACCTCGGCTGGCAGCGAGACGCTACATTGTGGGTCGATGGCACCATCGCGAGGCTTGCACCAGAATGCAAGCTGAAAAGACTGGAGTGAGTGGCATGTTTCGCCAAAGGCAATGCAGGGAGGTTCTAGAATGGAAATCCTTCGAATTGGGTCAGTCCAGGAAGTGAAACTGACTCGAGACTGCACTTTGAACGATACGGAAGTTTGTGGAAGAGTGAGGAGGGAGGACAATAAAAAGCAGCTGGCTTCGGCAATGTTAGCGCCCCACGAGCCTTTCCCACGCATCTGCAACCAGCCTTAGTAGTTGGAGTATATTTTACAGAGCACATGCCGATGCAGCAAGGCCGAGATAATGCCCGTACACAATCGCATTCTCAATTTGCCCTGATAATTTTCTTTATTGTCCAGCCACAAGTCCCATTATTTCGGCGAGTAAGGGACGGACTGTATCCGTAGAAATGGAGCATTTGTATGCCGTATGGGTGTTGTCCCGCTGTAGATGCGGCCACCCGTTGTACGCTAATCAGGAAAACGAGATAGACTCCTGTGCTGTGTGGATCTCGTCCGTGACGTGATTGAAGACGGCTCTTTTCTGCTCCTCTCGGTCAATCCGCCAGGCGTTGTTAAACTCCTAAATCCAGACTCCGAGATCCACGTCAAATTGCCATCCGCAGTTTAGCGTCCTGCTCTTCACAAGTGCCATGATAAAACTGATGTGCCGCGACCATGTGCGCTGCCGCAGTCACCGAACCGGCAGCCAGCCCTCAATCCAACCCTGGGCCCGACCTTGAAAGTAGTAGTTTCTCGTCTTCTTCCCCTCCCCTCCCCTCTTGCGCCTCTCCTTCCCCTTCCCCTCACATCGTTGTTTCGTTGTCTCTTTCCCCCAAATTACTCCAGAAACTGCTGTCCTGTCGCATACCCGTATCTGGTTGCGCGACACTAGGCCACGGAGCCTCCCGCCGCCACCATGCATCACCAATCGCCGCCCTCGGCCGACGGTCTTCAAAAAGACGACCCTGCTGCGACGTCGCGTGAAGGCTACAGCTCCCACGAGGTCGATTACGAGTCCGCCCCTGCCTGGAATGGCATCGACACCAGCAGCGCCCAAGGCGCAATCGACCCCGACTCAGGCGTAAAGCGCGGCCTCAAGAATCGCCATCTTTCCATGATGGCTCTCGCCGGCATCATAGGCCCCGGACTTCTTGTCGGTGCTGGTGGTGCGCTCAACAGCGGTGGACCTGCGTCGCTGCTCATTGGATTTGGTGTGATTGGCAAGTTACCTTGTTCTCATTCATCTGTGAGCCGAGCTAACATCTGCATCCCAGGTATCATTGCATTCGCCATTATGCAGTCCCTCGGCGAGCTTACTACCCTCTACCCTGGTGGTGGCTCCTTTGTCTCGCTCGCCGAGCGCCTTGTTGATAAGTCATTTTCTACCGCCGTAGGCTGGAATTACTTCATCATCTGGGCCGCCGTCCTTGCCAACGAATACAACGTCATCTGCAGCATCTTGGTGTACTGGGCGCCCAAGGTTCCCCTCTGGGGCTTCTTCCTGATTTTCTGGAGCGTGTTTCTCGGTTTCCAACTTTTGGGCATTGAAGCGTTTGGCGAGGCCGAGTTTTGGCTCGCGCTCTTCAAGCTACTTGGCCTGACTGCCTACTTTATATTCTCCATTGTTTATGCCTCTGGCGGCCTTGTTGGACAAAAATCGGCACTAGGCTTCCACTACTGGCATGATCCCGGCGCGTTCAATGGAAATGGCTTCCGAGGCGTTGCCAAAGTCTTCATATTTTGCTCTACATTTTACGCTGGTGTAGAGTCTGTGGCTGTGGCCGCTACGGAGACGAGAAACCCTGGCACTGCGGTACCTCAGGCTATCCGACAAGTCTTTTGGCGCATCATTTTCGTCTACATGGGATCTGCCCTATTCTTTGGCATTACCTGCCCTGCCAACGCAGAAGGCCTCGTTGGTGGCGGTGCCAAGGCTCTGCAAAGCCCCATGACCATTGCCATTCAAACCGCCGGATGGGAGGGCGGCGTCCATCTGATCAATGCGTTTATCCTCATCACTTGCATCTCCGCAATCAACTCCTCCATATACATTGGCTCTCGAACAATTCTCTACATGGCCCAATCTGGCAAGGCGCCGCGAATCCTGGGCAACGTCAACAAGATGGGCGTTCCCGTCGCCGCTATTCTTCTTACCAACGCCGTAGGAGCTATTTCCATGATGAACGTATCGACCGGAGCCGCCAAGGCCTACTCCTACATTGTCAACCTCTCTGGCGTAAGCACATTCCTCGTTTGGGGCAGTATCAGTTTTATGCATATCCGATTTCGCCGCGCCTGGACCACGCAAAATCGAGACCTGGGCGAGCTTCCCTTCAAGAGTATGGGCTATCCATTTGTCGCCTACTTCGGCCTTGCGGCCAACGTTTTTCTCGCCTTAGTCCAGGGATGGACAACGTTTTCACCATTCGTTGCCGGTGACTTTGTTGATGCATATGTTCTTCTTCCTTTGTTTGGCGTCATATATGTTGTTTGCAGGCTTGTCTGGAGGGATGACAAGTTCAAGAGGAGTTGGGAAATCGATCTCGACGGCGGCCGCAGAGTCGATATGGACACCAAGGCTGCTAATTACGAAGAGGGCCCAAAACCGCCTATCTGGCGGAAAATATGGGACTGGTTCTAGTTCAAGCACTGCATACGTTTACTCACATCGCCCAATTGAGTCTTGGATACAGTGGGTGGCAACATGTCTTTGTTCTCTGTTAGGTATCTCACCTTTGTTAGGTCTCTTACCTATCCTGGGTAGTTTATGCAGGTATCTCATCTACCTTGCGTATCTTACCTGCTCACCTAGTTTACAGGGGGTAAATACATGTTACTACCCATTGTAGCTTATGCGTATCGTTTCTAGCGGTTCCTGGGTGGAAAGACCGGAGTACAGGATATTAATGCACGTAGCCTTGCGGAGTGGTCGGAGGCGGTAGTATATTTATTGCATAGAATTTATTATTGGAACAGGGACTCCTAGTTGGTCCTTCTGTTCCACATTCTGCCTCACATCGTCTAGGTGACGCGAGTACGAATACGCCTACCTGAGTCCCGGAATTCTTACTACGAGTTTATGAGTTCATGCCCGAATACGTAAATAAGTAAAGGGCGTCAAGTAGTATAAATATGCCTAAGGTAAGCTCTTGATCTATTCAATCATCTGTGTTCTATCTACAGTCGCCAGAGGTCGTCGAGATGATCTCTACTCTCGGCTGGATACTTGCCAGCGCTGTCGTGGCCGTACTGGGCAACATACTTATCCAACTCCTTCACCAAGAAAAGTCCGAACCTCCTCGCGCCATTCACTGGATCCCGCTGGTTGGAAATGCAATTCAGTACGGCACCAATCCAACCAAGTTCTTTGCGGAGTGTCGCGCCAAGGTACGTCCCCATGGCCGCTGCTTTTTCTTCGCTAACCAAAACAGTATGGCGATATCTTTACTTTCACTCTATTTGGAAAGCAGATCACCTGCTTCCTATCAGTCGATGGCAACGACTTCGTTCTCAATGGAAAACACGCCGACCTCAACGCCGAAGACATATACAAGCCGCTGACGAAGCCGGTGTTTGGTTCTGACGTCGTATACGACTGTCCCAACGCTAAATTTATGGAGCAAAAGAGATTTATCAAATTTGGGCTCACTCGTAAGGCGTTTGAGTCCTATGTGCCCATGATTGAGGCAGAGGTCCTTGGCTACCTGGCGGCGGAACCGAGCTTGCTGGGTGATACCGGAACCATGGACGTCCCTCGATGCATGGCTGGCATCACGATACTCACGGCGGCCCGAACGCTTCAAGGAAAAGAAGTGCGGGGTAAGTTGTCTGCTGAGTTCGCAGAGCTGTACCACGACTTGGATCTTGGTTTCCGGCCGGTGAACCTGCTGTTTCCCTGGGCACCTCTTCCGGAGAATCGCAAACGTGACGCTGCGCATGCCAAGATGAGAGAAGTGTATAGTGCAATTATCGATGAGCGGCGTCGCTCGGAAAAGGAATGCGACTCTGACATGATTTGGAACTTGATGAATTGCACATACAAAGACGGCTCAGCCGTTCCAAACCACGAAATCGCACACTTGATGATTACGCTGCTTATGGCAGGGCAGCACACATCGTCCTCAGCAAGCTCATGGGTGGTTTTACATCTCGCATCGCGGCCTGAGGTCACAGAAGAGCTGTTTCAAGAACAGGTTCAGGTCCTGGGCCAGGGAAGCAACACTCCTTCTCTGCAGTACTCTGACCTCGAAAAGCTCCCGCTGCTCCAACAAGTCATCAAAGAGACTTTGCGTGTGCACTCTTCTATACACTCCGTCATGCGCAAAGCCACTCGAGCCATCCGCGTGCCTCAAACCGACTACATCGTGCCGCCGGGCAGGATTCTCCTGGCATCACCCCAGGCAACGGCTCGCGACGAGCAGTACTTTAGCAACGCAGATGAGTGGCAACCTCACCGCTGGTCCAGTGACCTCGATGACAGCATCTTTGACGCGGAGGAAACTGCTGGCATCTCCCGTGGCGCAAAGAGCGCCTACCTCCCGTTTGGGGCGGGCAGACACCGGTGTATCGGGGAACAGTTTGCTTACCTCAACCTTGGAGCTATTGTAACCACGCTCGTTCGAGAGTTTCGCTTTTATAACTTGGATGAGAGCGGAAGTGTGCCCAAAACAGACTATGCGTCCATGTTTTCCAGGCCTGTTCAGCCTGCCTTGATTCGCTGGCAGCGCAGGGCATGGCGTAGCTAGAAGTGGTTTCCGTCAATCGTTTAACCAGTGAGAATACGGTCGAGATAAAACGCTCCATATTGCCATAGCTTGTTGAATCAATCCATAGTCTCGATGGTTTGTTTGTTGCAGACATTGAGACCAGTCGAAGGTCGAGGGCGGAATCTCGGTGATCTGTTCCCATGACTTGTCACTGTGCCAGCCTCTCAGGCACCCGCCGTGGTCCCCCCCGCCGCCACCATTGAATGCCGCCACAACGCTAATAAATCCCAACCTGATCGCAGCTGCCCGCCGGCCCATACTAATATACGCCAAAATCCTAAGCTTCGTCACCCTCTTAGATAGCTCCATCTTCACAAGCCCTACAGCCACGACATACCAGCCATCGAGACTCACGCAATCGAGCACATCAAATACTCGATACCCATCATCAAGCGACAGCCACCACTAGCAAGACCGTCGAATGCCCCACGACACGTAACCGCCGTCCTCAGTCTACGGACCGCGCCCCTTGCGCAACGAGCGAGCTAGGCAGCGTCGAATGAATGCAACCTCTAAACCCCTTTCTTGCCGCCTTCTTCAAAAGCTCCGTCGCATCGCAGTGCACACCGGTTCACCACTATATACTCCTCGTCCCGCAGACGGATGTGCTCCTCACTCATCGTGAGACAGAGAGCGGCACCTCCCCGAGCGACTTTGTCGCCTCGGAGGAGTTTTTAGCCAGTCATGTCCTGCGCATCCCCCCGCCCGGTGCAAAGGACTCTGGCCAAAACTTGCGAGAGGTCCGAGGCAAGGCGAAGCAGTTCTCAACTCTCAACGGGAGGAGCGTCCTTGTTAAGGATGCCTCGGTATACAGCAACAAAGGTCTGCCAAAAGTTGCCATACAGCTGACCTATGCTAACAAAATGTAGGATTCAGGACGCTGGCGCAAGCGCAAATACAGAGCGACGCAACCTGGTACCCTGATGTATTCGAAGCGAGACAATGGCTGCTATACTACGTAACGAAACCCTTGGTTGGAACTTGGCGAGAGATTGCGTGTCCTCCTGCAATACTGCCTCCTTCCCCCCAGACGGCTGAGACGAAGCAGTCCGTGAATGGTGATTCCGCGGAATACTCTACTCCTAGGAAAAAGGACATCAAAACATTCCACGACCTTCTGAACAACTTCCCTATGATTGCTCGACAAATGCAGCCTGGGCTGGAGGAGATATTTACAGAGTTCACAGTAGTATTTCAGAAACCATTGCCTGCACCTCCGTCAGCGGCCGACATTCCAGACCCTGCACCCGATGGTCCCATCGCCACCGCCATGAAGCGAGCGAGATCGAATAGCTTCAACATGCGCTCGCAGTACGAGTCCACTACCAATCCGTTACCCGTAACTGAAGACTTCTATGCTGAAGACGAGGAAGATGTGATGCGCGCTTCTCTGGAGACTGCCGTCACCACGGCTATTGATCTGTTCCAAGGCGTTGACAAGCAGCAGCTATCCCTGCTTGGCGCAACTACAGACCTTACTGGCCCCCTTGTAGAAAAGCTGATTGAACGATACATAACGGAAAATGTGCACCACCTTCTTTTTCCTAGGCTCATCTCCTTGAAACGCCCGGAGGATTTGGAATTGGAGGCAAAGATCCGGCAGATGGAGTACATCGACATTTCGCAGGTGGGAATCGCCATCGACGGCGGGCCGAAAGCAAAGCACGACTTGATTATCAGCCTCGGACCAGCCGTTGAGGAGTTTCGCAAAATCTCGAGTTCTATGAGTCCTCAAGAAATGCTGGAGCTTCTACTCTCTACGATGAAGAGCATTTCCCAACTCACCGGGCGGGCCAATGATGAGGGACAAGATCAACCCGGGGAGAAGGCCATTATGACAGTGAATGCCGATACTCTGCTTTCCCTGCTGCTTTATGTCGTGATTCGGTCGGGAGCGCGCAATCTGCAAGCTCGCCTTGTTTACATCCGCAATTTCATATTTGTCGAAGATGTGGACCATGGCGAACTCGGATACGCGCTCAACACATTCGACGCAGCGTTGCACTATCTATCCACGGACTCATCAGGTCTGCGCCGCGCAAGCAGAAAGAATAGGGCGCTTTGGGAGGCCACCAAAAATGGCTCCATGTCGGACTTGAAAAAAATCATGGAGCCTAATACATCTGCAATTGAAGATGATGATGAATGCGAGCTGCCATCGCAGAAGTCGAGCCGGCGACAGTCATTTATTCGAAGTCACGCAAATGGCTCTGCACGACACCCGTCAGCCATCCTTGCGACTGCAGATCGACTATCTAGAGGCTCTGGCCTAAGTCATGTTTTTCCCTTTCAGACCGATGGTGAATGCGACGGGGACGATCGCCATTCTGTGACGTTCAGAGTCACCAAAGTCAAAAAAGTATCCATGGATACCCGCAGCTTTTCCAGCGACTCCGAGTTTTCTTTCCACTCTCGTTCGACTAGTGCTGGGACCATTGGCAGTGCCCTGGAAGGAGATATTTCTGTTGAGCGATTGGCGCAAACAAGCGACTCGTTTGGAGAATCTGTTTTGATGATGGCTGTGCAGCATGGCCAGCTTAACATTCTCAAATACCTCCTGTCACTAGGCGGCTACTATCCCCTGGTATCCGTCTTGGAGGACATGAACAACGAGGACACGTCGCTCTTGAGCGCTGCGGTGCAGCAGGGCAATGCTGAAATTATTGATACCCTCTTAGATCGCATCAGCTCTGGCGTCTCCCATGAGCAACTTGTTCAATATGTTCAACGGCAGGACATTTGGGGACGCAGCATCGGTCACTATCTGTTCAATTCGCCAGCCCTCATTACCAGAATCGGTTACCTTATCCCATGGAAGCAGCGCGATAAAAATGGACAGACACCCCTGTTTGCTCTTTGCCGATCCTATGATCATACTGACTACTACAATATGGTGGAGGCTGGTCTTGAGGCTGCCAAGGTAGCCCAACGAGATGGGCAGCCCCTACATGTGGATGAGCATGTGGATGGAAAAGGAAATACGCTGCTGCACATTATCAACGATCCACGGCTTGCCTTGAGGATATTACGATTCTGTGATGTCGATGTCAATGCAACCAACGAAAAGCGTTTTACACCGCTCATGCTCGCTAGCAAATACGGACGTTACGATATGGTCAGATCACTCTTTGCCGACCCGCGGGTAGATCTAGGGGCTAGGGAAGCCAGGGGCCTGACAGCCGTAGAGCTAGCCAAGGATGAAGACGTCAGAAATAAGATTGACGATTTGGGGCTGTTCAGCATGCCGCCCAGTCCGGACGGGCGTATCACGGGCGTGGTGCGCGCATTTTTCGTTGAGGACGGCACAGTTCGACTCGTACTCAAGTCAGCGGCCCCAACAGATCATGACAGTTACACTGTTACCACGAGTCGGCGCTCACTATCCGATTTTGAGCAACTGGGCCGTCTCTTAGCTGAGGAAAACCCGGCGTCTTGGGTTCCAACAGTGACAGACACACGATCGCCGTTTCAACTGCCGTCTAAACCGTCCCGATCACTGTTGCGAGATATCCAGGCAAAGATGGACTGGTTTTTGCGCACCATGCTAGACCACCCAACTCTTGCCAAACACGAAATGCTTTGGGAGTTTTTTTTGGTGCCCGAGCTGCAGTTGGGCACGATGGAAGAAAGAACCAGACTCAAAATCCAGGCTCGAATCGAGCGCATCAAGGAAGAATACGAGCCTGTCCAAGACCTCAAAGAAGTCGAGCAGTTTGTCAATCACGCACGCGAGATGGTACGCCATGTGAACTACGCCACAAAGAGCGCCACGAGACGTGTCAACAGTGTTGGTGTAGTGACGGCTGATATGTACGATTCGCTGGTCCTATTGCATCGAAGCGTGTCCGGGCTAGCCTTTTTACCGGAAAGTCACATTATTGCGCTGGAACTGTATAGTAGAGCGATGCAACCGACACAGTCAAGCCCGCACGCGACGCTTCACACAACCCTCATTGCTGTCCAGTCCACTGTCCAGGCCTTGCTCTCTGCGCTTGGGCGGCCAACAACCATTGCTGCGCAGATTACCAATGCAAAACGGGAGGCAGACAGGAACCAAGGCTCCATAGGGCGATCTTCGCGATGGCCTCTTGGATTACTGGATGACACACGGCAGCGTCTGCAGGAAGAAAAGGAGAAGAAGGCCGTTAAATGGCGGGAAGAAGCTTCATACATGGCGCGCGAACTGCGCTACACTCAGCGGATCGTGGCAGCAGAGCTGGCCGGATGGCAGAACATACACGACACGACAGCGAGGCGGGCGCTGCGAGACTACGGACAGGGCATGCTTTTGCAAGAAAGGATGAAACTGGAGGGGATGACGAGAGCACTGAGAGCGATACGAGCTCCAGTACCGTCTCCAATTTTGAACGGGATATTGGGGCGAAGCATGTAGGTGAACGATATAGAGCTGATGTACAGGGTACAGCGAGTAACACAGCGAGATTTGGCTTTTGAAATAAACAACGAGCCGATAGTTACGCAATATACAGACATTTAATTTGGCGCACAGGTCAGAACTGGGCGTTACGTTGGATTATTTTGATGGATTAGTACCGTGCAAGTGAAGTTGGCCGCTGAATCCCTGTGAAAACCGGCAAGCGAATGAGGGTATCGCTTTTATATCTTGCTATAGCGTCACTGCGTGGTGCTATGTTCCATTTTTCTTGCGACGAGTTAGGGAACTATTACCCATACCTAGCCAGACCCGGAAGATCGGCGATACTCGGGGTGGTATCCTCGACCGCAAATCAAGCAGAATTAAACAATCCACACCAGTTTACCTACAGCAGACGGACCCTTGACACGAAGAAAGTATGCCAATAGTGGACCTCATAAATGGTGGCTTGTCTTATGGAGGAGTTTGCCTCTCGCTTCGAGTTATCTGATTTGATTGATAACTGACAGTGGGGCTTCCGCCGCCCAAACTACTTTTCAACGACTGTTACCACCCCCACAAACAACTTTCATCTAACCCTCGTATACCTCGTAAAGCCGCTGGACAATGGTGTGAAGGCGCAAGTGCGGCAAAGGGCTCGGAGCAGCCATGGGCAGGGACTGCCAGCCCGAAGCCTCCTGATCAACAGGCGAACTCTTCCCCGTCATCAACTCGGTACCAGCAACGGGCGTCTTCACATTGCTTCCTACGTACACCCTACCGGATCCGGTTTTGACGACACCATGACGAACGCGAAGCGTGCAGACATACACGCCGCGGCACCTTCTCCGGACCCAGCCCAGTCGACGCCAACGCCGTTGACAGGCAGCACCTGCCCCGGCGTTCTCCGCATGGAGCTCGTCGCGCGGCACCTGACGCTGACGACGCGCGCGGTGCTGCTGGGCGGGATCTTCGTCGTCGCGTACGTCTACTCGCTCGATGTCACGCTGCGGTACGCGTACCAGCCGACAGCGACGGACAGCTTCCGGACGCACTCGCTATTGGCGGCCGTCGCGGTGCTGCGGAGCGTCGTGGCGGCCGCCGCGCAGCCAGCCGCCGCTAAGGCCGCCGACGTGTTTGGCCGCGCGGAGCTGCTGCTGGCGTCGGTGGTGCTGTACGTCGTCGGCACCGTCGTGGACGCCACCGCGCGCGGCGTCGAGGCGTTCGCGGCCGGCGCCGTGCTGTACCAGCTGGGCTTCACGGGCGCCTCGTTCCTGGTCGAGGTGGTGCTGTCCGACGTCACGTCGCTGCGCGCGCGGCTGCTGGCCTCGTACATCCCCGTGTCGCCGTTCCTGATCAACGCCTGGGTCGCGGGCGACGTCGCGGCGGCTGCGCTGGCGAGCGTCGGCTGGCGCGTCGGCATCGGCATGTGGGCCGTCATATTCCCCGTCTCGACGCTGCCGCTGCTCGGGGCGCTGTGGTGGGCGGGCAGGCGAGCCGGCGCCGAGATGCGCAGCGACCGGGCACCGTTTCGGCAGCTCGGGGCTGCCGGGCTGGGCAGGGCGCTGTTCTGGCAGCTCGACGTCGTGGGCGTCGTGCTGCTCGTGGCGGCGCTGTCGCTCGTGCTCGTCCCGCTGACGCTTGCCGGCGGCACGGAGGCCAGCTGGCACCGCCCGCACATCATCGCGCCTCTTGTGGTCGGGGTATTGTGCGTCCCCGCGCTGATCGCGTGGGAGAGCAAGGCGCGACGCCCCATGATGCCGCCGCACCTGCTCAAGGACCGCACGGTCTGGGGCGCGCTGGGCGTCATTGCGAGCATGAACTGCGCCGCCGCCGTGCAGGGCGACTACCTGTACACCGTGCTCGTCATCTCTTTCAACCAGTCTGTCCTCAGCGCCACGCGGATTACGAGTCTCTATTCGTTTGTAGCGTGCATCACCGGTCTCCTGTTCGGCGCGGCTGCGTACAAGATTCGCCGACTGAAGTGGATCATAGTCACCGGTACATGTCTACATCTCGTTGCGTTTGGCCTGCTGATTCAGTTCCGCGGTGGCTCCGGCGCAAACTACTCCGGCATGGTCGGCGCGCAGGTGCTTCTCGGAGCGTCGTGCGGGCTGTTTACTTACGCTGCTCTCACCAGCATCCAGGCCGCTACGCGGCATGAGCACCTTGCGGTCATCACTGGGGTGTACTTTGCCTGCTTCAACGTCGGCGGTGCTATTGGCAATGCCATTTCCGGTGCTATATGGACGCAGCTTTTGCCAGGTGAGCTGAGCCGGCAACTGGCGACCTTTGGAAATGAGACGCTTTCTGGCATGGTGTATGACGCCCCGTTTACGACGATTGAAGAATACCCGTGGGGAACTGCGGTACGTGAGGCCGTCGTCGCAGCTTATAGGCAGACGCAAAAAATACTGTCTATAACGGGTATCGGTATCGCTGTATTGGTGGTGTTGTGTGCCTTGGTACTCCGTGACCCGCGCCTGGGCGACGAGCAATCCCTGCCGAATGCAGAGATTTATGATCGGAGTAACGAGAATGAGTTGACCATGGAAAGGCAAAATAAGGAGTGACTGGAAGAAGGATTTTAGGGATGTTGAAGTTGTGGGTGAAGGGCTCTGTCTGTAGTGTATGGCTTCCCCTGTTAGTATCGCGATCAATCTGTATGACGTGCTCCGTAGTAATGACAATATCAAACGTGAATCATCTCTCGCCTGTCATGTCTCGGCAATGTTTCGAAACGAGAAGAATCAATCCAACCTGGAGGCTGACAGGTAGAGAAAGAAACATTCGGCCGCCGTGGTCCAATGAGTCTTGGAAACGGCGGCCGGACGAAACATTCCAACGGGCATGGGCAGAAACTAAACCGATCCGGGACGTCTCGAGCAAGCGACCCGAGTTCGGAGTAGGTGTCGTTTATTCGAAGATCATCGTCAGCGTTGCATGGATAATATGCACTGCGTGGAGTGTGCAGTGTGCAGTACATGTGGCGTCGGCGCGTGGCGAGTGCACCGTCGCGCTGGAACGCGATACTCCTTTTTTTCCGCAGCGTGAAGGCGTGGCGTGGCTGGAGACGTGCCCAAGCCTTGAGAGGTGGAGGTGGGCGCGTGGTGACGAGCGAATCAGTGTGCAGGAAACCTACGCGCCCGCGATTGTCCACAATGCGGAAGCTGAGGCGGAGTAAAGAATAAGCAAATGCTCAAAAAAAGGTGCTGACGGGAAGCAAGAGCCGCGAAAGAAGAAAATCGAATTTCCGAATTAGAAAATCGACAGTGATTTAGAGTTTGGCACGACCCTATACGGTTCCTCCATCGTTTATCACCCCCAACGGCTTCTAAGCGCCGGCCGAGGAATACAGATGAAATCTGCGGCGAGCCAATGGTATCGCACCGCTTGTCCCTCGAACCACTCGCACAAGTCCCACGCAGACGGAAAATTTATTATTAGCATGCCCTAGTACAGAATAGTCGAACAGCATAGGCAGTCTGGGGCTGTATCCGTCTGTGTCATCGTGGGTTGATTCATGGGCTCAGCCGAACCACCTCGGCGCGTAGGGCGGGGGCTAAGCAGGCAGGCAAGTCAGGCAGGTACTGATGCAGCTGATGATGCAGCGGCTCAGGCACCATCGTCTGAATGAGAATGGAAACTGTCATTTCCGGAAAGACGGGCGGCTACCAAGATTTGAGGCTCTGCACAGCCCCCCCCATCTGCTTTGCATGAGGTGAAGTGGTGTGGCCAGTCGAGAGGCCGTCGTGGTAATACATGCGCAGCATAGCGAAGTGTGCTGTAGATGGATGGGAAGTCGCCCAGGAGGAAAGGGAATGGTAGAAGAAAGATGGAGTGAGGAAGAAGGGGGAGAAAAATTCAAGAAGAGAAATCAGTCACGTTCTGGTCAATCAGCGAAATCAACGACATCCCGATCTTGTCGTTGCATTGTTGTCGTGTGCCCGTGTTGATGCGTCGCGAAGCTGCAGCGCCCACGCGCCTTCCTCGTCACGCATCGCGCGCAAACACCACCCGCACGCCTCACGATTCAACCACGCTCGCGCTCTGCACCTGTCCAAAAAGCTTCATCCTCCACCCTCATGCATCCGCCACCTACGCTAGACTCTCCTTCCGCCCGGCATTTGTCAAGCTAACGACAGCCACACAGTCTCCCCGTGAGTGTCACACCTGGCCGCACCCCAGGCCGCCTTGCTCGTTGCTGACTGGCTGGACGTCAATGTAGCTCTCGTTGTCGTCCCTTCATCCCTGTCGATGCATCCGAAAAACTGACTCTCGTTGCCGCTGGACCAGTCCTTTCCCACCAGCGAATCAGCGTTCAGCGTCGCCTTTTTTGCTTGAACCCCCCATCCAACCGCAGCGTCACACTCGATGAGGGCCGATGCAACCCTGCTTGGTGCAAGGCCACACGGTTACACCACAACCTAAAATAGACCCCAGCCAGAGGTTGCTCACGATTCCTGGTAACTACTCATTTGAATCTACAGGGCATTGGTACTTTGCTTGCGCAACACGCATTCGGCGTAGCTCCACCGTTCCCTGTTCCCTGCCTCTTTCAGCGCACGACCCCAGCCGTGTGCAGCAGCTCTAACTACACGATACACGGCTTCACGCTTACACGCTCTCTCGCGGTCGGTCTTGTCTTCCCACCCAGCATGGAAAAGGCACGCGTTTCAGGTTCTAGGCCTCGCTGGCCGACTTCTTGCACATAGCACTGCATATGTTGCAGGAACTCTTGATCCACTCTCCCAACGATCGCTCCCGACCTACCGTTGCTCTTGAGCATAAGAAGACGGCCTCATCCTCGTTTCGTTTCTCGTCTTCCAACCATCTTTCGGCCTTGTTTTACTTTCCTAAGTTGTCCCCTCTCCTCATCCTCTGCATTAATATCAACCTCTCATCTTCACCTCTTGCCTCTGTTTATATCTTTTCCCCCGGCACTCTTTCGACACTCTAGACTGTCCGCTGGCGGCTACGACTCGACCTTGTCATACTGGTTCGTTTTCTGCACGACTCATTCTTTCATATTTCCAAAGTAAAAGAGCTGGTCTCTCCTCGAGTATTACATTAATTCACCATGTCGGGGTATGTTGCTATCTTGTCTTGAGGCGGCCTGTCTCCGACCCCATCCCTCCTCGTCATACACTGACCGGCGCTTAGGCTGGTATCTGACGTCACCTTCGACTTCACCTTGGCCGACTCTCCTGCGTCGCTAGGTCGACCTCTAACCCCCCCTCAGGACTTCCCCATTTCTCAAAACTACTTCTTCGACTCGTCCTTTCTCGAAATTCCGGACCACGCTCGCCATGGCCGCTGCTCGTCCCAGGCTTCTTCCGTTTACTCGACCGTTTCGGCTGTCGAATCTGCCGCTGACTCCTTCTGCACGCGGATAACGACATCCCCTAGAGCTAGCCCCCCAACGCGTCAACATGGCCCTCTCTTGCTGCCCAAGATCCGCCCCCAGGATCAGCAAGTCAGCTACACCGTCGCACCCGGTCCTCGCATGCAGACCATGACGCCGCCTCCTCAGCGCAGGATCTCCAAGAAGAAGCGTGCCTCGCACACTCGCAGCCAGACCAACCCTGAGGCCATCTCCAGCATGGCCATGTCACACCTGGCCTTTTCTCGCCCTGCGCAAGAGCAAGCCATCATGTGCTCGCCCATGCCCCTCCCGCGAGACTTGGATTCGCGCCGCTCTTCTACTTGCTCTACGGTGGATGCTACAGTCGTTGATGCCTGCGGCTTCCCTCCTTACCACCCGATGGGCTTCATGCCAGCAGACTACTCCATGTCCCACGACTTGGGCTATCAGTTCGCACCCAGAGCCTCCTCGCCATTGAGCATCGCTTCTACCCCCGAGCCTGTTGCCTCGATGTCGCTTCTGAGCTTCCTCACGTCGCCTAGCCCAGCTGCCTCGCTTGTTCGCACCGTCTCGTACCCCATCCGCGACCCAAACACTAAGCACTTCTGGTGGGATGTTCGCAACATTCGCCAGTGGTCTGCCTTCAACATGGCTGCTATTATGGCTCTGCCAGGTGCATCTGCGCTCTTGAACACGCCCGTTCCCGCGCCACTTCTCCCCGAGCCCGCTGTTTCCGCCCGCCACCCCGAGACGGAAGCTTCACTGCATAGTATCTATGCCTCTTACTATATTCCAAAGCTCAACTCAGCCCTGGCCATTTCTTCCAATCGACCCGTGCAACTCTCTGTCCCCAGCCGCATCCCCGCCAACATGAACGAGCCATTGTTCGTGGGCAACGTGGCTGGCGACTCTTCCACCGCCGCTGCAATGTTTGGCGGCAAGCCTACCGCTCGCGTTGTCGGCATTGTTCGCAGCTTTGATCGCTTCAACACTGCAATGCGCGTCGAGGGCAACATTAAGCGAGTCGAGTACCTCCGCGGACTCTCTGCTATTCACCATACCATGCGCGAGCACAGCTGCCGCTACGGTTTCATCCTCACCGAAATTGAGCTTGTCATTGTCCGCAACGGCAAGGAGGCCATCCCTAACTTTGGCGAGCTTGATGTCACCTCCATCCCCCTCAACGCCGCTGCTCCGGACTGTAACCTGTCCCGAGTCCAACCCGAGTCGCTTCCTCTTACTGCCTGCCTCGCACTCTGGGGTCTGTGTCAGATTGCCAGCGACGCTGCCAGCTGCGGCCATGCCTCCTACAAGACAGAAATTGGTGCCCCTGTTGAAGGCACTCGCCGCAAGGCTCTCAAGCGTGACAGCTGGATTCCCCAACCCCAGTTGGCCGAGAAGCGTGAAGCCAAGAGAGCCCGTGGCTGGACTTGGCCAGAGGATGCTGTAGGACGCCGCGAGCTCGGCAAGCGCGGCGTTAAGTACGCTGCTATGTGATGTAGGGAGCTTAGGAAACGAATGACGAGATATGAGAAGTGCTCATGGAGTACGGCGTTGAGAGCAGTATCCATTGGTTTTACATAATTGAATTTACATATCAAGATTTAGAAAATACCACATTTATTGTCACAGTTGTAAGGGATTCTTGTTTGCAGTAGCGCCGGAAAGACTTGTGGTGTTCTTATTTCAATCACGTCTAACCCTTGGCAGCACCGGCCTTGATGAGAAGAATGTCGCCGTCCTCGACAACGTAATCCTTGCCCTTGGTCATCATCTTGCCCTTGGCCTTGACCTCGCCCTCGTCACCCAACTCCTTGAGGACGCTAAAATTATATACGATGGCCTGGATGAAGGTCTTCTCAAAGTCGGTGTGGATGACGCCAGCGGCTTGCGGAGCCTTGGTGCCGACGCGGATGGTCCATTGACGGACCTCGTCGGCACCTGAGGTGAAAAAGCTGCCGAGCTGGAGCGTCTTGCGCATCTGAGTGACGAGCTTTGGCAGCACCGACGGCGCGCCAACGTTCTTTTGCTCCTCGAGCGACTCTGCCTCCGTCTCGTAGCGCGTCAGGCGCTCCTCGTAGGACACCGAGATAGGGATGATGGGGTCGCCCTCGGCGTGCTCCTTGATCCACTCGGCAATCTTGGGCAGGTGCTTGTTCTTTTTGCGAACAAAGTCCTTTTCCGACAAGTTGACGAGGTAGACGACGGGCTTGGCCGTCAGGAGGAAGAGCGGGTTGATGACCTCGATCTGTTTTTGTCAGCGTTTGCTCAGACATGACAAAATGCTTCCAAATGCTTCAATTGCTTCAAATGCTTTCAGAACAAAGTTTATCTCAGTACACCTCTTGCGTTATTTGAGGGTTCGACGAGCTGGGTTAAGTTTCGGGCCAAAGGCCCTTTGTCATCATGTAGCAAGCAACGATGAAGCCAAACAACAAAGAGTGAAAAAGTTTCTTACCTCCTTGGGCCCCCAGTTGCCCTTGCGGACATCCTTGCCGTCTTGCAGCCAAGAAAGAATCTTTTCAATGATGTCTTGCTCAAGCTTAGCTTTCTTTTGCTCTAGACTCTGACCACCCATTCGGGTCTTCTTCTTCTGATTCTCGAGTGCCTTTTCGACAAACTCGATATCCTTTAGCCGCAGCTCCTCGCTGATGATGTCGAGATCTCTTGTCGGGTTGACATCACCCTCGATGTGAATAATCTCGGCATCGTCAAAGCTGCGCACAACCTGGAAGATGGCATCGACGGCACGGATATGAGACAGGAACGAGTTTCCAAGACCAGCACCGGTCGAGGAGCCTCGCGTCAGACCAGCAATATCATAGACAGTCAAGTTGGCCGGGACGATCGACTTGGGCTTATACTTTTCGCAAAGCCAGTCGAAGCGCTCATCGGGAACAATGACGCGGGCTTCTTCGGGGTCAATGGTTGCATATGGGAAGTTCTGTTCAGGAGAGAAATTTTTTTGTCAGCCCGCTGTGGATTAAATAGGGCGGCCGGGGTGCGGGCCGGGGGTTAGCATACGGCAGGGTTGCCCAGGTTGCACTTGGTAATGGCTTGGAACAGAGTGGATTTGCCAACATTGGCGAGGCCAACCTATTATTGTTAGCAACGGTAAACACGCCCAACAGATGCAAACACTTTCAGGCCTGCAGACAGCAGAACCTACAATACCACTCTTCAAGTTGTTACCCGGCCGGCCGAGGGGGATCTTTTCTTCCTGAACTGGCTTCTTGGGAGCCATTTTTCTCGATTTCGCGTAGGAACGGCTCGAAACGTAAAAAGTGCGCTTTTGCGTGGGCGGATAGAGTCCAAATGCTGCAGGCCGAGCTGCGCGGAAGGTAAACGTGCCAAGAGAAGAGAAGAAGAAGGAAGAGCTCGTGAGGGGAGACGTGGTGGGCTACTGAGCTGGCGCGATGCCAAAATACTGCAATAGACCCGAGAATGACAGGAAGTGAATCCGTCAACGTGTATTAAGAGTTCTGCGATGGCCAGGAGGGGTTGAGGAGCTACAGTAGAATGGCTGCGAATTTTGTTCACCCCACCATGATGGTGCGCGATGAGCGGGTTTTGGTTTTTCCGACAACTTAGTGTTCTCACTACAACAGTAGCACATCTGCATTGAGATATGTACTCACAGCCGTGCATGTTAGCCTGGTCATCATCAGCATAGACATACTCGGCGCCCACCTTTTCCATATCCCAGTCACGGGGAATCGTGTTGATGGCCGCGTTGACACCCTCCGTCGCCTTGATCACCCACTGCCCATCATTCTTCGTGTCATAGGCACCAGACTGGGCGCCGTCCAGAACCCACTGCGTAAAGCCCTTCCATTTGTTGACACCGTCAAGCGCCCATGTCAGAATTCCGCCATCACAGCCGCGAATCAGAGAGACGTCAGCCCATCCGACGTTGTACTTGTCCCAGCTGATCTCGAGCCATGAGCCGAGAGGCTGTGCCTGACCGTTGAGCATGTACGGGTCAACACCGCGCTGGATGCTACCTTCAAACCGCTCAGGGAACGACACAAAGTGTGTCTTGCCAGCCTCGATCCAAATGTACTTCCATGGCACTTGGTCGCAACTTTTACGGTAGATATAGAAGCCGCGCCAGTCATTGCCAGCATTGGTGATGGTGATGCCACGACCGCCATCGTCATTCTCACCCCAAGTGGGGATGGGTTGCGTGTTGCAATCCCACTTGGGTGCGTCCTCTCTGGCAACATTGGAATGAATAGTAGCGTTCTCTCTTTTAAGACCGCCGACTTTGTAACTTGGAAAGCTATCTTGTGGGACAGCCATGATGGCGGCGATGTTAGGCATAGTGTGAGGTGCTTCGCTCGGAGGACTCTAGTCACATAATAATCCCTTTTGTATTTTTATAAAGATGGAATTATCGCTGCCTCCTCGT